TTGGTACTAGTCATTGGCAAGTCCAATGAGCTCCACATCCTTCTATACGACATAAGTCCATCTCTTCTCTAGCCCATGCAGCGCCCATTTAGTTCCATATATCCAGCCAAACAGAATCTACTTGGACATGTGGTGGCTTGACACGCAGGCTACATGACTCAGCCAACGCAGCCTCGCTTGCCAGAGGAAGTCATTAATGGTACTGTATCCAGATCTTTCAAGGATCTGTGAGCTCACAAAATCCAGTCTGGATAAACCTCGGATGGATCGTAGACATACTAGCCTAAATCTTTTAAACTGGTGCAGATATTCCTGGAGAGGGCGCCACATTCCGCAAGCATAGGGAAGAAAGTGCATAACTAGGGACAAGAAGACCCAGAGCTTCATATTGAGTGATAGAGCAGGTAGCTTCCACACAGCATTATGCGGCTGATGAAAAGATATCCCTTCCCTCGAACGTCCCCTCCCCTCGTGCTCTCCCCTTTTATCCTTCTCGTGCCCCCTTTCTTCAATCTACCCTCACTGTTATTCCCCCAGCCAATCCCTGTCCTTCTCCTCTAACGGTTCCCAACCATCGCCTCTGGGTCCCACTCTGTTTCCCGCCTTTTCCCGTTAAAACATTTTCCTCTAATCACTTCAAAACCCTGCCTCCCGACCAATCACTGTGGAGGGCTCTTTCCACCAATAGGAGACCTTGGCCTACTTTTGAATCAACATTTGTCTGCACATTGTCTTGGAGTGCTTGTTAATTTCGGTCATTACAAACACATTGGGATGTGGTCCCTGTTTTGACAAAGGAAAAATTGAATAGATTGTAATTGGAGGTTGTATTTTACACTTGTGGTGTTCCTGAAACAAAAAAAAAACTTAGCAAAAAGTTGACATGAACAGTTGAACGATAAATGCCCCATTCGATAGACACATACATGCAAATGTTTATGGGACCTCCTTTGCCAGTACCAACATATGAGAATAGATTTTTCCCCTTTTTAACATTATTTCATGATAATGTTAAAATATAGGGTTTTCTCCTTTTATCTGGCAACAAAAAAACACCTTTTACAAGGAATCATGTCTGCATTAACAAGAAATACTTGTGGTCAGAAAGCAAACAAAAACACTCTGATATATCTGGTCTAACACCGTTTGAGACGAGGCTCAAAAGAAAGCTGCCTCTGGTGTGCACCAATCAGTTTCAAAGACAATACATCATATTATCAGATGTTTTTGTTTGCATTCTGACCACAAGTATTGTGGTTAATGCAGACATGATTCCTTGTAAAAGGTGTTTTTTTTGTTGCCAGATAAAAGGGGAAACCCCTATATTTTAACATTATCATGAAATAATGTTAAAATATAACTTCCATGGGACGATAACTTTTACAACCTGTTCTTGACGATCCAGAAGTCATTGCCACTCAGGGAGCCGTATCCAACCACCAACATGGCGTGGTTTGGGCTCTTGTCGCAGGATGGTTCGTTAAATAGCCCTGCACAGGACAGATTCAGTGGTGGCATATTGGTGCAAAAATATCATAAACATGTGAAAAGCGGCGAATGGGTCTGTAATTGTTCAATTCAATTTTATCACCCTTGTGAATACACGAATGACTGAAGTGTAATTCAATCACTGAAATAATCAATTTCCTGTAAACATTTCGTAAAGAGGTCTGCTAATTTTGTTCCCAAAAATCGTCCCGCTTCTCTGAAAGTGTCCAGAGTTTTGCTTTAAATCACAAGTGTTTAGTCTCATTAAAACAACTGTTAGGATTGGCCCTGTATATTTCGCTATTGTTCAAAATAACATCTAAAATTAACATGGCAGGGTCAGGCACGAAAATGTTTGGAGGCGCTTCGGAAAATTATAGTAATAACAGTGCGTGCCGATTGCCTCACAGTAGATGTTAAAGCTCACGTGACGTAATTCGCAAGAGTAGTCCATTGTGTGCAGCAGGATCATGGTCCAAATTTGAAAATTACATGGCAATTACTTATTTGTGATTACACATAGGCAGATGGCCCTCTACTGTAAAAATACTGTACTGTCTGTGAAACATGGTGCCTTCCTTCATGAAAGCCTTCTATCAGAATGGTGCAAATAACCAAATTTACTAATCTATTGTAATTAGCATTACAATGATTGCAAACCTGATTTGTAGTGCTTAAATGTGTCCAGGTCAGCATTCATTGCGATTGCAATTGGTCCCACAGATGCCACGGCTTGGCGCAAGACCTCTTCGTTACTGGACGGCTCCACAAATTGGTAGCTACTGCACTTGGTGGCCACATTCGCAGGCTTGAATCGACACTTCCCATCCTGGAGGAGAATAAAGAGTGGTTTCTTGTTATAGCAGTCCATCTGTGGATTTTCCTAACCATTCATATTCAAAATGTCCACTCTTCAAATGTTTCACATTTCAGCTTAAGGCGTAATTAATCAAAACCTAATTAATTTATCCTCATGAGGATATATAGCAGACTATGTTTCTGGTGTAGTTGTGACACCAGTTTTTAAACGAAAAAAATTAATTGACACGTAGGTTTTCGCAGGAAATATACATCTCTCTGATCGCCGATGTCATCTCATCGCATGACATCAAGTTCCATCAAAATAGTGATGATACAAAATTGTACACTGCAGTGAAGTCAAAGTTAGATACGGAGAGCTTCAGGAATCTCGAAGATGGCACGCAAGTGGTGCACGTGTGGTTTTCACGAAACAAGATGTCGCTTAATCTAGGAAAATCGGAGGTTCTGCTGGTTGGCACTTGCGCTTAGGTGAAAAATTTATGGGAGGATCAGGTGTGGTGGTCGCAGACTCCAGGACACAGTTTTCTATTCATCCAAAGAGCCTCGGTGCCATGCTCAACCAGAATATGTTGTATGATCACCACGTGTAAAATATCGTCAGGTCCTGCAATTTTCATATCAGGGCTCTACAACACATTCGACCACTATTTAGTCGTGACATAGCCAACACGGTGCCGTGTCGCGTAGTATCGATAAGGCTCGATTATTGCAACTCGCTACTCTACAGACGGGACGTAACATTACTAAGCTGCAGTAAGTACAACATTCTTCGGCACGTGTTGTGATGGGTACTGCGAAACCATTCAACAAAGATTGTCACTGCATCGCACGTTTTCAGATGCGTTTCTGGGGCTGTCTGGAATGCTCTTCCTGACGATATTAGGAAGCCACTGGAGTTATGCACTTTAAAATCCAGATTGAAAACTCATTTCTTTAGAACTGCTTTGTGTGTTTAGATTGTTGTCCTCCCCTGCACCTCCAATTAGCGCAGTTTGCTCTGTGCGGCACGAAAGAAGTTCTACATAATATTACGATTCAATACTAAATATTTGGTAATAACAGGTGCTTTATTTGACTAAGATCCTCCACCACCCAACATCCACATTAATGCAATTGTCACGAATAAGCATTCAACGCACCAATTGTGATTGTTTCAGCTCACCGGTAACTTCCCTGGATTGTTACTCTGCCTTCCTCGATCTTGTCCTGATAATGATCGATGCAGTTTCACACAAAGAATCATATCTAATTACTAAATTCAGCTGTGAGAGTTGTTCTTCAACGTGACGTGCAGCTTACACATAGGAACATCATTCCCTACAGCATAACATCTGGTAGGACTCTCCCGAAAAAAATCAGTGAGGCTTTCCTGGGTAAAATAGCAAATATCAAAAAATGTAAACACCCAGAGTTGACTGGTGGACTGACAAGTAAAGCTTACCGCGTGCTCATATGGATACGACAACTCTGAGTCAATGCCGTTATTGTCAATTATGTACTGGAGGGCACGTTCTGATCGTCCACCATTGCAACCGTTGTTGTAGTAGCTCTTGGTGCAGTCCACCAGTTGTTGCTCGCTTAACGATGTGAGATTCCCCGTTGCGGCAAAGTGTTGTCCTTCCAGAGAGCCTGTCTGCAGAGGTCCAAGGGTGGAAGAGGTGAGGAGAGTGACGCACAAAGACACGCACATTATAGGTTCCCAATTGTGCATTACAGAGCTCAAGATTTAGGTGGAATGAAACATTCCACAATCGATTAATCACAGGTGCACAATATGAGGTAAATACGCCTCATTCGCATTGGTGTCCCTCGTTGTAAGTGCGAGGGAAGAAGCTGCAAGATAAGTGTTGTGACCTGCAGTGTGGTGGTTGAAAACAGTGTGAATAAGGTGAAACAGGAGGAATAAATGAGTGAAGTTGGCTAGAACAGTAGTAACCATGGCATAGTATCGATAAGACTCGATTATTGCAACTCACTACTCTATGGGATGTCTGGCAAAAACATTACCAAGCTGCACCGTGTACAAAATTCTCTGGCACGTGTCTTGACGGGTACTGCAAGACCCGACCATGTCCGCCGAGTGCTTGCCGAGCAGCACTGGCTTCTGGTTTTCCAAACAAATACATTATGAGGTCGCGCTCATTACTCACAAAGTGCTTGCCACAGATGAACCACAATAACTTGCTAACCTCATCAAGGTACGTAAACCGTCGTACGAACTCGGGTTATCCAAGATAAATGCATGGTAGTAGCGATAAAAGAGTGATTAGGATACGACCGACCCACTGATGAGCAAGTGACTGGAGGGATTCAGTGAGTGCTGGGTCATCAATTAACAGTTGAACTGTTAGAGGAGAGAATCGTATATGAAACGTACCGCACTAAAGGCCCAACTGGAGCCACAAAGCCCTTGTTCTTTAACGGGCGTCACGTAGCCCTTGAGTCTCCAGTCCACCTGCTCGGGGAGATTGTCCATGCTCCGGAGTGGGAATGGGGCCCCTCTCCTGCGTGTCCCATTTCTCAGATTCCAGAAACGGCCCACAACTTTCTCATGGTATTCATGCAGTTCCTGTACAAAAGACACCAATATAAATAAATACATTGCAAGTAAGTTTTATAAGTCAACAGTCAAAGTGATTTCCTGTTCAAAGTCCTGAGCCAGTGGTGGAAATTACACATTCCCATGGCAGGGGCAAATCTAGCCATATAACAGCCACTGGTGGCTTTCCCACAAGTCGGTAATAATTTTTCCAACCCTAAAGAGGCAATTGGCCGATTCAACCCCAAACCAGGATTTGAATTCGCAACTTTGCGATGGCAACAACTTTGCCTGCTCGATCACTGAGCCCCGTGGCCAGAGGAGCGATAGCAAATGAAAGGTAACTAAATATGGTAACGCTCTGCACTAATTAAGTGTAGGATATTCAGCATTCGTTTGTCAACACCAGGGAAATGTAAGACAATATCTTTGAGCATATAAATTGTTCAATTTACATAAATACAATTGAGGTGCATTTGTGTACTTATGTTGTGTGTCACATGTTCTCCAATGGCTTTCCCTTTGGTTTGTTCTACATTTGACATTTAAATACATATAAATTTAACTCATCAGTCCTGTCAGAGAATGTGTAGCCTTCCAAATCAAGTGAACGTCAGCCAACTATGTCCGCTTCATGGCAATGTTAATGGATGAGGATTATACTGTACAGTCGTGATTATAAAATTATTTAAAATTGTCAATATGTTTATTTCATTATGAGTAATATATTAAGGGAGGTAAACATGCTTGGTGTTAAACACTCGTAAATCTAATTTAACCTGAGTGATTACATTATATGGTATTTTATTATTTTAATACCAGACAATTCAAAAACCGGAAAGACTCTCCCCACATTTTTCGATTTAAAGCTTTCGTGACTGCAATGATTCATCTTCTTTGGTTCTTTCGGTAAAGTCACGTAGAATGAGAATAAAATAATAAATTGGTAAAATAAAATAACACAATAATATTCTCACGACGTTTCGGCCACAACACAAGCGGCCTTCATCAGGTGAAGGGGGCGAGACTGTCTGGTAGGACAGCGCTGGAGTGAGAGAGCCACGTTCAGATCACGGCTTTTAGCTGTGTGAGAGGAACAAAGAGCCTTGACGAAGGAATTAGCATAAAATTTAGCATTGAAATGCTGAATGATTAGCTTGTGACTGGTCACAGAAATAGCTATGTTAAAAGTTAAAGCATACACATCCGCAGAGGCACCCATTGTTAAAGGAATTAGCATAGAATTAGCATTGAAATAGCTAAGTTAAGGCATATCACATCCGCAGAGGCACCCCTTGACAATGGGATTAGCATAGAATTTAGCATTGAAATGGCTGAGTGATTCGCTTGTAACTGCTACAGAAATAGTTACGTTGAAGTCAGAGCATACACATTCACCGAGGCACTTAGTACAAATCAAACAGGAGAATTCAGCATTGAAATAACTAGGTGAATTTAGCATTGAAATAACTGGGTGATTTGCTAGTGACTGGTCACAGAAATGACTACACATCTGAGCTATTCACAGTACTATATAGTGAACCAATAAAAATTAAAATATAAATTACCTTCATGTTATCAATAAACTCTATATTCTCCAATCAGCTAAGCTACCAACATAAGTCGTTATATATCACAATGCTATATGGCGAAAAAATGGGTGGATTCTTACCCTCAAATTTCCGTACCACGGATAGCTACGGGCCCCGTTCAGACGGACGAGTTCGTCCATGGTCGGAACAGAGGAGGGGGAGAGAGACAGCTGCGAAGCCCTAGTATACTCCATGTTGTAAACCATACCATTAACCGTGGTGTGAGAGGTATTAAGAGGCAATGCTGGCGAAAGAGCTGCGGTCTGAAGGTCATCGTAAAATTACAATTAATTAAGAACAGAAATGATTTAACACATCTTTCCAGTGGTTACTAAGCCTGAATCCATCTTCTCGGTTGAAATTGTCTCTGAGATGGCAAACTACCCTTTCTGGATGTCTTAATTAAAAGGAGACATGATGGTTCAATGAGCCACTCTGTCTACAGGAAAGCTACCCATACAGATGCTTACTTGAAACCGGATTCCCACCACCATCCATCCCAGAAGAACTGCCTCATCAAGACTCTATACCATAGAGCCCAATGCATTTCCGACCAGGAACACATTACCAGTGAACTCAAGCACGTACACCAGGCTCTCAGGGCTAATGGCTACTCCGACTACACAATCCGCAAAGCCATCACTCCAGTCATGAAGAAGGATCCTCTTGTGGAGCCACTCAAAACCATCACCTTACCCTACATTGCAGGGGTCACTAAAAAGATCTCCAAAATCCTGAATAAACACAAGATCCAGGTCCGATTCAACACAGTACACAAAATCCGTGATTTAGTTCCATCTGTAAAAGATGCTCTTCCAGACATACAGTACCCGGGCGTTTACAAACTAAAGTGCCTCTGTGGTAGTAGCTACATTGGAGAAACCAAAAGACATATCTCGGACCGCATCCGCGAACATAAAGCAGACTTGAAACACGGTAAGACGAACTCCTCTGCCGTGGCAGATCACTGTTACAATTCAGTGGGCTCACATGACATTGACTTCTCCAAGACGGAGGTTCTTTGCAAACCAACTGGCTACCATGAGAGATTCGTTCATGAGGCCATTCACATATACAAGCACAGAGACAATTTCAACCGAGAAGATGGATTCAGGCTTAGTAACCACTGGAAAGATGTGTTAAATCATTTCTGTTCTTAATTAATTGTAATTTTACGATGACCTTCAGACCGCAGCTCTTTCGCCAGCATTGCCTCTTAATACCTCTCACACCACGGTTAATGGTATGGTTTACAACATGGAGTATACTAGGGCTTCGCAGCTGTCTCTCTCCCCCTCCTCTGTTCCGACCATGGACGAACTCGTCCGTCTGAACGGGGCCCGTAGCTATCCGTGGTACGGAAATTTGAGGGTAAGAATCCACCCATTTTTTCGCCATATAGCATTGTGATATATAACGACTTATGGTTGGTAGCTTAGCTGATTGGAGAATATAGAGTTTATTGATAACATGAAGGTAATTTATATTTTAGTTTTTATTGGTTCACTATATAGTACTGTGAATAGCTCAGATGTGTAGTCATTTCTGTGACCAGTCACTAGCAAATCACCCAGTTATTTCAATGCTAAATTCGCCTAGTTATTTCAATGCTAAATTCTCCTGTTTGATTTGTACTAAGTGCCTCGGTGAATGTGTATGCTCTGACTTCAACGTAACTATTTCTGTAGCAGTTACAAGCGAATCACTCAGCCATTTCAATGCTAAATTCTATGCTAATCCCATTGTCAAGGGGTGCCTCTGCGGATGTGTATGCCTTAACTTAGCTATTTCAATGCTAAATTCTATGCTAATTCCTTTTAACAATGGGTGCCTCTGCGGATGTGTATGCTTTAACTTTTAACATAGCTATTTCTGTGACCAGTCACAAGCTAATCATTCAGCCATTTCAATGCTAAATTTTATGCTAATTCCTTCGTCAAGGCTCTTTGTCCTCTCACACAGCTTAAAAGCCGTGATCTGAACGTGGCTCTCTCACTCCAGCGCTGTCCTACCAGACAGTCTCGCCCCCTTCACCTGATGAAGGCCGCTTGTGTTGTGGCCAGAAACGTCGTGAGAATATTATTGTGTATTTTATTTTACCAATTTATTATTTTATTCTCATTCTACGTGACTTTACCGAAAGAACCAAAGAAGACTCTCCCCACATTTATTCGGTCTCCATGAAGTATTACTGTAGCTGGGGAACTCATTAATCTCTATCTGTTGATGTATGGGCCACACAAACCTGCGGCTCTGCCCCACCAGAACAGCTAGTCTCCCCTAGTTACAGATATTTATGTATACTGCCTGCCACGACTATTTCAAGCCCCAGACAGAACAAGGAGATGCCTCACTGTCAGCTCCCTCCACGCCTCCCATCCTCACATCCCTTAAACTCCACCTACTTGCCCAATCAGAAAACACCTAGTTTGATTTGCTTTGTTCTCCACTGCTTTACTGGTTAAGTAACATTCACTCTAAGGACGTCATAACCATCTACTGGGCCGTGTGGCCAGATTCTGCATGCTTAATGCAAAGGTACAATGTCAGTAACACACGTGCCAAAAAGAGGACATCAACATTTCCTCATATGAAGGGAAATAAGACTTCCTGCACATGGTTTCCAATTGACTGAAAATAGATTGAACATATGAGACTCCAGATGGCCAATCTGTATGTCATCATTTCTCTCGTCTAATTTTGCATATATATTCTAATATTGCTGGGAATAGACTTGGTAAGGGTCTGAAGATATTGATGCACAATGATTATCATACTGAAATGTACACCCTCAATTATTATTCCACATTAAATTAAACAAAAAGTTTACGGGCCACATACAAATCTTGCGAACTTATTATGACCTTCCAAAATATATACATCAGATTCAAAGGTAGTACATATTGTAAAAAAAAAATTGTCAATGACACTTTCTTACTTTTTTATTGAAAATAAAAGTTCTAATAAGGTGACAGGGCGGTGGCGCTGTGGTAACAGTGTGCGCCTCGCATCAACGACTCTTACTTGGCTCGGGTGCCTTTATGTCAACAGTTTCTATGCTCTCCCGTAGTTTGCACGGATTGCCTTCACATTCTCTGGTTTCCACACATAGCCAAACCCACATAATGTAAATGGTGTTGCAAAAATCACAACGCTGAAAAATTACCTGCAAATTACTCGCTGTGGGATTACACACAGCAGCAACATCGCCCACTGCTGCGAAAAAACTGGGCAGGACCCTCCTGAAAAAAGTCTCGAAATTCACCGAGGCTTTTTTGCGGTAAGCAAACGTAAAATAAATAAAAGAGTGAAAGTGTTGGTCTCGGTTAAGTCAGCATGGGAATCATCCCAGTGAACCACCGATACATCCCACGCATGCCTGCAATTCACATGAGTAATGTCACCGAGGCTATGTATGTACCAGGTCGGAATACTTGTTGATGCCAAGATGGAATGAGACGTTGCCCTCGTCGGCCAGTAGGTTGTGTTGCAGTACGCGCTTCAGGTTCTGCTCAAACACGTCGCGGCGGTGGGCATCCTCCTGTTCACTCCCGTAGTGCTTGCCTAGCAACATAACAATCAGAATAATAGCGATATGTTATTGAAACTATGCCCTCTTATACACAGTGGCAGCTGGTGCTTGTTGTGGCACAAGGTAACTTGGTACCTGGCCGGCAAGCGGGTATTAGTCCGCTGGCAGTAGGGGGCAATGACTGCTGCTGCTGCGTGTGTAATATAAATGAAGTAATTTGAAAAAATAAAGTTTCGTGACTGTAACATCCGGAGTTGCTGAATGCTGAAAAGAGGGATATTGGAGAAGGCCAAGATTACTAGCCTCACAGATATGGGCCAAAACTTAAGACCTATTTGTGTTCACATGCAAATTGCTATGAGTGTTTCCTGTGAAGCATTTGGTGTTGCTTACAGACGTTGCTATATAAATAAAATTGTATTCAGTATGACTGCCCCCCCAATTTAACTGAATCCCAACCCTAAATCATAACCCTTCAAGCGATAACCCCTCACCAAAAATCCCAACATAAAAACCCGAACCAAAATCTCTCTACCCTAAACCTAACCCCTTCAACAAACCATAAATAATACTTTCATTTTATAAAGCATCGTTAATGTAAATAGCATCCCACAACGCTGTACATGAGGACCAAATCCCACACACAGCCACTACCAGGTAAATGAAAACCCCACGACCAACCAAAATCCAAAATTAATGAATACATAAATGTCACCAAAACAAAAGGCACAAACAACAAAAGAGTTATCACAAGTGAGAAATAAACCCTAACTTATAAAACTCCCATGATTGACAAGGGGTGAGACCTACATCCAGCAGCAGATTGACAAAGGGCTGTACATTATTCTGAATGAATTTACATGCAAAGCACCACAATAGTAAGAGCGTCAATTTATTTAGACATGTGCTGTGGTGACGTGTTATGAACGTTCGTACCGTACGTGCTCTTCCAGGTGTCCCACTGGAGCTGCTGCACGCTCAGGGCCTGCGTCAGGGTGAGCAGCGTGGCGAACAGCAGCAGTTGCATCGTGGCAGGCATCCCCTTGACAACTTCCAGAATTCAAGATAAACTCGTCACACTGAAATCACAAGCAACACACAGTACCTCGCATTGAACGTTTGCCCCAATGCAATTTTCCAAGTTATGCTGGCGAGGCCCAGGAACGCTCTATCCTTTCTAGGTTTGAAGCTTTCGTGACTGCAATGATTTATACTCTTTGGTTTTATTCGGTAAAGTCACGTAGATAAAATAAAACAAAATAAAAGAAAACAATTAAATCACGACGTTTCGGAGGCAACACAAGCTTCCGTCTTCACCGAATAAAACCAAAGGGTACGCTCTATCCTGTTTCCTCAGAACTGGTATTGACCGATTGTATCCCATGCAGTCGTACTGGAATTGTAGCTGTTGTGGATTTACTCTCCAACACACTGCTGTGCTGAACTAGTAACTAATTGTCATGTTTTGTTTACGTGCTAAACCTTATTAATCGGCTGTGTCGGGTGGTGGCGGGTTGAACAACACATTTATATTTACGAGATCTAATCCAAAAACCTCGACTATGGATGATTGTTGCCGACAGGCGGACACGAGAAAATCAACCCAGTGACAACAATTGGCAGCGTGGGGAGGCATGGTGGTAACACTCACTGTGCCTTACAGCAAGGGAGTCCTGGGTTTGATTCCTGATTCGGGTGCCTTTCAGAGTATCTTCTCTCTTTGTTCTGTATGGGTTTCCTCTGGGATCTCTGGTTTGCTCAAATATTTAAAAAAACATAATTCAATGTAATTTCCATTGGCCAAAACTTCCCAATACTTACAAATTATCTGAAAATCACTCAATTTGGGATTACACACAGAAACATCACCTTATGCTGTGTTAAATAATAGTTTTACTGGAAAGAACCAAACGTGGGTTTGGAGGCACATGCCTGTAATCCAGGACTGGTGGACGTAAGGGTTTGTGGATGTCAGTTTTGTTGCTAAACTCCCTTTCCAAGGGCATCGAGGTGCCATACCCTCTGGCTTAGGGCGCCATGGTGGCGAGATGTTAACTACCTCACATGGTATACAGGAGGTCATGGGTTCGATCCCGACCCTGACGCTTGTATATTTGGAGTTTGCGTGTTCTCCCTATGGTTACATGGATTTTTTTTCTGGTTCTTACGGCTTTTCCGTCCACATTTAGAAACACGCGTTTAGAGTATTTGGCTCTAATAAATTTGCACCCACTTTGTTGAGCTATTATTTGTGGCCAAGTCGCTTCTGAAAAAGAGCTACATAGCTCAGTGGGCCTTACCTGGTGAAATAAAAAAAATATTACATGTTACCGTGCCACATTTCATAATACTGACCGTATGGCCATTTAAATACAGTACATTGTTGCGTTTTGAATTATGAACCGTTCGACTTACGAATGCTGTTCGTAAGTCGAGGACTGTTCCATCGGAAGGAAGAGCGTTCCAGATAGCTTGCATAAGCGCACCTGAAAGCGCGCGTTGCAGTGGCCGCCTTTATTTGATGGTTAGCCAAATGCCGCTGCGAGGACGACCAGAGATTGCGTGATCATTTATGCTCCTTGATGAGATCATCAAGATAGTGCGGCTCATTTGTAGCAAGCACTTCGTGTGCAATGAGTGCGACATTATAATATATTCGTTCGGCAATCGGAAGCCGTGACAACTCAGCGAGCACTGGGTGAACACGGTGGGATCTTGCAGGAACGAGGGTGGACGGATGGGGTTGAGGCGACGCACATCAGGTGGCGGTAATTCATCAGGTGACGAACGCATTTTCGAAACGACGTAAAAGGGGGAGACGTAAACCCGGATATGACCGCACAACTGTGTGGGAAAGTCAACCGTGGTTGTGCGTTCGACTTAAAACTTCCGTGACTGGAGGAATTCATATTCTTTGGTTCTTTCGGTAAAGTCACGTAGATAGAAAATAAAAGTAATAAATAAATATTTATATAATTTTGAAAATAGCGTATTTTTTATTTTAATTTGATTATTTTCCATCTTACGCGACTTTACCGAAAGCACCAAAGAATACGTGGTTGTCCTACGTAGACGACTGTCCCCTGCCAGCGTGCAACTTCCACCGCTGGCTCGGAGCTCTAGACACTCGGTGAGCAAACAAACGCCGCTCATGGGAGCAGAAAGTGACCGCCACTCGTGCGACTCTTGGCAACTTGGTTTGCGAAGTGAACCTGCACTTAAGACATGTTGTTTTGTGTGCGAGGCTGGGATTCCCCCGTCTCGCGTGAACACGGAATCATCATCAATCAGCGTACGGGTAAATCGACTACATGACGCACACGACTCGCCTCCTTCCCATATCTGTCTCTCCACTTGAAAAAAAAAACGATGTTTTTACGCATTCCGTCAGACTTCTCGGAGAGTGAATACATTCAACAGCATTTGTCTAACACAGGGGTCGGCAACCCTTAAGGACTGCTTAGCGACGTTAATAATTAATGGACGTCTCGTATTCACCACGGTGCATCGCCGCTCTTGTGAAACGTTTTTTTTTACACCAAATTAAAACAATGCCTCATTGTTCATTGTTATTCTGATAGCCGACCCCCCCTGGGCCCTAACACAAGCCCCCACACTCTGCACCGCTTTCGACCTTCAGTCAGCCTCGCCATGAAACCATCGCTGGCCAAAGTGCCAGACGGTACGAGATCGGCGTCTTCCAAGTTGCACACAAAACGACACTTTATATATTAAAAAAAAATGACCGCTTTAGTGCCCCAGCAAAAACTCTGAACGTTTGACTTTTAAACAGAACTCGGCAGAACTCACCGGGGAAGGTGGTGGTGGTGGGCGTGGAGGGAGCAGGAGATGTCTCAGAAGATGCTCGCTCGTGCTGCGAATGGAGACCGAATTACCGGGCGCACGAGGAATCTTGGAAATCCCCGCGCGGGCGACGTGGGGCGGGCCACGCGGCGGTGACAGCCCACGTGGGGTGGGCCACGCGGCGGTGACAGCCCACGTGGGACGGGCCACGCGGCGGTGACAGCCCACGTGGGGCGGGCCACGCGGCGGTGACAGCCCACGTGGGACGGGCCACGCGGTGGTGACAGCCCACGTGGGGCGGGCCCAGCGGTGGTGACAGCCCACGTGGGGCGGGCCACGCGGTGGTGACAGCCCACGTGGGACGGGCCACGCGGTGGTGACAGCCCACGTGGGGCGGGCCACGCAGCGGTGACAGCCCACGTGGGGCGGGCCACCCGGCGGTGACAACCCACGTGGGACGGGCCACGCGGCGGTGACAGCCCGCGGCGCGAAGTGCGGCACCAATCTCCACTCGCACCGACAACTCCACGAGTGGCAGCCGTTCAATTCAAATGGCAGAAACAACAAATCCTCCCCCACCCCCTCCCCCCCACAGTGTTGCTGAGCACAGGCCTAAAACGTGAAGCGGCCAGCAACAGACAGCACTGCAGTTGTTGTCAGTCACAGTCGAGAGTGTAACGCGGCTGTTTGATTAAGAAAGGTTTTTGTTGTTGCTAGAAGGTCGTTGGTAAAGAGACGATGGTGGGAGGGAAAAAGCAGGAAGAGAGGTGAGTGAGGGGGTGAGTGTAGCCACCTGCAGTGTGGTGAGTGAGGGGGTGAGTGTACCACCTGCAGTGTGGTGAGTGAGGGGGTGAGTGTACCACCTGCAGTGTGGTGAGGGGGTGAGTGTACCACCTGCAGTGTGGTGAGTGAGGGGGTGAGTGTTGTGACCTGCAGTGTGGTGAGTGAGGGGGTGAGTGTACCACCTGCAGTGTGGTGAGTGAGGGGGTGAGTGTACCACCTGCAGTGTGGTGAGTGAGGGGGTGAGTGTACCACCTGCAGTGTGGTGAGTGAGGGGGTGAGTGTTGTGACCTGCAGTGTGATGAGTGAGGGGGTGAGTGTACCACCTGCAGTGTGGTGAGTGAGGGGGTGAGTGTTATGACCTGCAGTGTGGTGAGTGAGGGGGTGAGTGTACCACCTGCAGTGTGGTGAGTGAGGGGTGAGTGTACACCTGCAGTGTGGTGAGTGAGGGGGTGAGTGTTGTGACCTGCAGTGTGGTGAGTGAGGGGGTGAGTCTACCACCTGCAGTGTGGTGAGTGAGGGGGTGAGTGTACCACCTGCAGTGTGGTGAGTGAGGGGGTGAGTGTACCACCTGCAGTGTGGTGAGTGAGGGGGTGAGTGTACCACCTGCAGTGTGGTGAGTGAGGGGGTGAGTGTACCACCTGCAGTGTGGTGAGTGAGGGGGTGAGTGTAGCCACCTGCAGTGTGGTGAGTGAGGGGGTGAGTGTACCTCCTGCAGTGTGGTGAGTGAGGGGTGAGTGTACCACATGCAGTGTGGTGAGTGAGGGGGTGAGTGTTGTGACCTGCAGTGTGGTGAGGGGGTGAGTGTACCACCTGCAGTGTGGTGAGTGAGGGGTGAGTGTACCACCTGCAGTGTGGTGAGTGAGGGGGTGAGTGTTGTGACCTGCAGTGTGGTGAGTGAGGGGGTGAGTCTACCACCTGCAGTGTGGTGAGTGAGGGGGTGAGTGTACCACCTGCAGTGTGGTGAGTGAGGGGGTGAGTGTACCACCTGCAGTGTGGTGAGTGAGGGGGTGAGTGTTGTGACCTGCAGTGTGGTGAGTGAGGGGGTGAGTCTACCACCTGCAGTGTGGTGAGTGGGGGGGTGTGTCTACCACCTGCAGTGTGGTGAGTGAGGGGTGAGTGTACCACCTGCAGTGTGGTGAGTGAGGGGGTGAGTGTAGCCACCTGCAGTGTGGTGAGTGAGGGGGTGAGTGTTGTGACCTGCAGTGTGGTGAGTGAGGGGGTGAGTGTAGCCCACCTGCAGTGTGGTGAGTGAGGGGGTGAGTGTACCACCTGCAGTGTGGTGAGTGAGGGGGTGAGTGTAGCCACCTGCAGTGTGGTGAGTGAGGGGGTGAGTGTACCACCTGCAGTGTGGTGAGTGAGGGGTGAGTGTACCACCTGCAGTGTGGTGAGTGAGGGGTGAGTGTACCACCTGCAGTGTGGTGAGTGAGGGGGTGAGTGTTGTGACCTGCAGTGTGGTGAGTGAGGGGGTGAGTGTTGTGACCTGCAGTGTGGTGAGTGAGGGGATGAGTGTTGTGACCTACCGTATATTGTGAGTGGGTGGGATAGAGCAGTGTGGATGAGATTAAAATTTGCTAGGCAGGTGGACCGAGCCTCAACATGCGTGGAGTGAGTACCATGGGAACTCTCCCACGGCAGTAGCGACAGCAGAGTGACGGGATTTACTGCCACATTCCGCCAACAGTTAATATATATTCTTAGCCACGTGATCCTCATGGCCGTACCCCGGGGTACCAAATAATATAAGATGGTCGAGGCACTTAAATATTTTATTTCAGGGACACTATTTTTTTTACTCCCAGGGGTGTACTTCACTCTGCGACTGGGGTTACCAATCAATCCGAAATCAGCGCCACACTCTGCAATGTCGAAACGCAGCGAGGACGCTTGCGCCGAAACCCTGAACGCTCGCGGTACGCACCGTAGTGGTGCATCGTGTGCAGCTCGTCGAGACGAGTCGATTGCCGCATCGCCGATCATCAACAGAGACTAAAAATGACTGCATCACGGACATTATGCGAGAGCCCGGGGGACTAAGGTTCACATCAAGGTGTGGTCAGCACAGTGAGGGCACCGCTCCTCGTCCCACGCTCTCTGCTCCCCGTCGGATCCCACAGCAGCTGCCTCACAAGCAGACACGCAGCCACCTCTGACATCTGCCCTCACAGAAACCACCAACTGACCTTAGGTGGTTACCAGGGTTTACAACAATAATGTGTGTTCTGCATCACCGGTGACCGCATGGAAGATCCGGTGAAACCGGTTATGGGTTTTCACACTCAACGTTTTCAAAATTCTTCTTCGCTTGAGAGACGAATTGCCGCGGCGTTCGTGGTGAGTCCACCGACCTTGCGACGCAGAGATCGAAAGTTCGATTCGATCTCTGGGCGCGACAGCTCAATCGATGGGCAAGTCTTGCATCCGCCCCCACCTCTGCCCACCCGGTATCGTGTAAAACGACTATGCCACTGTCGATCGGGCAGGTGGGATAAATAGTGGGTGCCTCCACCTCCATTCCAACACATCTCGGCAGCATTGAAGAGGAGACCGGATGCCCTCTCGAGCTGGGCTGAACAAGAGGCACCGGCGACGAGCAATCGCAGAGCTGCACCGTCACATTGGGCTGTCTTATAGTAATAATAGGGTTTTTCCCATTTTTTTCTGGCAACAAAACTGAAACCTTTTTTACAAGGATTCATGTCTGCATTCACCACAATACCTGCAGTCAAAATGCAAACGAAAAAAACATACTTTGATTATATATGCATTGTCCTTGAAATTAATTGTTCCACACCCTCACATTGGGCTGTCTCATCTTCTTTGGTTCTTTCGGTAAAGTCACGTAGAATGAGAATAAAATAATAAAATAAAGCAATGAAATTCTCACGACGTTTCTGCCACAACACAAGTGGCCTTCTTCAGGTGTAGCTCTGTGTTGTGGCCGAAACGTCGTGAGAATTTCATTGTTTTATTATTTTATTCTCATTCTACATGACTTTACCGAAAGGACCAAAGAAGATGAATCCTTGCAGTCACGAAAGCTTTAAATCGAAATTGGGCTGTCTGTCAAGGTCGCCCGGAGGGGGCGCTTCAGTGGAATAAACGACGCCGCCGCCTGTCGTGTCAATGGCCAAAGGGCAGAGCTCGGAAACCTGCGGCTCTTGAAGGACTGCTTCGTGACGTTATGCATTGAGGATCACGCCGTCTCGTATTCACCGCTTGCATTGCAGCTCTTGAAATATTTAGTTTTTTTTACCGAATTCGAAAAAAAACTGCGATTTTTGTTGCCGACCCCTGGCCAAGGGGTTCAAAGTGGTAGAGCATTGAATGAAGTTAAGTGTAGGACGGTTAGGGGCGGATAAGGTAGAAGGGACGGGATTGTGAGGATAACCTTCAAGGAGGTGAAGGAACACGGGGAGTGAAGATGAAATGTGGAGCGTGGCGTGAGCAGGGTTCTTTTTGAAAAAAAAAACGGCTTCTGAGTGCGCGTGCGAACGGGAGGAAAGTTAACAAATTCCCATAATCAAGGGTCGCCTCGTGTGGATTCCCTTTCAAATGTAACATGCGGTGACTTAGGCCGTTTACACAGTGTAAGAGGTCCTCATTTTAGGCTGAGTTGACCGAGGAGAGGGCCAGTATCGGTTCAGATACTCATGTCACGTGGTGTGTACTGCAGTGTGCTCACCATTGTACATTAGCTCTCCACCACACTACACAGTATTGTAGGATCCTCCTAAAAAGTATTGATCTTTTGGATAAACAAATCGGTTTTTTGTGTAAGCATTATCAATATCGCCATGGTAAAGCTCATCATTGGCAATATGAGCATGTTTTTTTATAATTTAACTTGTAACCAACAATTTTGATTTAAAGCTTTCGTGACTGCAGGGATTCATATTCTTGGTTCTTTCGGTAAAGTCACGTAGAAGGCGTAGAAGGGAAACAATAAAATAATATTTGTAACCAACATTTGAGGCCATTTCATGAATCCAATATTCAGCCCTGTGCCAGTGGTGGAAATTCTTCACTCTTATGTCGGGGACGAGTGTTTCCACAAGTATACTTTATTTCTCCACAACTCGGTATTCATTTGTGTATGCATGTTGAACTTATTTCGCTAATCGGAGGGATTATGGGCTGGGTCAACCCCCAAAAAGGTTTCATCTCATAACCTTCAGATTGCAAGACGCTTGCTCTCCTCGGTGAGCCACAATTTTAAATCCACATATTCCAACATTTTTTGTAGATATAAATGTATCATTTAAATAAAAAAAATAACCAGAAAAACTTTATTTTCCAATAAACATTTTCAAAACATTAACATAAAAACAAACATACATTAGTACAGCCAATGGTTAAATTCAACACTTTGTAATTTCATTGTATAAACAACAATAATAATAGATTCACTTTCTCCCACGCCGTGAAACGTGTACCGTTTTTGCATATTTTCTCAACGGCAGGAAGTCTGCCTTTTCATTTTTTTTTTAAGAGCAGTGTATACTTTTATAGCACCTACACTTCATTCTGTCCCCCTGAACACGGTCGGCTGAGGAGCAATTATTACTTCTTCCAGATCCTTGGCACCCAAGTTCCTCGTGCATGAGCGTAAATTGTGAAATACGCTGAGAACAAGTGCAGATCAGATTAAGATGTAATAAAAAAAACCTTGCCTTGCATTATGACAATTTGTTCTTATGTAATGTGTCACGCCAGCCAACCTTAAAACTTATTTTCATTTCAGTTAATTTGAGGTAAACATAAAAATGTACGACTATAGATGTATACATAATTTCAAATATGTATATTCAAGTTTTGTGTGCTAGAGTGTGTTTTAAAAACATTTATTCTTTCGTGAACCATGATCTTCAATTCAAAGCAGAGCACCAATATCAAACATGCATTAGCACATTGCATATCCATTAATATATCAATACTAGTTGTTGAATGGGTGTTTCTACATTTACCTGTTTATAAGCATAATGCAACATATTGACTCCTGCCTCCCCATCAACCGGGGCTTTTGTAAAGTGTTGTTCACAGCCAATCGCCACACTGAAACGAGCACCAACTCGACTACGTGGCCGGAACGGTGCCGAGCCGAGCAGCCCGCTCAAGCTGGCAGTTCACCGCGCCACTTTGGCGGGATGGGCAGAAACACACTTCGGGCGTTCAGTTTGAAGTGACAAAACATGGGACATTTCATCTCCTGGGTAAAATGGGAAATAGAATCATCGATTCATGGAGGAAACAATGGGACTTATTCTACGTTCTACAAATCCAGTAATGATCTGTAATAATAGCGATGCATTGTCAGACATTACAAAGCGCCAAAGTAAAAATATACAAAGTATACACAGCTCTTTTAAAAAGAATTTAAATTGCAAAAACATGCCTGTAACATACTAGTGATGCGTGCTCGGACATGTCACGGAGCTGCACATAGCATTGCCATGTTAGAGCCGTCACTAATGTCCTTGTAGCCATTATCTCCGCCACGCCATCAAGTAAATATCTCTTGACAAAGGGCCAATGTCTCTTAGAGCTTGTGCATAATTTTCTTTTCAATTTGTTTTCACTTAAGACAAAAGTAGTGTCATAGCCGATTGACATGCTAATGATCTATCGCTCATAATTCACTCGCCCTTGAATATTACACTTAAATATATATAACGAGAGTGTGTGCAGTGCGTGTGTGTATGTGTGTGTGCATGAAACTTTGAACGTTAAAAAAACACTTTTTTAAAAATCCAAGAGTCTTGCAATCCACCACAGTTGTCACGGGATTTCTGTTCAGGCCTGTAGTTTTTCATTGTCATGTGTGGAGAGATGTCGCACTTAATAACCGTGAAGAATGATAACATGATATCCACAGTAGTCAGAGGGGTCTTGGACCTTTTCTGGAGGAAAGAATATATTTGTTAAATTGTATTGCCTTGGCAACCACGCATATCACATTTCAAAAGATATAACTTTATGTTGATGATAACACAACTTAATTACTTCCCTGTGCTGGCCCCGCATGGAGAAAAAAGTTACTTTTTCACAGAAAATCCATCCCATCACGATGTAGCCATTTCGTTTCCACAGCGAGTGAAGAAATTAATATGTTTAATCATACGACACACGTGTGCATGTACAATCTCACAGTGAGCGTATGTACAGGCGAGTAACAGTATCACCATCACAGCATTGCCTCGTGAAAAGGTGTTAAGAGTCACACTCGGTTGGGTGAGCGTTCATTGTTCCCAATATTAAGACTGCGATTTTAAATCTCCGCCGGGGTGCTAAATCACATCCCCCGCGCGTTGATTAAACGAGCACCACCAGGTCGGCACCACCGCTTAGTAAGCCCACGCTGATTTTCCGATACAGAGACAGCTCCTCGCCAGAGAACTATAGAATTCCCATCGTTTTGGCTCAGAATCGCCAAAGGAAATGAGCACTGCTCAATGCGTAGTTGAGCACGGGGAGACGGCGGCGTTTGACGTTGCCCCTTATAAACAAACAATGCACATTCCGTATTTCAGTTTATAACTTGCTGTGAACAAGGATGCAATAAAAACTGCCATGATGTGAATGGAGCTGCAACACAAATGCCCTTCCAATTATAAAGCAAAAACAGTAGCCAACGTTTAAATGCCGGGAGACAAACGGAACTGAAAGTTAACAGAATAATCCGACTGAAATTATATATAACATACGCTCGATAAATGATACTGCGATGAGTTATAGTGAATGCCAGCGAGTCTCATTAAGTGTGCAGGCAAGTCATGGATGCATTCCACTGTGGGTGCACTTTAGTCCGAGTGGCTGCCTAATGAGCGACTTAATTGGATCGATGGAGACACTGTACAGGTAATAGGAGGTAAACTATTTAACCATTTCAATCGTCGGTTGTTTTTGCTCCGATTTTTACATGTAGTTGTTTTTTTCTTTCTTCTAATTTTATGCAATTATTTTTGCTCTGACTTTACAGTATTGGCTTAACTGATGTACTTTGCTTGAATGGTATTGCTCTTGTCACTGGTGACTCAGGTCACTCTTGAAAATAAGGCTCTTCTATCCTGGACTCTTGGCTTCTGACCTGGTTAAACAAAAACAAACTTGAACATGAACTTGAATTGTCTTTTCTTGCTCGGAATGTGGAGTCATTGCCCAAAGTGTATATATGTCTCGGTTCATAAGACAGTGTAAATGGAGGTGATCATTATTTGTTTGCCTGTCCACTTGGAGTATACCAGTTAACATATCAACTCATGCCTGCTTAGAAGGATCACTGACAGGCCTTAAAGTTACATTGGGATCACTCGCAATTCAATTAATTTGTTGCTCAGTTTCAGTGACCATAACTTTGTGTTAAGATTGACCCTGTAGGTGAATGATATTAGTTCGTGAAATTTTGTTTCCAAAAGCAACGGGGCTAAAGATCGGATTCTAGCAACATTGGAGTGATGTATTCCAGTCAAGTGTTATCCCGTCATGCACTCATAATGAGAGTCTTGAGTGATGTGCAATGCTGGCACAAAAATGGCCGTACAAGAATCGAAAACGTTTTTTTTTGGTTTAGACATGTTTGTTTTGTTGTAGTATGTAGTTAGACTGATGGCCTTAATCTAAGTTTTCTTGTGGTTGTTGTTGTTGTTTGACTTGCATCCCACTGGGATTTTTTGCACACAGCATTGGTGTACGGTGTTTTTTTCAGGAATATTTTGCTGTTTTTTTTAATGGATTTTCTGTTTGCACAGTCACATAGTCACTTTAAGATGTTTTCTTGTTCGTGTTTTTGTTTGTTTGTTTGTTGTAGTTGCACCCGATTCAAGAGCCGAATGGCTCACAGGGCTATACCAAAATAAAAAAACTGAGTGAATAGCCATCACGAGCCCTTTACTCCAAAAGACAGTCTCTTAGTTAATAAGGCTTTTGTAAAAGTGATTCAGCAGTTAAAGATTAATTGGTTACCAATGCATTACACGTAGAGCCATGTCACATTTTAACGAACGAGTCGAGTTGTAAAATAACTTCATAAAATGTAGCGAAAGAGATTAAGAGACTGTAAGAGCTGTGCTTAAACACCATTCAATTGTCGTGCTATGCGTGCCAAACCATAACATTTAACGGACACTTCAGATGTGACCACCAGCTAAACGAATTTTGAACTTGTTACTTATAAGGTTCACTTATTGGTGAGGCGTTTCCTTTCTTAATCAAAACAGCCACTCCATAACAAATGTTGGGGCATAAACATTGAAAACATTCATTTTAACCCAGGCTCAACACAAAATATTGACGGGAACTCGCATGTTTCTGTCCCTTTGTTAACACTGTGCGTGGCACCAACATATTTATGAATCAAGGTGCTGTTTCAAAGCTAGTGCTATGTTTTACAAAGTTTTAATTAATATTTGCTATGATTGTAGGATAAAAAACTTGATTCAGCGCAAGCTAGAGTGCATCAATATTAACCTTGCGCAATATGCAGTGGGAGAGCTAATGTTTAATTGTGGAGATGGATGGAAGCCTTTAACTCATTATAGGATCTGAATGCTATTGCAAATCAAATGCGGTTCGGAAAACAATGTCAAGAAGTTAAGGGTAGTGTGGCATGCATCCCGAGCGTGGCAGTGTTCCAAGGCAGCATCTTTCTTGCCATCTACCACAATTGCAAGTCACGTGCAGCAAGTGAAAATAAATAATCTCAGAGGAGGCTCTCAATGTGTCGCGATTGCCTACTGCGTGGGTGTTGTGGATTATGAACGTTCACTGTGTCGTAGGAGACTGCAGCGTTGGTGCCGTGACATATCCGACACTGCTCCGCATGGCCACTACGTGCACAATGCGCCAATCGGGGAAGTTGCTGAAGCAACGGTGTACGATTGAGATGACGGGCTGTTCGTAGCTTATACCCTCTGGGATTCACTGGGTCGTGTATGCAAGCACATGTCTGTTTTGAGTGTCCATCTATATTGTCTGATAAACCACACATACGTTTATATACATTTGTGCACATTTAAACTAAACATATTCATCGGTACGGGTTATAAATGTAAGATTGCATGTATGCACCTGGGTGGGGAGGTGAATGTACATACATATATGATCCGTGTGGTTTAGTTGCTAGAACGTCGGTGTGCGGCACAGACATGGGCATGTTTACCGTGCCCAGGTGTTTTCTCGAATGCGAGTGTCAATGTTCATGCGTTCTTGCGTATATGCATGCCCGTGTGGTGCGTGGGTACTTTAAAACACACGCTTCTCGTTCCAAATCATGGCTCATTGGAATAAGTCTTGATCTGATTGGGTTGAGGTGGGTTGCCGCAAGGTACCTTCCAGTTATGTACACACGTGATGCAAAACCAATGTTACGTGCAGCGTGTTCGTGCACGTCGTGCGTAAATGACGACCGTGGAGATATCGTTGCTTAGCGTGTGCGCGTGACGTGACAGAAAATGTTTAATGTGTGTAGTGTCAGTATTGTCACCTTTTTTTTTTAGTTAGCCCTTAAAGCAAACCGGGCCAAGTTCAAATCCAAATCGCTGATCACTTTTCCCAAAATCTGTCACGGAGACATCCATCACTGGGAGCTGGTTCACTCTGGGGGTCGTGATGAGAAGCTCTGCACGACCGGCACCCCTTCCCTGCACACGCACACCACACATTGATCACCACGACGCAATCGCATGCCGAGTCTCAAATACTCGAAGACTCAAATGAGTCTCAAAGACTCAAATGAGTCTCAAAGACTCAAATGAGTCTCAAAGACTCAAATGAGTCTCAAAGACTCAAATGAGTCTCAAAGACTCAAATGAGTCTCAAAGACTCAAATGAGTCTCAAAGACTCAAATGGGTCTCAAAGACTCAAATGGGTCTCAAAGACTCAAATGGGTCTCAAAGACTCAAATGGGTCTCAAAGACTCAAATGGGTCTCAAAGACTCAAATGGGTCTCAAAGACTCAAATGGGTCTCAAAGACTCAAATGAGTCTCAAAGACTCAAATGAGTCTCAAAGACTCAAATGAGTCTCAAAGACTCAAATGAGTCTCAAAGACTCAAATGAGTCTCAAAGACTCAAATGAGTCTCAAAGACTCAAATGAGTCTCAAAGACTCAAATGGGTCTCAAAGACTCAAATGGGTCTCAAAGACTCAAATGGGTCTCAAAGACTCAAATGGGTCTCAAAGACTCAAATGGGTCTCAAAGACTCAAATGGGTCTCAAAGACTCAAATGGGTCTCAAAGACTCAAATGGGTCTCAAAGACTCAAATGAGTCTCAAAGACTCAAATGAGTCTCAAAGACTCAAATGAGTCTCAAAGACTCAAATGAGTCTCAAAGACTCAAATGAGTCTCAAAGACTCAAATGAGTCTCAAAGGCTCAAATGAGTCTCAAAGACTCAAATGAGTCTGAGGCATTGGTGCTCTTTTCTCGTTTACAGCCCTGTAACAATGGTGGATATTCCACATTTCTATAGCAGAGGGGGGGGGGGGGGGGTTGGGGGGAGCTCTCTATAAAACAACCACGGTTGACTTCACCACACACTGGTGCCTATATTTTATCGACCGTGGATGTCTTGAGTCAACCATGCCCAACCAGGATTTGAAATCATGCCCTTCAAATTGCGAGCCGCGTGCTCTGCCGCCGAGTCACTTAGGACGGGACTATGGTGAGGATTCACTTTCTTACCAGCTAAGGAGGACAGGCAAGTTCGCTTTGAATATTAACATCAATTATATGATTGAGTGGTGTAAATGCATATTTTATTAATCTATAGTTCATTAGTCAACCATCGTGACAGACCTAAACAGTTTCTGAGCACAGTAGGCCCAAGTGCTCAAAACGTCATGAGGATGGCAACACACAGCACGATTGATATGTAAACCCCTTTGCCAAGGTGCGTCACTTCTCTCAACCAGCTTAAAAGATGCTGCGAATCTTAACAGCGTTCATTGAAGCTCTGTCGTCCCGACAGGTTTGTTCCTTTCACCTGAAGAAGGCCACTTGTGTTGTGGCCGAAACGTCGTGAGAATTTTATTGTGTTATTTTATTATTTTATTCTCATTCTACGTGACTTTACTAAAAGAACCAAAGAATAAAAAGTTGTAAGACATAATAGTTGACACGTTTCTTGGTTACTGGGCAAAGGTTTTTATTTAAAGCTTTCGTGACTGCAGGGATTCATATTCTTGGTTCTTTCGGTAAAGTCACGTAGAAGGGAAACAAAAAAAATAAAAAATTTGTATATTGTTATATATAAAATACATTGTTTTATACTTTTATTTTATTGTTTCCCTTCTACGTGACTTTACCGAAAGAACCAAGAATATGGGCAAAGGTTGTTATAAGAGCTTGGGGAAAACGGACGACGATGGGCAGGAATTCCAAATTGGAGCAGTGCTCGGGAAGAAACAGAAAGAGAAGTGAGGTGTCCTGCAGTGTGGCGAGTGGTTGAACACAGTGTGCATGAGACAAAAACAAGTCGGCATCTTGTGGACCGAGTCCTCAACAGGGGTGGAGGAATCACCAAGCATCAAATCTAGAATCACCAAGTGTAGTTCACGGGAACAGTAACCAGAGCAGTAGCGATACAATTGGTTGTCAAGTGACATATGACACACAAAAGAAGCAGATCTCGTGCGCGAGTGTACAAGTCAACTCACCGTACAACTGTCGAACATGACGTCTGCTGCGGCTGGTGGTCCAGTCGCACCGTGAGCATCTCCAGCTGCCGTGGCTTCTGTCGCGGCGCCCGATTTCAGAATCTCGGACTCATCAGCTCCACGCAGACGAATGCTGCTCAGAGAGCTCTGGCATAAATACGTGAGTGACTGGCGAGCCTGGGCGCTGAGCAACCGGAGGAACTTCAGCTGAACCACACCGAGGGGAGAGCCTTCTGCGTCGACGTACGAAAACTATAAAGGAAAAAAAATAAAAGCAAATACTTCAGAACAACTTCAAACGTAGGAGGCTTTCGCGACAAATATTATCCGTAAGAGGTTTTTTTTGGGGTTAGATAGTGTATATATTGAGGCTGCTTGTAATTACCAGTGAAATGTCACAGTACTCGATTTGTAAATGATGTAGTGGGTTTACTACTTTCCAACACACCGGTGTGCTGAACTAGTAACGAATTGGCACGTTTTGTTTACGTGACAAACGTTGCTAATTGGCTGTGTCGGGTGGTGGCGGATTTATCAACACATTTATATTTACACGATCGAACCCAAAAAACTCCATTATGGACTTCAACTGTGGAAGAGGATAAATAATTGCTATTTAGATGGTAATAGTTGTATTATGCTTGTTAAACCAGTAAAAAATATAACTCTTTTCAGGAACCTGCTGCCAAATCTTCACAGGAGAGGGGCAGCAATTGCTATGTATGTCCCAATGCACTAATCTACAGTATAATAAAAAAAGTGAAATTGGACACCAGCATTATTCGAATGATGTCACCGGATCTTTCACATCCAGTATGCAGCAGACGGCATGTAGTATTTTATGGTTAATACACATCCACAAATGCACTGCCGCTGGGTTGCATCACTGCCATGTACAAATGCGACACTCATCAGGGCTAATCAGGCTCAACTATACTGCCTTGAATCAATACCAAAGACAAAGATCCCTTCGCATAGCCTCAGCAGAGAGTTGGGACAAGTGCTGTTAATGAGCTGATGTTTACACAATGCCCCAGCGACTCATTGAAGACTAAGTCAACATATGGGAGGACCGGAATCGGGTCAAATATTTGCAACTTATTGATCGTGAGCGAGAATCAAACTTGGGTTTTCCGGATTAGTAGCGCAGTGTGCTAACCACTGCACCACTGTTCCTCCAATACATGAACCACACAAACACACACCTCTTTTCCTCCCTTGAAGTTGCTGTACCAGCCTCCTGGTTTCTCCTTTGCCCAGGTCGACATCTTTACCTACAGAGAGAGGACAGAGCCAGAGGACCAAAGTTTAACAGCAGCCGTCCTTGTGTGCGCGCAATATGCGTACACAGTTGTAAAATCTGAGTGAAGCGATCATCGTTTAGCAAATGAGACTCATCGTCTGAAGAGAATTCTCACAAGGTGGTACTTGTCCAACATTATTCCAGTGTCGATCAAATGAGCACCATTGTGTGAGAATAAATAGTTGGTTGTTTAGTGATGATTCTATCCATGCCAAAGAATCAGGGTAATCGGGCCTCTGCCTCAGGGGCACAAAGCAAGATTAGCAGCACCCGACATGTTTCAGCATCGACCCTTTGACTTGGAAGCCTGAGTGGGTATAATGCTGGCTCATGAGCAAGTGTGCACATGGACTCTGTACGTTTCCTTGAGCTTCGTGTAGATATCTTTAAAATTAACAACATTTTAAAAGTATGTTTCTGTTCAAAATGAAGCAATAAAGGTTTAAAGGTGATTTTTGTTAACCAGGTGAGAACTCAGGAGACCAGAACAGTCCCATTTGCAAAATGACAAAAAGCAATAACAGAAAAACTAAGTACAAACAATGAAGCAAATATAAATCGGAGCAAAAAACAACCAAATGTAAACCATTGCCACACGTACTTGGGATAACATTCAAAGGAGCATGTCAAGTTTATGTGCCATAGCTCAAATCTCAATGCTAAAAAAACTTTCTCAACTTCATGACCTGCGTCATCCATCTCTTCCATGTGCTCTACCCTTACTCGCCGGGATAAACTAATACAGTAAGTGTGGGCTCATCCCCATCTCTTCCAACTGTTTAGGGGGGATAGAGTGTTTCCCCCCTCCCACACACGGGATTTGGTGATCCAGTTTCCTCACACGCATAAGAAACACTCAGTAATTGGCCGAAAACGCCTGAACATATTAATATGTCAAGGACCTCAGAGCTTGCATGGTGAATGTGGCGCTGGCTCACCACGTGGCTCATGCCTTCCTGCTCCTGCAGGGAGCCACGCTACAAGTATAAATAGTTATTTTGAAGACTGGACTATAATGTTTCTCTCCCCAGCGACTGAGTAATCGGGTCTCGAATTTCAACCGTCGCCACGCCATCTACCATGGCGACAAACCCAGGGACCACAACCCATGTGATGAGTCAGTCTTACCCTCTGCACGTCTCCCAGCCTGAGAACGCTACCATTAAAGGTTGAACGCAGCTTGAATTAACGTGATAAATGGGCACATTGGCACCTTGGAGTCGCTCTCCAATGAAACGTCCAATAGAATTGCGATTTATTGTTATCATTGTCTACCTGAAAGTGTGAATATTTGTCTCAGCTATGGTGTGGTCTAATTTTATGTAGAACATGCTCGTGTGTGTATTATTACCCTTGCCGACTTGACATCTGGTTGAATACATGTCTCCCCTCCAGCCGTGAAATTACAGAACACCTGATAAAAGGTAAAACACAACACAATAAGTGCATCTTACACAGCACATGCCAAAATTACTTATTCTTATACTTTAAACATAAAAGATGTTTGGGGCACACCGGAATGTGACACTAGACTCCACTTACTTAACTCTTTAATTAAAGCTCCCGTGGCACAACGTCTCAATGTTACAGCGTTAGGGTGCATTTGACGTGAACTAGCGGAGTGCACCAAGTAACTGTTGATCTATAGCTGCGCGTCCCGCACAACTATAGTAATGGGTGCGTCGGCATGTAAGCGAAAGGGAGTGCTCTGTTCGTCATTCACAGCATGAAGGCATCGCGATGAAGCTTCTCAGCTTTGCCGTTTTTGCCACAGATGACTGTAAAAAATAGACACTGATTTTGATCCCATTGAGCATCACACAGCTGTTAAGCTCCGAATACATTTGTTGTTTTGGCTCATCTTCCAATGTAATGATTCCTAATCTATGATTTGAACTTTTTCCTTCCGTTTCCTTCAGGAACCATTGCCTGGTGGTATTTCTTCTTGGCCGGACTTCTGGAATCCTCTGACAGAGGAGGATGTTTAAGAATTATAACTTTCTAGATTTGAAGCTTTCGTGACTGCAAGGATTCATACTCTTTGGTTTTATTCAGTAAAGTCACGTAGACGGAAGTACTCTTTGGTTTTATTCGGTAAAGTCACGTAGACGGAAGCTTGTGTTGCCTCCGAAACGTCGTGATTTAATTATTTTCTTTTATTTTGTTTTATTTTATCTACGTGACTTTACCGAATAAAACCAAAGAGTAATTATAACGTTATCAACTCCACGCAACGGTGCAGGATTGATGTCACAGGAAACATATTCTGATATAGATAGTGATGTAATGTGACAGCACAATGGGCGGGTGCTCGAGTTAATCGTCACCATGCACAACCCTTGCAACGAGACGTTCCATCACAAAGGATTTTCCAGGTGATAATATTATGATGAATAAGACGTATAAACATTCATACAATCCCTGCAGGTATTGTGGTTAATGGAGACATGAATCCTCGTAAAAAGGTTTCAGTTTTGTTGCCAGAAAAAAGGGGAAAAACCCTATTATTACATTTTGGTACTGGAAAAGGAGGTCTAATGATGGCGACTAACTACTTTATTAAGCTGCGTGGCTGAGCAGCAAGGGAATTCTGAGTATATGTGCGGAATGATTTGTGCTGCCATCTCACTGTGTGTGTGTACATCGTATCTTGCAACAAATACACTTAACATTTATTTTAGGGAAATTGTTTTTGCTTAACGTGGCACTTTCCAAGAAGGTATCTACTGCATTCAACGAACAACTACTCGACTGAAATAAAGCCAATCAGACATGTTCATTTCCGCAACGATCTGAGTTGAGTCTGCCTGATAATAAAATTGCTTACCTTGAATGAATCGCGTGAGCAGCCTTGGTTAGGGTCAATGTAGTACTCTCCTAAACACAAGCACGCACATAACCACATGAGTAGTCTGATTGTCATGAGTGACACAATAAAGAAGCAGACAGTTCGCCTCCTTTGCACATCTGTCTCTCCAGATCAATAAATATCCATTTTATGATTTGCACATCCCATCCGACACATAGCCTTCTTTGCGTTCGTAATTCACCAGCAACAAAAACTCTGGACCCGTTTCAATATTCAATGTCTTATCGAGTCAGGCTCTCCTCGAACCAATGCTGGTGAACTGCCTGATGGTTATATGCAATTTTAAGTTTACTATGTCTCGTAATGATGAATATAAATTTAAAGTAAGAATATCTAGACAACTATACAATAAGAGTAAAAAAAGTATGTTTATGAAAATATGCTTCACTTGCAGATAGTCTGCGCCTCAACATTACGCTTTCTGTAACTCGTGAGTTGAGTGGATCATTAAAGACCACAGAAGTTGCATCACTGCTTGGACACCACTGTCTGATGGACACGTGGGTGGGGCAGTCTCACCGTTGGGCATGTCAGGGTGGCACATGAGCAGGTCTCGGCACGTTCGTGCGGGGTTTTCCTGCGTTCCGGATGGTTGCTTCATCTGTTCAATTTCAACCTGAAATGAATGAAGACAATGAGGTAGATTGGGTAAATTATAGAAAAGCACACATCCGCACAGAGGGAAACTCCTCTTTCCATGATTAAAGAGGCTTCTGTCAGTGTTGAACTTCTTTCGCACCGTACATAACCAACCCTGTTAATCAGAGATGCGGGGGAAGGACAACAAACTAAACACAAAAAGCAGTTCGAAAGAAGTGAGTTCATAGTTTTGATTTAAAAGTGCAGAGCTCCAGTGGCTTCCTAATATCGGATGGAAGAGCATTCCAGACGGCCGCAGAAATGCATCTGAAGGCATACGGCTCAGAAACACAATCGTAACGGAAGATCGGGAACAAAGAAGCTAAAATGTGTGTAAAGAAGCATGGGAAGAGATGCACACTTGGAGTTATGCTGAGAGAGAGAAAAAGGAACACTTGGAGTAGAGAACACATGCAGGTTACTGATATCATCCAAACTGCTAATAAAAGTGAGTAGGCTTGGGCAGGACCACGTCACGGCCAGAATGGACAATGGCCGACGGTTGCGAATAATAACGGAGTGGCAGCCAAGGTAATGGAACGCGTACCGAGAGACTACGGACACTTAGGAGATGGAGCGATGGAATCAGTTTGTGCATAAGGCACTGGACGGATTGTGGCATCGCAAGGATCGAGAGCGGCGGTGGTGGTGGCGGCGGCTTGACGAGGCGCTCATCCAACAGTGGATTTACCCTGGCTGGTGACGATGGTGATGAAGGAGAGAGCAGTGGGATGAGGTGTACCAGGGAAGGAGGTGTCACTGTTGACCGCACTCAGTGGGTGGGGGTAGTGTGTGGCCTGGCCTGAGGCTGTGGTGCTATGGCTATCCATGGAAATAAGCAGACTTGGTGCCTCCCCCACCCCCTTCCATATGCACACTCTACATAAAACAAACAGTTGTACGCATCCCATCAGCCGCAGTGCCTCCTGGGAGTGCATAATTTCAGCAGCATTTAGTTAAACGCAAGTAAACTCTGCACCCATTGTGACATTCAGTGTCTCGTCGGTAGAGTCAGACTTGCTGGAACCAATGCTGCTGATCTGCTCGATGTTAATAAGCAAGGATGCTTTTTGACACAAAACCACGAAACACAAAATAATAATTATTCACAGAATAAGCAGATGAGGCTTCTCCTTCCCATACCTGTCCCAGCAGATTTGAATGTACGCACATTGTCTGGCTTACAAAAGTCCGTGCGTTGAACGGAGGCGACACAGTCACGTCACGTCGATTTAAAGCAGATTAAGAATGCAAAGTGGTATTAACTGCTCTAAATGTCTTTAAAAAAGAAAATTCCAAACTTTCCCCCAAAACAACCGGCCTACAGTCCTTGTCAGCGCAGGTTTTTGGACGTGCACTTTGGATACGCGGTGAACGCACAATGCGCCCACCTTCAGAGAGTTGAGAGAACCGAATATCTCCTCCATCCCGTCGGTGTAATCCAAGTAGCTCTGGGGGTCCTCGTCTTGCTCCTGGGCAGCTCGCCGCGTCTTCTTGGCAGACTGCATGGGGAGTGGGTGGACCACCTCACCTGGAGGACCCTGCGACAATAACCGCGTGGCCTTCGTGAGTCTTTGGTAGTTCACTTCCATTGTCACATTGCGTCAACGTTCGAGTGACTTTCTGCTCAAATCAGGATTCAGGCATTGGTGCTCATCTCCCGTTTACAGCCCTGCAGAGTCTAAATTCCGCATTCACATAGCAGGGATAAGTGTCCATAGGACAACCACCACAGACTCCCCACCCCCCCCCCCCCCACCAAAGTGGTATTGATTTTATCAACTCCGGAGGGATGATGAGCCGAGTCAACCCCCAACCAAGATTAGAACTTGGAACGTTCCCTTTACGAGCCGCTCCCTCTACCTGCAAGCCACCTGGGCGGATTTTAATTTACACTGGAGTCTGATATCCTCTCTCGAGTTAAATCGAGCCATTCTTCACTCTACTGGCCTCCACGCAGAAGGGTCACCACAATGAAAACCAAAGACAGGATAATGGCCTCGTTTTCCCAATGTGCCAAGTTGGAAAAAGTACGACAATTTCTCAATTGGCAAACCCATAGCTGCCCGTGAAACACGGCAATGAAAATGGCACGGGCACCCAAATATCTCTAGATACTCATTGTTGTTCATTACTGTAGGGACGTGTGTGCACGTCGATGTGTGCTGTGCTTCTATACCGGGGGTCCGGGCATTCCTGTGGGGCCCATGTCTCCTCTTGTCCCGGCGGGGCCCTGCACCCAGACATTCACATCAGTGACACGGTAGAAGCAGTGATGTTATGTCCAATGCAACAGTTCAAACGGTGTGTTAAGTGCACTAGCTATGAGGAGCTTTGTATTTTGATTATTAGCACTGACACACGTGGCTGAACCGCATTGCAATGATGCAAGTAGCAGCCCCTGCAGAGCTAGTGCAGGCAGCACGGAAAAACACTCACCAACGTCCTCTCACCTCACTCTACTCCACCCCACACCCTCAACATTCTCCTCTCACCTCACTCTACTCCCCCTCCACACCCTCAACATTCCCCTCTCACCTCACCTCACTCTCCTCCACACCATCTCCTACCCCTCCCCTCTCGTCTCATTCTAGGAATCACATTGAAGCACATGTATACCACAGTGAGCCGGTGTTTATAAAGTGATAGAGATTGGCGATGGATTCTTAACGCAACTTGATTTAGCACTGATCACGGTGCCAACGATGTATGATTGACAATATTTTTTTTTACCGTTGATCCTTTATTTCCTTTTGGGCCTTGGGGTCCCTGAAAAATAACAAAAACACAAAAAAACAATCAGTGCGTATTTTTCATAGTCATGAGAATATGCATGTAATCACATGGACATGTGCGAATTAGTACCAATGAGCACTTACTCATGGCTGTGAGTGCTGTGGAGTTCACAGGAGAGTATAGTGCTAGCTAGTGGTGAAGGAATGGTAATTACAAAGTACTAGTTCAAAGAAAGGTTCATCTACATTGAGACACAATCACAGCAGTGGATTTAAACCTTGTGTATAAATCATAACACGAAACGACCCTATTGACATTAAAAGGCAGAATGGAATATGTGTAAGTTGGGGCACGCGTTTGATATCTTTCAGAACCATTAAATAAAGATCAAGATGGCATCGTGGCCAAAGCCATTGATGCCACAATCCCTCGCCAAATGCTGTCTGCGCTCCATCAGATCCAGCAGCCGCTGCACAGTACATACAGGAGGGACTTCCAAGATCTGCCCTGAAAGTCTTGACTCCACCACCACCACCACACCTGCTCTTAAGGCTTCCCCTTGGTCGTGGACAGTATTAGATCACACCCCCATATAGCCGTGAAAATGAATACAAGTGAGGGACAACACATGCAGAATATGAAGTGCGAGCCCCTTTCTCGATGACACAGATACTCACAGCGAGGCCAGGAGGCCCAGGGGGGCCCTGCGGGCCACCGGGGCCTTTGATACCCTGCGAAATAAAGAAGCAGCCCACATAATCAGCATCGTCAAGAAGCTTGCATTTCTTTGCCACGCCAAAACCATTACTCCAAACAATTACAAAGGACACATTTGGCTTTAGCTAGAATGCTGCAGTCACATGTGGGGTGAAACACCCAGTTCCTACCTCATTGCACTGGATAAAATTCAACGTAAAGCAGTCAGGGTGATTGATGATACAGCACTCACTAATTCCCTCACACACCGATGATCAGTCGCAATCTCATCACTCCTCTGTTGTGACTACTATGGTCACTGTTCCCGTGAACTCCACACGGTGATTCCTCCACTTATGTTGCATGTATGTATGTAGGTTGAACTTCTTTCGCACCATACGTAGCCAACCGCGATAATCAGAAGGGGAAGGACAACACACTAAACACAAAAAGCAGTTCTAAATAAATGAGTTTTCAATCTAGATGATTCAAAAGTGCATAGCTCCTGTGGCTACCTAATATCAGAAGAGCATTCCAGACGGCAGCAGAAGCGCATCCGAAAGCGTGCAACGGAGTGACTGTTTTTGTTAGATGGCTAGCCAAAATCCGCTGCTGCGAGGATGATCAGAGTTCGCGAATGCTTTATGCTCATTGACAAGTTCATTTGTGGAAAGCACTTTGTGTGTAAGAAGTGCGACCTCATAAAATATTAGTTCGAGCACTGGATGGACATGGTCGGATTTTGTAGTACCCGTCATGACACGTGCAAAAGAATGTTGTACTTGCTGCAGGTTGTTAATGTTTTGCCAGATGTCCCGTAGAGTAGTGAGTTGCAATAATCGAGCCTTGTCGATATACTACGCGACACGGTACCGTGTTGACTATGTCACGACTCAATAGTGGTCGAATGTGTCGTAGAGCCCTGATATGAAAATTGAAGGACCTGACTATATTTAGCACGTGGTGATCAAACGACATATTATGGTCAAGTATAGTGCCTAGGCTCTTTAGATGAGTACAAAACTAAATCCTGGAGTCTGCGACCGCCACACCTCATCCTCCCACCAATGTTTCCCCCAGAAACTAAGTGCCAACCATCAGATCCTCCGATTTTTCTGGATTAAGCAGCATTTTGTTTAATGCATACCACACGTGCACCACTCATGTACAATCTTCAAGATTAACCGAGGCTGTTCACATCTAACTTTGAGTTTACTGCAATGTACACTTGTGTATCATCAGTATATTGATGGAACTTGATGTCATGTGATGAGATGACATTGGTGATGACTGTTCGTTACTTAGCTTGACAAACTGTAATCAACCATGACTCAATCCACCCCAGTGCCAGACCCGATACACTGAACTTTGACCTCAGTCACCTGATGAGTATCTCATGATCGATGGTGTTGAAGGCGGCTGAGAGTTCGAGGCCAACCAACCCTGCGGCACACCGGTCATCCATGATCTTGCAGAGGTCATCAGTGATCTTTAGTCGAGCCGCATCAGTGCTGTGGAACTTCTGGTATGCCGAATGCAATGGGTTGATTCTGCCCATCGCAGTGATGTGGGGAAGTAACTGCTTCTAACAAACGTGCTCCATGACCTTTGAAATCTTTCCCAGGTTTGAGATTGGCCGATAGTTTGCAGGGTCACTATGGCTCAAGTCAACTTCTTCAGGAGGGGTGTTGCCTGTGCCATTTTGTACCGGTCTGGGAAACAGCCCTCACTGAACAAAAGATTTACCAGGTGGACAATCAGCGGAGCAAGTACGTTTGAGCATAATTTGAGAATCGGCGTGTAGATGTAGTGGAGCAGCGATGTCATATTTGGCAGCCGTGCAATGAACATCGACACCTCTGCCACTGAGGTTTGTACAAAGGTCTCGAGTTTTGCATTTGTTCCAGGTTGATCAAACTCAGATGGCAGACCGGGAGAATGCATTGCCTTCCATTTAGAATCTGCCATCTTGATCGTCACTATTTTATTGGCGAAGAACGTCACAAGTACTGTGCATAGACCGGGGTGACTAGTTGATGGGTGGTTGGAGTGCAGCAGACGCTTCAGGATGTGTCACAGATCACAGGGATTGCCAGCCGATTGATTGACGTGCAGAGCATAGAACGATCTGCGAGACTCAATAATGAGTTGGTTGGAAGATCTCCAGGTGGCTTTGTAACAGAGTCGGGCAGTCTTGAATTCAGTTTTCTTCCAAAGATGCTCTGGCCTCCTCTGCATATGCTTCGTAGCGATTACTGCATGCTTTTCCCATTCTCTTTGTGCTTGTTCAGATTGGCAGGCTGAATGTTTCATCCTATCCACAATGTGTTCATCCACCACACTGAAGGTCACAACAACACACTCACTCTCTTAGACACCCAATCACACACTCACCCACCAACCCACTCACCCATTCACTAACCACACTGCAGGTCACCTCACTTCTCATTCTGCTTCTTTTCTAACACTATTCCACTTTGCAATTCACTTTCATCATCTCTTTTCTAAAACATTCTTCAATTCAAGAAAGGTGCCAACTTTGATATATTACAACTTTGAAAGTGCTGTCTGTTGGTGGCATATTGACGTTTTGGGCATTTGGACCTGCGCTCAACAACATTGTAAAAAAATAAATCTACACTGCACCAATTCTGTAATTCCACCCGCGAGGTAGGAATGAAATGCACAGTTTTGATTGCCAAGCCAGATTTGCTTCATTGAAATGGGTCTCTGTCTGGCTTCGGGTGGAATCTAAGATCTTGCCGCTCGTGTTCAAGGCCTTACGAGGGCTCGTTCCGCTTTATAGTCAGCAACCAATTCAATTTCATGCCCACGCAGTGTCGTTAAAGCTCTGCCCACTGAGCCCTTCTATGCGTACCTCGATCTCGGTTGTTTCCTCGGGACGTTCGGGCGTTTACTGTGCCCCCCCACACCCCCCGGGTGTGGAACTGCCGACTGATGGAGATCAGGCTCAGTCAGGTTTTTCCTAATCATTATTGTTCCTCTTTGACTATTATTTTGCCACCCAGATTGTTTTTTTACGACTTTTACTCTTTTCAGTATGATTATTATTATTTACTGAAAATCACAAAATATGCAATGTGATGCAATCTCTGGCCACTATCATAAATAAATAGCACTTTCACCTGCTGATGTGTGACATAATGTCAAATTAAACATAAAAGCAATTATTGAATTTGGTTGTGAGGAGTGGTCAACTCACCGGTAAGCCGAAAAATTAGTAATCGATGCGTTAAATACTTGTACACCTCGTGACTTGAATATGTGTTGAGTGGTGGAGGGTTCTTAATGACACAGATTTGGTCAGATCGTTATTTGACCCAACCCAAGTATTTATTAAGAACCATAACATTGGCTGCCTGTTCAGTGAATACGAATAGGGCACAGCCCTTTCTGTCGTTAACTTCTACACAATTACCGTGTCGCCCTTGTTGCCGGGTGTTCCTTGGGTCCCGGGGAGCCCACGGTCTCCCTTCTCTCCCTGCTCTCCAGGAGGTCCGATCAACCCGATCAGCCCAGGGTGTCCCTGAGAGTAGTTACACAAAAGCATGTCGTTCATTAAGATAGTCAGATGAAAGAACGTTTAGTACATATAATGCATAAACTCCGCCTGTACATGAAGCAGCCCACCTCCATACATTCCATCCATTCCTCTCTTAAAGCCTCACCTGTTCTCGACTGCCCATGTTGTTCCTCTACCCTCCCCTCACCCCTCCACTTCTTTCCGTCCCTCCCTGTTAGTAATTCTTATGCACCCTCCGTCGCGGTCCCTCATTCCAGAGCCCTTGCACACCCCTGTCATCTGACTCACGATATATTTATATAATGTACTTATATACTTTATTTATATTTTAGTGACTTGCTTACATTTTCGCTATTTTCCACTCCTATCGTTTTTTGTATTGTTTGTTATTGTAAATTGCTGACCTGCCCCTACTGGACATCTGTGAGCTGCATAGTTCATCGGATTCCTCCAGTCTAAATAAAGATTCTGATTTTTATCATTTTAACACACCATTTCCTAAACAGTGTTAAGCGGCTTGTACCCTATAAAAAATAAGGTACAGCTGAAGAGTCAATCCCAGAAGACTGTGTGGCTGATGGGATTCATAAATAAAAAACACACTTTATTTATCATGTGGAGAGACAATCATGGCAAGGAGGCATATTTTCTGCTCATGTGTACAGGTGATGCGAGTACTGGTGCGGGGAGTGACCTTGGTCGATCTCATTATCCACGTTTATCTGAATGTGGATATCGCTACCTCCTGCAGGTTACTCCCCTTTATCTATGCCAAAAGGCACGGATACAATTGGGTGAAAGTCATCCTTCTCTGAGGCCACATCTGGGTCGGTTATGGTTGGGTGCAGTGGCGGAAAATGCTTAGGTGTCTCAAGAAGCTCAAAGGGGCACCATCTTCGGAAAATAAAACAAAAATGTCAATATGAATACAATTATTACCTTTTCTCCTTTAATTCCAAGATCCCCCTTTAGTCCAGGCAGCCCCGGTGGACCCTGAAACACAGACACACACACCGCGTGCAGCAACCCGTGTTTAATTCCCCCTCATGGCCAATGCCAGTGCCGATTATCTGAATCGGTACTGGGCCTCCCCTAGGTCGACTCATCCTCAAATGTGTACCTGGTGTGGTGTGTAAATATCACCGCAAAAGCAGTCCGGCGTGGTGCTGACAACCCACCCCCTCGTGTACCGTGCCAGCCTTCATAGCACCCGTCGGTGCAGCACAGTCACCAATGTTCACTGCTACCCTGTGGCTATGGGAAGCCCCAGTGTGGAGCGGCTGTCACCTCACACTATGGGGGCTTTGTTCGTGAGACCCCTGGAGCGGTCCAGTAAATGTGTTACCGCCACGCCTTGCCGGTGGCTCCAAGAAATGGCGCCGTTCAGGGGCCATGACTTTAGTTTGCCCCCCCGTTAGCCTCACTTGCATAAGCTGTCATTTGCAAAGCATCAATTTGACGCTTATACTGTGAGCCTTAAGAATTAATATGAATTGTTGAATCGATGCTTCGCTAAACGCTTACTCATTTGCATGTTTAACTTTTTTTTTAAACCCAGCCTTTGTCAAGATGAATGGTGTATGCATCATCATCATCGTCGCAACGCTTCATACTGGTGTGTACCATTGTTCCAGTTCGAGGCAAAGATTATCTCACAATGACTGCATGTACATTGCCTCACACGCAAGCCACCGCCATCATCTTCTAACTTTCCATCTCCGTTCGTCCCACAAACCCCCCTCCCCTCCCTCCGCTCTCTCTTTCAACGTCCCCTTGTGCATTCTTCTTCCTAATTTTCTGTCAGGAATTCAGTTTTTCTACTTTTGTCTGTCTTGAAAACGCACCTCATTAAATTGTCCTTTAACCCCTAGTTCTGGCTGCCATGTACCCTGGTTCTGCTTATTTCCTGTTCAGCATTTGGCAGTACGGCTATTTTGCTGTGGGCTCCATCATCTATTTTGTGCAGCAATCATGTTGCTTCTTTGCTCTCAGCGTCCGTGCAAAGCCCGTCCTTCCTCTCCCCATTCACCCCCTCCCTTTTCCCCACCACCCTCCCCCTCTCTGACTTATTTAACTGCCCTGACTCTGGTCTCTCTCCCACTTCAGTAACAAAAAAATTATTGCTGTGGTTGTCACACCTGATGATGATTGCTTGTGTTGCAATCGAAACGTCGTGATTATTTTTTTTTTATTTTTTTTACCTACGTGACTTTACCGAAAGAACCAAAGAAAATGAAATGTGCCCTACAAATATCAATTATTATTACTCTAGGTCTTGCTCAATTATTGTCGAACGGTCATTCAAATTCTACATTGCTTGCCATTCCTCTTCAGTGCACTCTGCATCAATTTCAGTTCCCAAAAAGATGGAAATCCTAAGCGTCATTTAAAGTTGATGATAAAATAAAAAAAGAATTGACCTTTTTTTGGCAATACAGGTGTAGCTCCGTAAATGGGCTGTGTACTTACCTGCAGTAGCAGGCAGGGCCCACCAGGGGCAGTAGCTTGGACCGGTATGAGGGTCGATACATTCCCCAGCCCCAAAGCGGGGGGGCGGGGGGGCTGTGGGGTGTTCTAGGATCCCCCGAGACCCCCCCTGGAACTCTCTGGAAGGGAGGCGTGGCCAGGGACGGACACACCTGGGGAAGTGTATAAAAGCCGGACCTCTGGACGAGTCCGGGGCTAGTCCGAAGACTGAAGCCTAAAGACCAGCTAGCATAAGACCCTGGGAACCCCCAGACCCGCTGTCCTTCTAAGGGCCGGCACTGAGTGTGCCAGTGGTGAGAACCTGGGAACCCCCGGGGCCTGATGTCCTTGTAAGGGCCGGGACCGAGAGGGTCAGTGGTCGAGACACGTACCTTGGCTGGGTTGGGTCAGTGTAGCCTCCCCTAGGTCACCGTTAGCCGGAGAAGAGAGAGCCCGTGGTCCCAGTGATAGGGTACGCTTGCCCGGAGGCCGTACCTCCCCAGGTAGCGGGTAAAGGGACCGCTACCCCTTTGTGTTAGGGACTGTTACTGTTGCTGTTACCGTTATCGTAAATAAACGTGTTGCCTCTACAAGCCGTCTCCACTCTCCTTGAACCCACTACACAGGTATTAAGATGTTCAAACACCTATTACAAGGCATTAGGCCTTAATCAACCACACATACTTGTGGTAAAACATGCAAGCAAATATGCTCTGATGCATGCATTATCTTTCAAAAAGTGATTGGCCTACACCAGAGACAGCCCCTTTTATCAATTTGTCTCACCAGTGTTAGACCAAAGAACGCAAAAAGGGTTATTATATTATATAACTGCTTAACCCAAGCTATTAATGGCTTGGTGTTTGCATTGTCCTTGTAGGGTTCACCTTTTGGAGTTCTTTGCTCTATGGCACTGGACGCTGTCTCCGGAGTAGGACTATCAGTTTTAAGGATAATGCATACATTATCAGAACATATTTGGTTGCATGTTTTACCACGTGTGGTTTATGCAGACTGTATGCCTTGTAATAGCTGTGTCTATTTGGTGCTGTATTTTTGCCAGAAAACGTAAGACCTTTATTTTTCATCATCTTCAGTGTAAAAAGGGTACCCGTAGATATCATTAAAGTGATTTTGTCTATGGCTTCTTTGATTTGAGCCCTCAGCCATTGTTTGGTCTCATTTATGATTAAACATACTCAAGGTTTTTTAAGATATATCATGTAAATATAAACGTGTCATTAACCTGCCACCACCCAACAAGGCCAATTAGTAAGGTTTGTCATGTAAACAAAACGTGCCAATTAGTTACTACTTCAGCCCACGGGTGTGTTGGAGAGTAAACTCACAACATTTACAATTTGAGTACCGTGACGTTTTGCAGGTAATTCCATCCAGCATCATCGGGTGGTCGTGAGTTAACGACATATTTATAGTTACGCCATCTAACCCAAAAAAAACCTTGATTATGAATAATACTGTTCGCGAAAGCCTTCGCGTCAAACTGACGAACCTTTACGATTAAACCTTGCACCTCTGCATCGAGGACAATTGTTCTCAAAGTTCTCTGCACTCTCTCTGGTTCAGGTTCGCTTCACGTAATCTGTCCCAAGGGCTGCAAAATTCTCCACCAGGCTCGTGTGGGACTGCTCCCCATGCGGCATCCAGTCAAAGTTAATACTTTGCACCTCTCGTTTATTTTCACGTATAACCCCACAAAAAACGTTATCATAACTGAATACAATTTCTTAAAATATATATCTCAATAAAGCAGACGACCTGGATGGATAAAAGTAATGTCCTGTTTAGCACATAAACACCACCACGACCAGAGGTGACTTACCATAGGACCTGGAGGTCCCTTCTGCCCAGATGGACCTGGGGATCCTTGATCTCCCTGTGCACACACATAAAAAGACAGACCCACACAACACCAAACACATCAGAACATCAGAGAGGTTACTAACGAGAGGAGGGACAATCAATCCAAGCTCTGTAGTCTGCCAGTAGGGGGCAGCAATGGCATGCTATGTGTTAATTTGTGATTATTTTTTTCAACGTTGGGAAATGTGGACTATGATGCTGGCATGCAATGGCCTGCTTCTGCGAAATATGTTATAGGATTCATATTCTTGGTTCTTTCGCTAAAGTCACGTAGAAGGGAAACAATAAAATAATAAAAATATAAAACAATAAAATTCTCACAGTGAGAATTCTCACAGTTCTCACAGTGAGAATTCTCACAGTGAGAATTGTATTGTTTTATATTTTTATTATTTTATAAAATTCTCACAGTGAGAATTTTATTGTTTTATATTTGTATTATTTTATTGTTTCCCTTCTATGTGACTTTACCGAAAGAACCAATAATATGAATCCCTGCAGTCACGAAAGCTGTAAATCAAAAATGTCATAGGATCTTTAACGTCCACTCTGAAGCACGTGGTGCGTGTGTTTTATGGCTGATTCACACCCCGGTGTGCATGAGGGTAGCCGCTGGAGTTGAACCACGAACGTTTGCGACAAGCGGCGAATGAACTATCGCTTGTCCACACCACCACCCCAATAACTACCACCACTTTCAATTTACATGATCATTATACATGTATATTTGTTATACTTCTTTCATAAGTAATGCGAGGAACATGTGTCCATAAGCATATTTTAATTAATATTATTATTACATGTGAAACAGTGGTATTATTATTTGTATCTTATTTGACAATACATGCACCAGACACAGACATAAACAATGAGCATTACACACTTACGCTGGGGATTTAATTGAGTTACTCGGTAGCAACGAAAGAGCATCCTAGCCCAATGCTTTCCAGCAAGACTGGACAAAAAAAGAATATACTTAATTGTTATTGCTCTTTTGTTATGCATACTATTCGTATACATATAAATGTCAATATTTTAATATTTAGATATGAAGGGGTTGATGACAATGACAAAACTATACTGTAAGATGATTAAACAGGCCCAGGTTGCATAGACTGGCAGCCTGCAGAAATATGCACACATAACTATTTTGGCAAAGTATATGTACAGAAAATAGGCAAACTATTTGAAATGGGCATACAAACAGGTACTGGTACTTAGAATCTGAAGCAAGTAATTATTACAAACATATTATTACCGCTGGGCCTGGTATTCCCCGCAGTCCTTCAGGCCCGGCCTTTCCTGGTGGGCCTTGATTCCCCACAGGTCCTGTCTTGCCTGGAGGGCCTTCCGCACCGCCCTCCCCCTAACACACACACAGAGGAGCAGCAAAATCAACATCGGGCTCTCAAACATTACTGGCAGAGAGAGAGATGTTCATATCATTGCTGTTATCAGTGGCAACACCAAATCACCATTTTCAGTCATGTCAAACATCTTCTTTGATACATTGCCATGTAAATGTCCACTTAAAATGCATCTTTGAACACGTGTCAGAATGTGTTTTCTATGCGTGTGTTAATCGACATCCTGGACATCATTGCAATCGAGATGTTCCATCTTTTCAGGTGAATATTTTGATAACAATTATTATAAATGATGTCATTGAAACAACCAAGAAAATTACCCACCTTTGCACCCTTCTCTCCTTGCTTTCCCTCGGATCCAACTGCTCCTGGTAGCCCCTTAAAACAGAACCAATTACCACAGCTGTCATTGCATTGAAATTACTACGTAACACGAGTTGTCAATAACAAGATGAAGATGTCATCATGGCCAAAGTCATGCACTCACACCTCGAAAACGATTTCTACCCTCCACCAAATATCCCGCGGCTGCTGCATGGTTGACGTGCGATCTCCATAATCAGCCCTCACAGTCTCCCACTGTCTGCCTTTAGGTCTCCTCTTTTCCTTGGTCACTAGGCTTGTAGAGACCCCTCGAATGGCAAGTCTCAGCAATGGGCCCTCCTATACTTCGCAGACACAACCTACTCAGTGCGATTATTTTTGCCTCATCACGCCTACAACACTCACCTGCCCCACGTCCCCTTTCAGACTTCTGCACTGTTGCTCCTGTCTTGCAAATACATTCCCAGCATCCGTCTCATACACCTGAGCTCAAATACCAACAACGTCTCTTGGAGCTGCTAGGTAAGGTGCAGATCTCTGATCTACACAGTATTACTGGCAACGTTCCTGTCTCAACTGCCCTTCCCTTTAGACTCAAGACTCATCTGTACGGCTAAGTCGTTTTCATAGCGCATCTATCATACAGCGAGTGGATGCTATGAGAGGGGCCAGCGGTCGAGTGTAGCACCCACCCGCTTGCCAGGAGGCCCCGGGGGACCAGCCTCTCCAGATGGACCTGGCGGACCCTGAAAGGCAGACACAAGAGTTGGGTAAGGGACACGAGACAACACGTAAAACGTCCTGAAAATACGAGTCCTTAAAATAATGCAGTGCACAAAGGATAGAATGAATGTCATTTATTTAAGTCAGTCAAGTATCCTTCATTTAACCACAATTATTGTTTGGGATAGAGCCACGCTCTTTTACGCCGGGGAGTCTCCGAGCGCTATAGACGTGATACGTGACTTACATCGCATCACATCTCAACAAATTTAAAAGGGCACCCCCAGTGGCAGTTGTCCCTCTGCGGCACAAGGCGACTCAGCACCTGTCGTGCAACTGGAAATTAGTGCCAGTAGGGGGTGATGATTTTAATACCAATTAAGTGATCTGCAGGTAATTTTTCTACGTATCAATTGTTGACTATGATGTCAACCCACAAAAGCCTACTGATAGTGAATGACGTCATGTGATCTTTAACGTCTTCAAATTGGAGTATTTCATTGTTAATAAACCCCAAGCAATAACCAGGGGTGCCTGCCCGACTCGAACTGAAAACCGCTGCAATAAGCGGCGAACGTGCTGCCATTGGACAAAGTCATCACCCCACGGTGAAATAAACCCTCGTTGAGACACGTGGAGCAACACTGCCTCTTTTGCCCAAACGACTTGGATCATATCCAGACCATTTAAGTGCACAATGCCATACTATATTGTAAAAAAAAAGTTTGACTGGCTGGCTGGCTACAGAGGGACGGACGGTCAAATCCAAGGGACATGTGGGCTACCGGTAAAAAAATAATAATGTAACACATGGATGCCAACTACAACAATAATAGTAAAAGTGTGAAAAAAAGCCAAGAAGGTGAAGTGCAAGTAAACATTTAAAATATACCATTAATATAACATAAATTCTGGAAAATAAAGTTGACTATATTGGGCAGATTAAAGGCACATGAGAAAAGCTTAACAAAATATAATAAAGTGTCAACATGTTGACTTAAGGCAGCAAGAAAATATGCTGCTTAAACAAAACATTTACAAGGGGTTTCATCACTGTCTCTTCAGCTACTGTCGGGGTTGAATTAAGATGCAGTGAGGAAGTCACATGTGATTTCAGAATCCAAGGCGCCAACCAAGACATATGCTAATCACGAGCTGACGAGCGGGACAGAAGGAATAACATAGAGGAAGCACAGAGAAGGAAGTGAATGCATGGATGACGCCTAGTGAGCCGATGTGAGAGAGGCTCATGCACTCACTGCGGCGCCTGGGTCTCCGTTGTCTCCTTTCTCTCCGGGTCCTCCGTCAATACCCTGTCAATTCACCATCACCACAGTCACCATCACCATACATTACGAATTTACCAATTATATTTGGTATTTGCGCCATTCTTATAGCATAAGGCTATCACTATGGCACTATGTTTTGCAAGCACAGTCTGCAACTCCAACGGAGTGATTTGCAGGTAATTTGTAAAATTGGAAAATGTAGACCATGATGATGGCACACTACTCTTTTCAAATTACACAATGGGAACTTTAATGTCCACTGTGAAGCAGATGGTACCTATTATTATGGTTAACACACCCGAAGTATTAACTAGGTTGGTCTGTCAGGTTCGGACCAAGAACCTCTGCAATGAGCGCCGAACACACTATTGCTGGGCCACGTCGCCACCCCAAGACAATTACCACCACTTTAATTTACATTAAACAATTACTATTTAACCACGTTCAGACTTATCGTGCTTCTTTTGTAAGTAATGTCAGCAACGTGGTCAAAACCATATTCGTTATTATTGCCTTTAAACACCAAACAGCAGAATTATTACGTGTCATATTGGGTTGATGGAAAAATAACTGTTCTTCATTGCATCAATGCAAACATTGCATTGCATAATGTCTGATGCATTGCACAATGCACGTGGCCAATCTGATATGTAGGGCAAAAGAGTGGACGGTTGAATTGTTTAATGCAAAATAAGAAGAATGAAACGATCCAACTTACAGCCACGCCAGGCTCCCCAGGGGGTCCCGGATCTCCTGGGAACCCGACCGGGCCCTGCGAAAGAAAAAAACACACCACAGTTGTGCGTGTGTTCACATGCATGCGCGTGTGTGTCATACATATGTATGTGTATCTACAGGCATTTAGGTATGTGTCTTTAAGGCTATACAGGTGATCTTCATATATTTTGATTTAAAGTTTTCGTGACTGCAGCAATTCATACTCTTTGGATCTTTCAGTCAAGTCACGTAAATAGAAAATAATAGATCACGACATTTCAATCACAACACAAGCAATTGTCTTCAGGTGAGAGAGAAAAAGCTGCTGAGACAAGGTCTTATATAGGCGTGGGCTTACACGATATTGATTTTTACAAGACGAAGGTACACTTCAAACCTACTGGCTATCATCAAATATTTGTTCATGAAGCCATCCAGATATATAAACAGACACAATTTTAACCGAGAAGATGGGTACAAATTGAGCAATCATTGGAAGGACGTGATTAACCAGGTACAATTTTAACTTGCTATGTTTCCATCCTATCTACCGATGTTAACGGACTCTCCGAGTTTCATTACTAGGTTGGATGTTTTGATTTAAAGCTTTCGTGACTGCAGGGATTCATATTCTTGGTTCTTTCGGTAAAGTCACGTAGGAGGGAAACAATACAATAATTAATAAATATAAAACAATAAAATTCTCACAACGTTTCGACTGCAACACAAGCAATCATCATCAGGTGATTATTATTTTATTGTTTCCCTTCTACGTGACTTTACCGAAAGAACCAAGAATAAAGGTTGGATGTATTTGTATTGACGGGCTGGGTGTCCACTACCCCAGCCTCTGTGGTTGGACCATCTCTAGCTCCACCCACCTACCTTGATGCACCCATCTCAGGCCTATATAAGACCTTGTCTCAGCAGCTTTCTCTCTCACTCACCTGAAGACGATTGCTTGTATTGCGATCGAAACGTCATGATCTATTATTTTCTATTTACGTGACTTGACCAAAAGACCCAAAGAGTACTTCATTCATTTGTTTTGTGTACGTATGTGCATGCACACAATTTATTATATTTTTAGTGACACTGGTGAATTTCAGTGAAAACATAAATAGGCTGTGGATGTGTTTGGTACAGTGTGGGATATTAAAATACGTGATCATTTTTTAAAGAGAAAAATTACTTTAATATTCTCGACAGCAATGCAAATATTATTTATTTTGTATTGTCTTGCATCAAACGAATGCCCATATATAACAGGGAGGGACCTTGCCTATAAAAATCTGGAAATGTTGGTTCAAGTGAGCCTCACTCTGCTTATTGGGCGTGGAAAGTCATATCCGGTCCAGAGTATCCGTGTGTTGACACAATGCTTTAAAAAAAGGTCTCCCAGAAGGCTATGTGGTTGATGAGATTTGTAAAAAAGGTGCTCTTGTTTTATTTATGTGAAGAGACCGATATGGGAAGGTGTAGCATCTGCTTATATATTTCGTTAATATTAATATTCTCCACGAGGAAGCGCATGATTATGTTGTTGTAAGTGCCATGACCATTGTTATGGTTACAATCACCAACAATCTAACTTTAGCGAAAGTTTGTCAGCATTTCCTCAACGGCCGCTCGCTCTATACTTGTGCATTTCAGGGTCTAGACGGTTGATGAGGTGAGAGGCTGTGAGGCGAGGACGCGAGCTGGAGAGGTCCCCACCAGGTTGCCCTTGGGCCCGTCATCTCCCGGAGGCCCCTTCAGGCCAGGAGGCCCAGCGACGCCCGGCGATCCGGCTTCGCCCTTTTCTCCTCGTTCGCCTTTGCCGCCCTGGAATTACAGAAATGGCTTCTCAACGGCTGCACGGGAAACAACACATGGTGAGGATGGACCGGCCGTTTCCACCACGATGAGAATTAAAATAATGCCACTCAATGTAACTAGCGCTGCAAGTCTCCCAGCGGCAGCAGTTGAAACGGTAATGCAAGTTTCTCAAAACCTACCCCGCCTCTCTCCTCCCGACAGTGTAAATGGTTTACACCGCAGTTGGTCGAACGGCAGCTCGCGCGTGGTGGGATGAAGTGTGGGTATACATCCACCCCTTCAAACACGTCTTCTCAACGCGGTAGATTCGACAGAATATCCTTCCGCCAGCGGTGGCGTGAGCAAGCAACTGCAGGACTGCCACACCTTTACTGTGACATTGCTTATCACAGTCCAGCATTATTTTCTTGAAACGGAAAAGACCTGGCGAGCACACGTACCGATCCGCCAGGCTCTCCCGGGGTTCCAGGATTACCAGCTTCCCCTGCTTCTCCCTGAGAAACGCAGAAGCAGAAACAGGAACAGGAACGTGAAGAACAAGGCAGAGAAAAACAGAGCAGGGACCCGTTGTGGTGATGAATTCGTACGGATAATGACGGAATTATCTCATCTCTTCTAGATTCTCAGAAAGTGTTAATGGAGAGCTTAAATAAAGATAGGGAGAATGTAGTTGAACATTTAGAGGAGGTGGAATTGTTTCAGGATGTTTAATCGGATATTGTCTTAGCTATGCGGTGTATGCAGTTAATATAATTGCATTTGTCTGTTCTGTATACACATAGTAGTGTACACTAAATATACACTCACCAGCATGTCTAAATGGGGACAAATAGTCCTCACGCTCCACACAGGAATATAGAGGCCCTCATCCAGCAATGTGTGTGTATGCATGTGAGCGTAAGTGGGAAGCCCTTTATCTGTGCTCAATAACAGCTCTTGCCCCACAGTCTGGTAAGGCTATATGATTACGACCGCTTACCTTCTCTCCTGTGGCTCCGTGAGTTCCCAGGCCACCAAGCGGCCCAGGGGGGCCCTAGGGAAGCAACACAATTACAAGTGAAGTTGACTGCATCCCTTCAAGAATGGAAAGCCCCACAATAAATTGGTTTATTGTCATTTCATACTGGACCACCACATTCATCATAGCACAGCAGATGAAATACATGTCTGTGAGCAGAATTAGTTTTTTTTCCCTTTAGCATCTTCGACTGATTCAGGAAGACACCATATTGCATTGAGGGTTGAATTGTGTATGGGAAGCGGGCGGCCTGACTCTGCGACTGGGAGTGTGTGTGGATCCATTGCTGCGGAGTCTGCACACAAATCAGTTGAGCCACTCCTTCAGTGCACGGTGTTCAACAAGTGCTGCTGCTGATGTTATCTGGTGGTGCCACGAGTTCAATACTGATTCTGAAAGGCAATGACTTAACAAGGGAATAAAAAACATGCTCATGTGTGGCTTGTGTAATGTTCTCCAACATGTATTTGTGTGTTTTTTTTTATAATGAATGCGTGCTGTCTGGTATTTTTGATATATGTGTAGTGGAATAACACACGCATACAGGGAGGATTGTAAAGACGCACATGTGCGGCTTGGGGAAATGGCAAAAGGGAGACGGCCCAAAAAGTTGGTATGAGATGCATGGCGGTGATTGGCCGGTTGTTGTTATCAGGGGCAAAGTGGCGCCACATTGTTCGGGAGATGGGGGTGATAACGGCAGGTGCCAGGGACACGAGACGTCGTTGGGGACGCCGCTTAATTAATTGATAGTTAATGAGGACGGGGATATATTCGGGGACGAGAGAGCGGGGTGGGGAGTTGTTGCTGGGGACTGGAACGGAGCAAGACGGAAGGAGACAGAGAATCGGCAAGGGAGAGAGAAGACATGAGAGACAGAACAGGCTAGCAGTGCAACAGGGAACAAGAAGAGAGCCAGAGACAAGGGAAGACAAGGAGAGACAGAGAGAGATGAGACAAGGCAGAGACAAGGAGAGACGGAGAGAGATAGAGAATGCAGAGACAAGGAGAGACGGAGAGAGACAAGGGAAGACAAGGAGAGACAAGGAGAGACAGAGATAGAGAGATAGAGACAAGGCAGAGACAAGGAGAGACGGAGAGAGATAGAGACAAGGCAGAGACAAGGAGAGAAGGAGAGAGATAGAGACAAGGCAGAGACAAGGAGAGACGGAGAGAGACAGAGACAAGACAGAGACAAGGCAGAGACAAGGCAGAGACAGAGACGAGATAGAGACAAGGCAGAGACAAGGAGAGACGGAGAGAGACAGAGACAAGGAAAGACAAGGAGACAGAGAGAGATAGAGACAGGGAGAGACAGGGAGAGATGGAGACGAGATAGAGACAGAGAGAGATCGTGATAGACAACGAGAGACAGCGAGCGACAGCGAGATACAGAGTGAGATGGAGATATAGAGTGAGACAGAGACGGAGTGAGGCAGAGACAGAGATACAGAGTGAGACAGAGATACGGAGTGAGACAGAGTTACAGAGTGAGACAGAGATACAGAGTGAGACAGAGATACAGAGTGAGACAGAGATACAGAGTGAGACAGATACAGAGTGAGACAGAGATACAGAGTGAGACAGAGATACAGAGTGAGACAGAGATACAGAGTGAGACAGAGATACAGAGTGAGACAGAGATACAGAGTGAGACAGAGACGGAGTGATACAGAGACGGAGTGATACAGAGACGGAGTGAGACAGAGACGGAGTGAGACAGAATTACAGAGTGAGACAGAGATACAGAGTGAGACAGAGACGGAGTGAGACAGAGACGGAGAGAGACAGCGACGGAGAGGGGAGGGACAGCGAGAGACGGGGAGAGGGAGCGCGGTGAGCGAGCGGCGGCGAGCAGAGAAGCACGCTGAAGTCACGGGTGTTGAATGTGAAGAGTTTTGTAATAAAAGTGGCATCGGAGAAAAAGAAGTCGTCCGTGTGAAGTCAACCACTGCATATGGATCGTGCACAAATGGATCATGACAAAGGTCAACACAGCAGGATTTAGGTGCATTTATCTTGGCATATACAACAATGTCGCTCAAGCAAGATAAGGAATAACATTAATGATAAGACGATCTACTCACATCAGCGCCACTGGGCCCTTGAGGTCCCCTCGGTCCTGGAGGACCAGGTGGACCCTAATGAAAGCATCGAGGCAAAGTGAGACAAAACAAATTAGAACAGAAATAATGACAAACACTCAATCGAAACATCTCAAAGAAATCTAACTTAACATCGGAGAATGTTACGAAAAAACAGTCGTGCAAAATAAACCATCAATTTGTGATGATTAAATTCGTTTCCCAGAGATCAAGAGATAACCAAAGTACGATATCCCGGGTTAGACTGCGCTTTGGGCATTTTTTGCCCTCAAGCTTTCTCCATGCACTACTTTTGGCATCTCCGATTCAACTCCTGAAGATGCCCGGCGAAACAGGCATTACAATAGTAATCACAATCACAATTGGCACCAATACTTTACATTTTTTTGGACAAAAAAATGTACGTTTAACAAAAGCAATGCTACACTTCACTTACTTGGCGGCTATTTAACTGGTCATTGCAGAATCAAAGCACACCATGAAATGTGTGCCTTACAAGTGGTAAAAAACAACAATGTGGCAAGCATGCAAACAACTATGACAAAAAAACAAAAATGGCCAAATTTGTTAACTTACCATTGGCCCGACATCTCCAGATTCGCCCTTTTCACCTGGCGGCCCTGGGAGACCCTGAGAAGAATGCATACGTGTGCACAAGCACATCATTTCATGTAAGCACGTAGAGAGCACACGTATATACACATGTTACACTCGTCAGCCCACCCTGTTGTCACACAATGTGACTTCGTGCTTAGCATTGTGTGACAACCACAAAGAAGTATGGAGTGCCTTGTGTTTCACTGACAAGACATCAAACATACACGCAAAACATGTATGAGCACACATAAGATACGCAAGCAAGACCCACACAGGTGAACGTGCACAAGACACGCAAACGCAGGCAAGACGCACAACACATGTATGGCACACAGATGATACGGACGCAAGACACATGCAAACACACGACATGTAAACACAAGTGAACATATACAAAACACACACACACATGCAACACACGCATACAAAAAACAAACACAAGACACGTGTATATAGGTATCCCTTGATTTGCGAAAGGGATGCATCCTTCAAAAACACATGCAAAACAACATTTCGTAAATCGGAATGTTTTTTTCCCATTCATTCAATTAAAAAAAATTAGGGATATGTTTCGAACAGTCATTCCAACTCTACTCTCAATGTAAAAATATACACCTACATCACTTGTCACAATACAAAAATGAAAACAAAGAACATTAATATTAAAACGATTGAATAATAATTCGTGTGAAAATAATTAACCTTTTCACGAAACTCACTAAAAGATCTGCATGTTGGCATGACGGTAAAGGTGATGCGGAGGCGTTACTGTTGTACTGCAGGGACACCGTGAGGCTGTCGTAGGTGGATAACGCAGCTTCCCGGATGCTTCTTGTTTTATGATCTCATGGTGCGTGCAGCGCAAAATGTTGTTATTGCGGAAATTCGATTTCGTTAATCAAAGTGTCCATTATTCGTCAATTGTGGAAATACAAAATTTCATAAACCAAACGTTGGTACATCGAGGGATACCTGTATGTGAACCACGTGTTTGCACCTCCCCCCTGTACCCGCTGGGAGTTGGCTGGCATTTTGTCGTGAGTCTCCCTAGGTGCGGTCCCTAATGGCCATGTTCACACATTCCCTTTTCCCCATAAGAGACACATACCCCACCCAGCGAAGCCACCTCGTCATGTCTGCAACACTTACCTGCCGTGTTCTCTTGCAGGCTCCTGCATTGCTCAAACTTTTTTTGCCAATAAATGTTTAGCAACCATCTCAGACACCTGAGCTCAAATACCAACTATTTATATTTGAGCGGCGTAGTCTGCCCAGCTCTCTGATCAACACAGCGATATAGACAGCGACTCCTGTGGCAATTTTTTTCCTTGAGACTAATTTTTATTCTCTCTCAACAAACACGCACACACACAAGCGCACACACACAAGCGCACATACGCACACCCACCTGCAAGCCCGTTGGTCCTGGGAGCCCATTGAAGCCTCGATGTCCCTCATCGCCCTTCTGGCCAAACATGCCCTGCTGTCCTCTTGGACCAGCCTCTCCATCCGCTCCCTGCATTTCCACAGACACCAACCCAACTCACTCTCAGATGCACGTACATTTACACAACTAGTAGTGGCATAACGTCCCAAGGCAAACACAAGGCAACCCCATTCACGGAACTAAGCCGAGGGGCGATGTTGCCACACCCCCTGGTAGCCTAGGTGGACCCGAGTGGCATGTTCCATTTGCGACTGTTAGGGCCATTTTAGCATTGGAACGGATGGCATGCCCAGCACCGTGCCAGCAGTTTCCTCACTGCTGACATTGACACACTGTGACGAGTATTACTGGCTGAAGTGACCCTGCAGAGGCCTAGGTAAAGTGAAATAATAATTGGCATAGGTTTATTTCTAGATTTGAAGTTTTCGTGACTGCAATGATCCATACTCTTTGGTTCTTTCGGTAAAGTCACGTAGGTAAAAATAAAATAAAACTTTAACTTTTTTTTATTTTTACCTACGTGACTTTACCGAAAGAACCAAAGAGTATAGGTTTAATAAAGTATTAAAGCTTTCGTAATTATGTGTACGGGGAAGTTACCGTTGTAATTATGTGTAAGATGTGCCCTTTTTGAGCTGCCGTTTTGTATTTACAAGAGGTGGTCATTTTTTGAGCTGCCGTTTTGTATGTGTAAGATGTGCATGTTTGAGCTGCGGCTCTCGCTCTGGCCCCTCCCCCCCTCCAAACGTATTTCCTATTTAAGCTTCTGTTCATCCCTCCGCCCCCCCCCCCCTCTCTCTTTCTGCCTCCCTGTCCGTCTTTCCTCCCTCCTTACCTCTTGGTGGACTTGTATATGTATTTCTACTGACCGTGTACCTCGTATAATTTCATTCTATCTATGCTGGTATGTGCAATCCAAAGGTTGAACACGAAATTTAACACTCTTCTGAAATTCGTGGTCTGCCAGGTAGTGTCTAACTGTGTTATTGGCCTGACTGGATGTGCTTCACATAATGTTTTTTCAGGTTTGTTGAATGCTCGTCTCTCATCTTTTTGTTGTATTTACCTCCGTGATTTGTTCTTGACACCTGATGAAGATCGCTTGCGTTGTGATCGAAATGTCGTGATTGTTTTTTTGTTTTAATATAATTTTATTGTATTTCTACATGCGTGACCTTACCGAAAAAAACAATGAGTGAGTATAGGTTTATTTACTTAGAAACCAAATCCAGGTCACCAAGATACGAGGATTCACGTATTATTCATATTAGCAATCACGGACAAATGCACTCTCTGTAGACTCTGCATATGGAAAAAAATGCGGGTGGAAATGTGCTTGTGTGTTCTAACAGGTTCGCACAGCTGGACACGGATGTACTTATACAAGTGCATCTGTGTATATCTACAAACGAGGCCATGTTAAATGTACAAGTGCAAAATAATATTACCGCTGGGCCAGGCTGTCCCACCACTCCCTGAGGACCTACAGGTCCAGGAGGGCCCTGCAAACAGAAGACCACAACAAAACAGATCAAGATCAAGTTGTCATCCTGGCTGAGGTCACTGATGTCACGACACCTCGCCAACGCTCTTCTACCCTTAGACAGAATCCGCAGCTGCTGCACGGTTAACACGTCACCTCCTAGAACTGTTCTGACAGTCTCCCAACACCATGTGCCCTTAGGTCTTCTCTTCCCTTTGGTAGCCGGGCTCGTGAGAGAACCACTACGGTTCCTGTCTCAGCAATCAGCCGTCACCCAATCCAGGACATGTGTCCCACCAAGCGCAGCTGTGTTTGTCTAATCGTAGCGACAAAACTGACCTGTTACGTTCTCTTCCAGACATCTGCATGACTTCCCAAGTCTTGCGAAGAAAATTCACAGCATGTATCTGAGCTCAATTGCCCGCCATTTATCTTTGAGATGCTTCATTAGAATCCAGCTCTCTCTGATCCACACAGCGATACAGACAGCACTCCCACCTCAAGCACGCTTTTCATTAGACTCAGACTCATCTCTCTTCTCTCCCAACGATGTTTCCACAGCCCATCCAAAACCTGCTCTGCTATGCTAACACCACAGTCAGCAATATATATTTTTCTTTTGCAGATGTAAAATGAATGCTGATTATAACATCAATCCTCATCACCACACTCATACTGTCGTAATTACAGTAAATTCAGTTCATACAAACGAAGACAATAGGTGACGTTTTAGGCCATGGCCCCATTCATTTCCTCTGAAGAATGGCCATAGCCAGAAATGTCACCTGCTATGCAAGTTTCCTTTTCAGGCAGCAGTGTTTGTCGAGTTATTTTAGTTAATTATGCTTGAGCACCACTGTCAACGCAGCAGCAGCTTCACTAAACAAGTTGCAGTGTTGAAAAGATCGACATTACTGGGTGTCAGCTTGTGTATGTCAGGGGCGGAGCCACAGGGGGGGCTGGGGGGGGGCACAGCCCCCCCTGAAATTTTGGGAAAGTCGGTAATCGGGATAACCGGATATCCGGCTGCTGCAAAGTGCTGGCTGCCACCTTGTGCTGCCCTGCAGGCTGATTGAGCGGCAGCCTTTCGAACTTATCGAACTTATTAGCCACATCAGCGGCTCCGACCTATTAATAAAGTCCGCGTTCAAATCCAATAAAAAATTTGTATAGATTTGTGGCGCCCATTGGAAAACATACACTGGATATCTCAGAATATTGAAGTCAGCCCCCCCAAAGTCAAAATCCTGGTTCCGCCCCTGGTGTATGTCATGCATGAGTGGGGAAGCTGAACAAATATTAACGTATGTAATGTATTAATTTGCAATTATGTCACAGCTATAATAAAACGTGTATATATAAAAATATTTAGCAAGGCCAAGCAGGCTTTTCCCAGCCAGGGTAATGGCTGCAGAGGGAGGCGAGTGCAATATGTCAGTGCTTGGGTTGATTGTTGTATGTGTGCAAGTCAAAGATATATTATGTTCACCTTGAGGTGCGACTGGAATGTCCTCTGGCCCAAACACGAACATCTATCTTTCTAAATCGCATAGCCCAAGTTGCTTTCCATCACCGTACCAGAGGAATTTCCATTTGGTACGGATACAATGGAAGGCTGATCGTTGCCAGAGTGATATTAAACGAATTGCCTCTGACTAATTCACACTGTTGTGCATGCCGCTTGTTCTGAGGAGTTGAATCTGGGGTGTGTCGCAAAGAGGTGAGGCTTTGCTATGCGACACAAAAAACAAAACTGTCATCTGACCAGTGGTATCTGGTAATAGCCGTGTCAAGATCGGCCTCTATTGAGGAGACTCGTGAAGGAAGCCACTGGGCAGGATCAACACTCACAATAACGAGTGGAGCGCTAGGCGGCTAAAGAGTAGCAATCTGGCACAGTGGGAAGCACAACAGGTGCATTGGTCAGTCATCTGAGTTTAATGACCTCCTGCCAGCGAGCTTTCAAAACTTCACATGGCTTTAAAGTGCACCTAGCCTGGCACAAGCTCCATGAAGATGACACCGGCACTTAGAGTGGTGAAAGCCAGTCAATGTTCTTGGAGGTAATTTGTTGTATATGTATGTTCAGCTTCTTTCGCACCATACGAAGCCAACCATGCTAATCGGAGGTGCGGGGGAAGGACGACAAACTGAACACAAAAATCAGTTCTTCAGAAATTAGTTTTCAATCTAGATGATTTAAAAGTGCACAGCTCCCGTGGCTTCCTAATATCGAAAGGAAGAGCGTTCCAGATGGCAGCAGAAGTGAATCTGTGTCTTTGTGTCTGCTCATGTGTGTCCGAGGTCATAGTATTTAAGTCTCCCAGCAGAATAACTTTGACTCCCACTATGGGTAGGGGGGGTTAAGGGGTGAATCTCACGTTCGTAAAACAAATAGACATGTGTAGTGTCGTTGGTATGAGTACCGCTGTGTAGAGACAGTACCATGTGGGTGGTGCTGTAGGGGCGGAGACTCTCCCTGGACACCGGATGGGCATACCAGGGGAAGCTGGGTAAACAGGAAGGGGCACGTGACTGGAGGTGGTGTGGACAGGGGGTGCCAGGATTGAGCAACATGTGAGGTGGGCCCTGAACCTTCACGAAAGATCGGGAAAGAGGCGTGGCCAAAGGTGGGGCCTGGCCAAGCCGTAAGGATAAAAGCCGAACCCCGGGGGGGGACCGGGGTCGATGCTGCTGGAAGAAACCTTTGTCGTCGGCGGGTTTTCGGGTCTCCGGGCGTCGCGCACGTGGACCAGGCAGTGCGTTAGTTGACCTGTTCCGGTTTGTAGTTGCCCATTCAGAATGTAAATAGCAATCTACTCTAAGTGTATATAGCCAAGTGTAGGAACGGTGGGTTGTTATTCCGTTATGTTGTTATTCCGTTAAGTGTTATGTGATGTTCGTTAATAAACCGTGTTGCCTCCAAGTTCTAGTGTGCGCCTGATTGGACCCACTACAACTGGTGCCAAAAGTGGTAAAAAAAAATCCTAGCGAAGTAGCCTTACCTTGGGTAAGGCTACTTCGCTAGGGTGAGGCTACAACTCGCCAAGACAGCTTCGGATGAAGACGAAGACGAGGGGACTTCCCCACAGACGACCCCGGGAATGGCAGACCCGGAGAGAGGGGGCGAGGCGACGCTACTTGCGGAGCAGCGGGACGACCACCGTGCCCATCGCTCCGCGGGCGTCTCACTGAGCTACTTGATGCGATGGCCTCGCTCGTCACTGAGCTCGACCAGGAGGAGCCGGTGATGGAGGGGAGAGCGCCTGGGTTGCGGGACGTAGAGGTAGTCGCCGCAGTTTCCCGCGTGCGGGAAAATTCCACCACACGGAGCGTGTACGCGGCCGCCATTTTGGCGGTTGTGCGGGAAAGGGTTCCCGCCATTTAAGACCTCCCGCCAAAATCGCTAATAGACATCCCATTATTCAAGCATCAGCTCCTGTTCGTGAAGGAATTCGCAGCATTTCAGCGGCGCTTCACTGCAAGCTATGAGTTAGCGGTCTGGACGGAGGAGGAAGCGCTGAGGGCGCTCCCCACTGTCCTGGACGATGATGCCTTAGCAGCGTTTTACGCAGTGCCGCCCGCTGAGAGGGCTACGATGAAGCTTGCCTTTGCACAGATGGCGGCGATCTATGATCCTCCGTCTAATGTTCGGCAGAAGTTCAGTGCGCGAAGGCGAGGGGAGGCCGAGACGCCTCTCGCCTTCCGCAGCGCACTTTTATCGTTAGCGTAAGCGGCTTTTCCCAAGATAGAGCAAGCTAGCTTGGTCTCATTGGTGTTGGAGCGCATGCTGGCCTTGGCGAAGGAGCTTAACGTCGCCCTGCCAGGAATGGAAGATGACGATTTATCGTCCCTTCAGATCGCCCAGTGCATTCAAACACATTTTAATTTTAAATGGCGTACACAAGTGGTGGCGTGCACCGCACCCTCTGAGGCGTGCGGTGCAACTGAAGAAGTGGAGCCCGCTCAAGCATGCGCTTCGGTCAACGACGGCGGCTGGCGGAGCGGCGCCTTGGAGCGACGGGGGGATGGCGGAGGATCTCTTCTCGCACGAGGAGCGGTTCCGTCCTCTGCTACAATTGTGGTCGGCCGGGACACATCCCGACAGGATGCCGCGCTGCTGGATGGAGATCCTCTGGGTCGTCGCTGTCATCCCAAGGACGTCCCCAGGCCCGCTTGAAACTAAGGCGAGTCGCGGCACACCTCACGCTTGGCCCTCACATCCACCTCATTCATCCCGTTCGGTTGTTGGTTCGCATTTGCGCGGGGAACTTTCTTGGTTGGTTGTGGGGCGGGACAATTCGGTTGTACGGGAAAACGGCTGGCCACACCGCCCTGGTCAGTGGTCGGAGTTGGCTCACCGTGTGGTCGCCGTAGCGGCGGGGTAGTCGGAGGTACGGGTGCTCATAGACACCGGAGCATCCGCTACCATTATTTCAGTGTTATTTTTTTACTTCTTACTCCACACAGTTCAAGACCTTCGTCCGGTTACAGCTCCGTGCTTTGCCACGAATGGTAGCTTCCTCGGAATTATTGGCCAAATAATGGCGATGGTGTGCATCGGTGACATCCAATTGACAGGACCGGTGTTAGTTTCAACTTCCCTCACTGTACCATGTTTATTGGGCACCGATTTCTCGGGGAAGATGCCCATTAAAATTTTAGTAGATCAAGGGTGCTTAGAGTTGCCGTCGGGCCGTCGCATTGCCTTTTTGGCGTCCCCCACTCGATTGCGTGCAGTTAACGCCACGGTTCGGGCACTGGCGACGAAAACGATCGCTGTTCCACCCGGTGCACGAATGCTCATCCCATTGTGGCTGCGGGACCAACTTTATAAACAGGCAACCGCCACGGGAATCCTGCTCACACCATCTATTAAAGTAGCTCGGGGTCTGACGCTAGTGGAAAGTACAAACGCTGGTGTCCAACGACTGTGTACCCTTCGTTCAGGTCCCGAAAGCGGAGCCGGACGCGTCTGTTGTGCAGAGGGGCACTGTTTTGCCCCACGCGTCCGTCGCGTATTTCGCGGGTGATTTTGTTGGTGGAAGTAGGGGCCTGCGGGGTCCAAGGACCAAGGGTCGGAGGATGATGGGAGTTGGCTCAACGCGCTCTGCTCGGAGAACCCTAATTTATCAGATGGCCAGAGATCAGAATTGCGTTCGCTCTTGGTTGAATTTGCTGACGTTTTCAGTAAAAGCGGAATAAGATATCGGCCGCACCGCCCTTTTGAATCACCACATTGACACGGGTGGCGCTGCTCCGATTCCGTCAGAACCGCCCACAAGTTAAGCTCCACAGAAAAGGACCACATGCGTCAGGCGGTTAACGAGATGTTGTCCGCCGATGTTATCTCTCCATCAACCAGTCCGTGGGGTGCCCCTATAGCCCTTGTTAAGAAGCAAGACGGAAGTCTACGGTTCTCGCTTCGACTTCCGCAAATAAAATAAAATATCTGTGGCAGACTCTTATCCTCTGCCGAGAATGGATAATTCGCTAGATGCATTGGCGGGCGCGAGATATTTCTCTACTCTTGACCTGCTTTCAGGGTTCTGGCAATTGCCCTTAGATGACCAGGTCCGGTTTGTAGTTGCCCATCCAGAATTTAAATAGCCATCTACTCCAAGTGCATATAGCCAATTGTAGGAATGGTGAGTTACCACCTTATGTTGTTATTCCGTTAAGGGTTATGTGATGTAGTTAATAAACCGTGTTGCCTCCAAGTTCTAGTGTGCGCCTGATTGGACCCACTACACATGTACCGATTCCCCTTGTAAAACAAACAGATACGTACCGATTCCCCTTGTAAAACAGACAGGTACCGATTCCCTCTTGTAAAACAAACAGATAGGTACCGATTCCCCCTTGTAAAACAAACAGATACATACCGATTCTCCCTTGAAAACAAACAGATACGTACCGATTCCCCCGTTGTAAAACAGACAGATACGTACCGATTCCCCCTTGTAAAACAAACAGATACATACCGATTCCCCCTTGTAAAACAGACAGATACGTACCGATTCCCCCTTGTAAAACAGACAGATACGTACCGATTCCCCCTTGTCTCCTTTGCTCCCTTTTTGTCCCGGTCCCCCAATCTCACCCTAAGGAAAAACAAAGCAACAAAAACACAATATCGTTGAGCATCGTCAAGATATTTATCACAGTGTCATTATCTTAATAGCAATATCTCCAAAGCTCTCTATGGTAACAAGAGAGAGAAAGACACACAGTAAGAACTTTAGATAGAGAGAAACAAGAAGACAAACTCAGAGAGGCATGGGAAGCGATGTCTTAGCGAGTGTCTCGTGGCAAGAGAGACACTTAGCAGATTGTAATGCTTGTAAATAACAATGCTACTGTGTGCTACTGTGCACCATTGTTGTTGTTATGTATTTAACTTCATGTGGGTATTGGCCAGGCTAAAAAAAAAATGGGGAACGCCATTCCCAGGTTTAAATATAGACTCTGCTGTGCATGACGCCAGGAAACAGCAGCATGTAATGGACCACGCCTGCCAATGAGAAGAGGAATCCAGCCCGGAGTTATTATCTTGTCTAATCAAATGCTGCTGGATACCTCTGGCCCATTAATCCCATTTGTCCATACATTTTAAGGTTATTGACTCTTGTAATTGCGTTTTTCTGGCATGATATACATATTTCTATTGGAACAGGACCTTGTCTCCATCCTCTCCCGGGGGTCCAGCAGGTCCCGCTGGGCCTGGTAACCCGACAGGGCCTTGGATGCCATCTCTCCCAGCAGGCCCCATGACGCCCTTCTCACCCTATTTGGACACACGCACGCACACACAATGCATATCAGATCAAGATCAAAACATCATCATGACCACAGCTGTGGATGCCACCTGTGGTGGTTGTAGGGATACCACCTGCCCAGGTAGTAACTCAGACGGTGTGCTAATTGGCGTCTGTTTTCGGCTCACAGCAATTGATTTGTACCGATAATCTGGTGTGGTACAGAGTTGACCGTTATAAGTTTTTATAGAACTAGAATGACTGACAAATATTTCCGAGATTGATCTCTGGGAAAGGTGGAAACCTTAGTGGTGGTCAGAGCAATGCATAGAGTGTAGGCAGCTCCTTTCCTGTGTTTGTGGGTGCCATCAACCTGCTTGAGGCTGATCTGAGGTTCATGGATGATATTCCAGAGGCGAACCTCAATATTGAGATATATTTCTCTGGAAAAATCGTTGCATCAATTCAAGATGAGACCACACCAAGGAAGAGTGTGAGGGTTATCTGAGATGGGGGTCTGTGGAGGAATGCTTATGTCAAGTTGGGTTTCATCAGCATGAACAGATTCAGATGAGCAGTGAGCTGCAGATGGGGATTTATGGAACTCCATAGCAGAGGGGTTTCTGAGAAGACAACAGTCCTTGTTAAATATAATATACATGTAAATGTATATTCCACACGCACAACAAACACAGACACACCCACGGCCTCGTCGTGCGATGACACTGGCAGTCCGATAACGACTTACTGGTGCTCCCTTTTCCCCAGCAGGCCCAGAAGGACCCTGAGGCCCAGGTCGTCCTGGAAGGCCAATCTGCCCGGCCACGCCTGCCGGGCCACGCTCGCCCGGGGAGCCCTAGAATGAGACATCGCACCATCATGCCCTGTCAGCGGACTAGGCCGTGATATTCTATTGGTGGTAGAATGCGTATGGTTTTGTCATGGGGGCCATTCATGCCATGGCACAGACACAAACACAAACTCTCACAGGGCACCAGAGAGGCAAAATCGTGCACTTCTGTCTGTTGGGAGATAGGACTTCATTTATGCTATAAGCACTTTACGTTCATCACAAATACATTCCACAAACACAGCACTGCCTATTTGCTCACGCTTAACGTGAATGCCAACTAATTGTATTGCACATGACCAGCTGGGATCCAGAGTCAAGCAGAGTCAGGTGCTGGTGGCCTTGTGATTTGGGGTAGTGGTGAAAGTGGATCCCTAATTTTTTATCCAGTAACCAAAGCTCAGCATCAAATAACAAGAACAATGATGTTGACATAGAATTGTTGACGAATGCATTGCTGGCTGAAGTCCTTCCCCTTGCCATCATGATCATGTGGTTTGTTTAACCATACTTCACCATGCTGGTCAGTGCAAGTTGGTGAAGGGGAGGGGTCAAGACCTGTTTACTCGCCAAATAATGTTAGCCTTGGATGGGAATCCAAGTCAGGTCACATGCAGCCAAGGTCACCCTTGCCCATGAGACTATCTTGGTCTCTGGAGTTCTCACCTGGGTTAAACTAAATAATCTAAATTACGACATGTGTGTGGCTGTAGCTGTTTAAATTTAACAATAGAGTAGATCATCGCTTATCCGGCAGCTTCGGAGGAAAGGGATGCCGAATTTTCAAATAATAATCACTATATCATTATTCAAAATAATAATCACTACATCATTATTCAAAATAGCTTATTTTGTGCACATTCTGATGTGAACACTTTTCGCTGGATTTCACTGTATATTTTCTGTTTTTAGTCTGGTAGTTATTAGTCATGAAAAATGTATATAAGTGCAGTATTTTTATTAAGTTGCCGTATGTAGTATATAATGTACTGTATATACTATTTGACACTGAAATCAAGCATAGCTACTTTTTTGTCACGCACATGGTGCCGATCACCGGACTGGTACAACCTTGGGAGCGGTTCTGCCGGTTTTGCCGGATCGGCCTGGGATCGCCAGATAATCTTGGAAGCTGGATCATAGCACGCTGGATAATCGATGATCAACTGTACAATTAAATATTTGTGCAGTACAAGAAGTCACCGTTGAAGTGAAACCATCGTGGTTACAAAAATACCGGTTTCAATTTGGGAAAGCTGCTCGATTTGCTGCAATGAGCTGCCATTGCTTAAGGCCAATGACTCGTGGAAGCCGGAGTCACGCAGCAGAAATGTCGAGACACTACATCTCCCCCACCGATATAATGAATCAATGCGCCCAGCTCGAGATGCGATAGTGGGGGGTGCAGGAATAAGAGAGGGCTAACCAGAGGTCCTGGTGCTCCCTGAGGGCCTTCATTTCCCTTCAGGCCTGCAGGGCCCTGAAAAATAAAACAACAAAATAGGTTCAATGAATACTCACAGGGAAACATCTTCTGAATCTTAGCATGTATCGCAACAGGATGAAGACAGTTAAGGAAGATTAACGATGCACAATGAGCAGCATGACACAATAATTATTGGTGCTGCTGCTGCTGCATTCCTGCAGAATAGGTGGAGAACATACAAAATGCATACACAAAGGCACCAAAGTCAGGAACTGAACACAGGACCTTCTTGCTGTGAGGCAGGGGTGTTCCCACCGTGCCACCCTGCTGCCCACCTTTTATTGAATCCGTTTGGTGTCCACTGTTTAGTGTTTTTTTTGCTGTGAAATTTTGGTTATAAATAACAATGTTGATCTATTTTGTTGCAATATGAAACACTGTAGCTTTTTTATGAGCATATAACAGAATAAATAGATGTACTCATTCGAGAATACTGACCAATTTGCATTGTAGTGTTACCTGATACACAAATGCTTGACCAGTGGCATGAAAGGCTATATATACTTGAAGTTTATTATTATAATTATTAAGATGTATATTATTAATGAGAATGAGTAACTCACAGAAGCTCCAGGGATACCCCGATCTCCAGCAAATCCTCGAATTCCAGGTGGCCCAGCCTTTCCAGCAATGCCTACCAACCCAGGGTCTCCCTGCACACGGTAACATCATCAACGTATATTTAAAATACACAATACCGTGACAAATCTCTCAGAGCACAGACACGCACAGGAGGAGATGGGAGGGCATGAGAGGGGAACGAGGCAACTCACCCACTCACCCACTTACCCACTCACTCATCCACTTACATACCCACTCACCGACTCACTCATTCACCCACTCAATTACCCACTCAATTACCGACCAACCCACTCAATCATTCATTGACTTACCCACACAACAACAGCTGGCATTTAACCCTAAGTGGCAGTGATGTCAACACAGCGCTGGTGCCAGGCTAGGTGTACTTTGAGGCCACATGATGTGTCAAAGGCTCATTGGCAGGAGGTCACAAGACAGTTACAGGTACCGTTCGCTTACCGAGAAAACGGATGCACCACCTGTGCTCCCTACTGTGCTAGATTGCTGCATTTTAGCAGCCCAGCATAGCTCCTTTGTCCACCGCTATTCTGGAAGGGAGGGCATGACTGTGTCCGGAAAGACTCAAAACTTCATGTGGAGCAGCAGACCAGATAGCTTCCACACAGTGTTAATCATCCAATTAAATTATGTCGCTTGACCTATTCGGAGGGAGACCTCTGCTGCCAAATCGGAGCCGGTCATAAGCACACTACCCAGGTACATTAACTTCTCCACTCTCTCCACAACTGCCTCATCACTAATGGAGAGTTGAGGGGGTTTTGAATCACACAAAATACCCAGGCAGGTGCTCAGTTTTGGTGAGGCTGATGATAATGCACCACCTCTTTAGTTCCATACTCCAGGTTCAGCAGCAGAACCCCCCAACTCTTTCTCAGAGTGATTAGCAATCAGCAGATCATCAGCATATATAACACTAGCTGTACTACCCGGCTTCGCCCGGGACTTGGATTCACCACACCCGGCCGCCTTTTTCTCCCCAGTGGCGATGTTCACACCACAGCAGTTACTCGTTTGAGGCTGTGTCGACCTAGGGGAGGCCCAGGACCGGTTCAAATAATCGTCACTGGTGGTGGCCGTGAGCAGGAATCGAACTCGGGTCGCCGGGTTCGTAGCGCAGCGCGCTAACCACTACTCTACAATGCGTTCCGCTTCCACATGCGCGGGTCACATGACAGATTTTACGTCACAGCTCACTTGCCGTGCAAAAAATATATGCATTAATGAGCTCCCCCCTCCAAAAAAAAAGGAAAAGTGCATTTTTATAATTTTTGCATGGTGTACAGTCTGGAAAGTACCCACATGGCAAATTTCCAGTTTGTTGCATGTCGGGAAGTACGCTAAACATTTTGAACAGACACACATTCACAACTTTGCCTTTTATATATATGGAGATGATTAATCAATAGGGAGCCATCCCTTGACAGCACCTGAGCATTGATCAGCCTCCTATTGTATCTGTACCGGATGTAAGTTCCTTTGGTACAGCCATGGGAAGCGTCTTGAACTACGTGGTTGAAAAATGTTAAATAACGTTTGAGCCAGAGGACATCCCTGTCACACCCCAAGGTGAACAGAGAATGTCTCCGACTCCCGACCACGCAGCTTTACCAGGGCTTGCCCACCATCATAATGGTCCTTAATAATTGTGAGCAAAAAGTCAAGGACCCCAAAAGCACAAATAACAACCCACAGCCCTGGCCTGTTTACGGTAGCACAAGCTTGTACCAGGTCAATAAAGCAAAGATATAGGTCACACACACACACTCACCCACCCATGTATCCACTCACTCTCCCACTCACTCACTGAAGGGAAGGCGAGAGAGGGAGCAATGCAGGTTAAAGAGGAAGTTGTTGATGAGAGACCAGAAAGCAGAGAAGAGAGGGGGACGAGGCATGTAGGCAGGCAACCAGGTGGAGTTGTCTGTGAAGGGAGTTTAAGAGGGGGGATGGGGGGGTAGTGGCTAAAAGAACACCCGCAAGTGGTGGAGCAGCAGCAGCGTGGAGCACACGTGACCCCGCACACAATCCCCGGCCTCGTCGCAGAGTAGAATCATCATGAGAAAGCAATGTCACAAAGAGGTGGCTTGGGAAGTGTTTTGACCTGCAGTGTGGTGAGTTGGTGGTGGATGAGTGGATGAGTTGCTGTGTTGTTGTGACCTGCAGTGTGGCGGTTGTTGAACACCGTGTGGAATGAGACCAAACAGTGAGTGTCTGGTAGGCCGAGCCCTCAACATGGGTGGAGTGATCAACGATTGAAGTTGACGGGAACAGTGGCCATAGTAGTAGTAGCGATATGAGTGACAAGGAGGCGACGGACCGTCAGTGAGTGAGTGACAGTAGTGACTCAGTGAGCGCCGGGGTCATCAGATGGTACACACACACCCACCTTCGCGCCCTCTTTTCCAGCCGAGCCTGGCAGGCCCTGCTCCCCCGGGGGCCCTGGTGGCCCTGGGTGGCCTCTCTCTCCATTGGGACCCGTTTCACCAGTGGAGCCCTGCACACGCGATCACGACCATGCACGATCACGCACAGACAATCACGCCACACATGATCACACACGATCACACACACACGCACGGGGCGGTAAAGCCAGCAATCATGAGAATCAAACCCTGGGGGTGGGAATCGACCACATATCTCAAGCAAGATCATAATTTTTAATCGTTGTGCAGAATATAGAAGTAAATAATCTGACAATATTCTCCACAACAACGTGAATTATTAGTTCGTGCTGTGTATTCTTTAGCTCTGCGTCAAATAAGAACCCATTGTTAATGGAGGTGGATCTTGCCTAAAACCACTGGCAGGTAACCAGCATTGGTTCAAGCGAGCCTGACTACTGATCAGACAATTAATATCGAAACTGGTCCACAGATGTATTGCTTTTAAGCAATGCCCCTTCGAAGGAGGGGTGGCTGATGGGATGTGTACAGCTTTTATATATATTTTTAAGTGGAGGGACAAATATGTACAGGTGTAGCATCTGCTTATTTATTGTACTCCGTGTCTAAACATAATTTCAGAGTATCTTCCGAAAGTGACACGCTGAAATGCACCAGCAGTCTCAACTGATTTAAATCTAAGAATTCCCTCGCACAACACTCGCGCGTTGTACACGAACCGGCACCACTCAGCCACACGTGTGTTTATTTATCGACTTGTCTTCGCGTGATGTTCACTGCATAAACACGGACTGTGTAAGTTGTAGGTTTAATCTTGTGTTGTACTACACGTGCAGTCATTATTACGCGTTTGCCGCGTGCACGAGTCAAGCCACACCTGGAATGAGACATCCCCCGCCTTAAAAAAGCGATGTTCCAGGCGGAATACTTTCACGAGCAAATAATAAAACAGAGCACAATAAAAAAAAAACTTCGTCACGCTGCGCACCTGGGGCCCGATGACTCCCGCGGGGCCCGGGGGTCCTGTCTTGCCTTGGAATCCCTGAGCAAACAAACACAGAGGATTGACTCGGATACGGGCATGAATGGGGGGGGTGGGGGCGCATTTTTCAGGTGTCACTGTGTAAGCTGTTATCGATGTGGACCGCTCTAATTGTAAACAGTGCTCATGTATAGGACGGTATACACTTTTCATAACGGCTCCTATTCCTATATCACCATGGGAGTGTGTGCAAGTCTGAGTGAGGGTGAGAGTGTGTGTGGGGAGCGGTAGTGTAGCGGTTAGCGCTACGCTGCGCTACGAACCTGGCGACCCGAGTTCGATTCCCGCTCACAGCCAACACCAGTGACGATTATCTGAACCGGTCCTGGGCCTCCCCTAGGTCGACTTGGCCTCCAATGAGTACCTGGTGCGATGTGTAAACATCGCCACGAGGGAGACAAAGGAGGCCGGGCGTGGTGTTGGCCACCCACCCCCTCGTGTGCTGTGCCGGCCTACATAAGTACTCTCTAACAGCACTTACCCCAACAGTGTGTTAAGGCTATACGGGGGGCCTTTGACTTTGTGTGTTTGAGTGTGCGTGAGGATGTGGGAGTAGGTGGCATACAGGCGCCTCTACATGAACATATGGACCACGGATTATAAACACGTGTCATCCTATGGCACAAGTAACGCGTGATGAACTTATGTTAGTTTATGTAGTGTTGAGAAGAAACGTGTTACAGTCATCATTCCCAAAAATCACAGTTTCGTGCTATTACTCCCACGGTTCGATCAGTTATTCGTAAGAAATACATGAGAACGGTACGAGAAAACAACATCACGTTACTTTCAAAATACCAGAAAAGGATTTGCATTACAACTAAAATGTAGAGTCATCAGCAATTATACTCTGGATACATTTTATATGAAAAAAATAGCATTCCATTGATCATAATGATAACAAAATAATATCTGACAATGATACAAAAAACGAATTTAAAATCATTTGTCAATCCAGTGCTGGATGAGGTCCTCCCCAGGCTGCTTCGGTCATGGGAGTTGTTTGACCATAATTCGCATGCTCGGTCAGTGTTTGTTCAGGAAGCGTGGCTGGGAATCAACATCAGGTCCCCATACTTGAAGCACAGTGTGCGCCATCCACTGTGCCACCGCTCCATGCCGATATCTCACAGCGGCAATGTAAATGCCACCAATTAAAATGTTTCCATAAACGTTTCCATATATGTGCATTTAATACACATAGTTCCTTTTTGCCACTCATAAATGGGAACACAGTGGCATGGGAGCACTAGCTTAGCTCTTGAGTGGAAAACTAGAGAAAGTGCCCTCTACATGACTCTCTTGAGAACTCTCTCTCGTGGAGATCCTTCCACCAGCAGTGGCATGCGCAAAGCCATTGCAGGATCACACCTTTACCTATTGCCTAAACGTGTGCGCAGCGAGTTCCCTCCGGGTATTCTGGTTTCCTCCTACAACCAAGCAAAACGCTCCACATTCTAAATTCAGTTGGGACCAACATTCCAATCGATAAAATAAACAAATTCAGTTGGGCCCAACATTCCAATCGATAAAATAAGCAAGTGCATTGGGGAATTCACACCAATCTTTCAGCGCTATGGTGATATATTATAGGTGTTACTGAACATCTCTTTCTCGAGCCAATTACTGCAGAACTGGGTGTGAGAGACAAAGCACGAACAGTAACCATTGATGAGTTCCACGGAAATGCGCCAGATACCAGGGACATGTGCGAGTGAGCGAGTGAGCGGGTGAGCGGGTAGGTAAGTAGATGGGGCCAGGCACTGCGGAACTGTGGGGGCTGTATGTACATAATCTCAAAGTCTCAGTGCGTGGGATGACCAGGTCACCGTGCGCCGCCAGCCAGAGTCGGCGACTGGCATAGGCGGAAAGCCGCGACCTTGCTCACGCATATCGGCCAGGTCGGATGATGCAGATTGGTGTCAACACTTGTGGATCAGCATGCAGAGCTTGTGAGCGATCCTCTGCTGAACTGGCAACAAATGCAGCTCGTTCACGAATAGTCACTGTCACGTGATCATATTTGTTCTTCTGTGTGGGGGCGTGCAGAACCAAGTGAAGGTGACAAAGGCGAACAGCAACCACATGACGAAAGACGACAGTCGTCCACGCGGCTGGTAATCAACAAGAGAACAAGTCTCTTGGTCGCTTCAGCAGTGAGTACGCAATGCCTTGAGGTGCTGCAGCCAGAGATGGTAAATTAATTCGTAAGCTAACTGCCTGATGTTTACTACAAACATCGGTTCCCCTGGTGAGGACAACTCCGAGGCACGTGACATCTATTGCCAGCTAAATATCTACGCTGCTTACGGTGATGGTCTGACAGTTAACTTTAGCCAGCTGCTATCTGTGTCATAGTCCGAAAAACTGGGTCTTGTCTGCCTTTTTCTTCAGACAGCTGGTTGATATCCACCGGTCAATGATATCGATACACAAGCGTGGAAGCCGCACGACGCATTATGCATCTCCAGCGTGAAGGTTGAACTGTGTGTTGTCAGCGTAGCAACACACAAACGAGACCATGACAATGAGCGATGCTGATGACATCGGCGGTGTCGAGGAGGAAGAGCAGCGGGCCCAGCGCCATGTCCTTGCGGCAAACCACACTGCACTGTTGACTCGGCCGCCTCCTGTCCGACAATGGCAGTTTGTGTTGGTCACTGTATGAACGGCTTGACCGACAACAGCGCGGATCCACAGATGCGGAAAGCTTGATGAAGAAAGTCGACAAGGATGTTGCGACCGATAGTAACGAGAGCAGCTGACAGATCAAGTAGAGCGAGTGGCCGACATCACCATGGTCAGATGTGAGAAGCGTGCTTGAGGCGACCTTGAGAATGGCAGTATCTGTTGAATAGTATCTTCTGAAGGCTGACTGCAGGCTTCGAATAAAGGCCATGTTGCTCCAAGTTGGTGACAGACCAGTCTGAACAATCTTTGACATGAAGGCGAGGATGGAAGCTGGTCTGTAGTCCTTCATATCAAAACGGTCGGCATTGACTCAGTGGCAGTCGGCCATGATGAAGTGATGCATTGCAAATGTCCACTCGGAATGGCAGAAGTTTCACAGATAACTCAGCGTATTTTTGGAAGCAGATCAAGTGCACAGGATTTTAACAGAGCATTTGTCATGTAATTTGTCATGATTTTTAATGACGTCATTTGCTGAAGGGTCTTGAAACTGTGATGTATCGCAGTAGTGATCTCAAAGGATGAGATAATGTTATTCCCACCCATAGACCTTCCAACTGCACTGACATTCTAAATAACCAAGGCTTTGCTGAACAAGTTGACAATTCTTTGCACCACAATTTTATCGGGTGAATATCTGGTTGGAGAGTCCAACACGTGCTCACTTTCTAGTGGTAGTTCCAGTGTCACTTTTTCTCATGCTCAACTCAAGCTTACTCATCGGTTGGTCACTTGGACCTGCGAACTCTATCACCGGTCAAGCATCCGTAAGCAGCGAATGAGTTTACAACAATCACGGTCCATCCATGGAGCAAAACGCTGACATCAAGTAGTAACCCTCCTCTCCAGAGAAAAATTCGTCTGACAGAGACTGTAGCCACTAGAGTCCAGATGGTGGTCTCTACTGCACCTCGCAGAGTTGAGGAGTGCAGGTCAGAATTTGTCTTAGTCCGGTTTTCCCTGTTCCCTGATTTCTCAATGTAACATCACTGGAGGCTTTTGTTGACAAAGTCGACACCACGTAACAAGAGATGATGTTTGGTGACATCGTGGTGACTTTGGTTAAAGTAACAGTCACCCGGCAAAAGTAATGTCATGCCAGCGTGAAAATCTCTGCACGTGTGAAGGCCAGCGTGCGGGTCACTACAAGGACTCAAGAAAATGGAGCCAATTCAAATGCATAAAATATAAAGAGCTTTAAAAATCAAGCAGTGGATAAAATACGATGATCGCACGCTGAACCTTCCACACTGTAATTCCATGAATAATTGTCAACGTAGGTCAAACGAAGATGTTTAATCCCAGGTGATGTAGAGAGTAATATAAAAATGTACTGAACAATAAATCAAGTGGTGACGATAAACATGATATATAAGACACATAAAAAAATCAGGCAGAATGAAATACAATCGATTAAAATTATGTATTACGGATACAGTAGAACATTTAAGGAAAAGAGGTGGATAAGCAGGTAAGAGGATTCTGGTATCAGTGAGTCAGTAATCAGGTAAAGCCTTGCCTAGACATGAAATCTGCATGCCTCACCTGCTCATGAATTAAAAAAGATCAAAAGTAAACATAGAGACAACAGAATGGAACTGGGTACTTACAGAGCCTCAACCTCCAGGATGACAGGGGGTTTTAGACACCCAGAAGACAAAAGGGTTAGCATTCAGATGAGAACAGTTAGCATAGTGCAGTGTATGAGTGTCGATGTATCAGGACCCTCCTGAAAAATATCATTGAGACTCGGTGAGGCTTTTCTGGGTAAATATGACAAGGTTTTTTTCTCTCCAAAACTTTCGTTTTCTAAACGCTACCGTACAGAACTGCTTAAATGTTGCATAGATTTTTGACTGTTAAGCTCTATAGGTGACAATTCACAAATTCCCGTCCTACCGTTTCTCCACGCTGGCCTGGGTGTCCTGGCAATCCATCTTTTCCAGCTGGACCCTAAGAATATTAAACGTTATCAAGTATTTAATCATCATCGTCATAATCACTTGCATATATATACACACATCGCGATCACATTTAGGGCAGTGTAAATGACCCAGCAGAAGTGCGGTCGCCGCTTGTTGCAGAGGTTCACGGTTCAATTCGGGAAAGCCATCCTGGTTATTACTGCAGCTGTATTAACCTTAACAACACGTGCCATCTGTTTCACAGGAAACGACAAAGATCCCTTGATATTATTGTATATGTGTGCATGCCTAGGTTGTCTATGGGTATTCTGGTTTCCTTTCACGTGCATAAACACTCATGGATGGAGTTGGCTAAACATCGCAATATAGGACGACAGGGCTTGGGCAATTATTGGCACCAGTTCTGGCTGCCTTACCGCCTGTCTGAGGTTTCAAAAAACCTCCATGCATAAAATTGCGCTTCACAAATTCTGCAGCATTTTGAGATGCAATTTGCACGAGTGACGCCATATCAAACAAATAAACATAATATTGCGTGTCATATTATTGAGCAGCTTGTGCTAGGCATAAACTTTGAAGACATACTGCCTTTTTTGTTTTTCAATTGAGTATAAAATGTAATATATGTCTACATGTGACGACACACAAAGAGTGATGTCATCTGAAAGTCGTGACCTCATGTCCCATGCACTACCAAGCTCTACCAACACTGTGTATGAACTCACAGGGGGGCCTTTAGGTCCAGGGGGGCCCAGAGGACCCTGAGCTCCATCAGGACCCTGAAACAACACCATAACAAGCATCGTTACTCTCCCCATTCACCAACATCAGTGCCAATGTCCAACCAAGCAGGAACGATACGTTTTTTGCTCTGATTGCATGAGTGTAAAAATAGTATTTTTTATTTGTCTCAAGCCTTAACAATCCTTACGCATTAATATTGTCACATTGACCATGATCAACAGACTCCTGGGCGTGCGATGCAAACGTATATCTAGCATTTACATATGAGTGAACTTCACGCGCTCCTTCTCCGCAGTGGTCTTTCTCTTGTGTTTTCACTCCTTTGACTGCCACTGGCCATCATCCCTTATAGAGATGTGCACTGCCCAGAGCACGTCCTCTTCTGAATAGTCAATATCATGTGTCGACCTTGTGAATATTCTCTAATTCACGTGCTCCTCTTCCTGCCCATCAGTGTAACTCAAAGAAAGCATCAACCCACACTTCTTTGCGCAATTGTCAGATTCTGACGCATTGTGTTAATGTCCATTCATCTGATCCCTATGTCACAGCGGGAAGTAAACACGTATACACACACACTCTGATGTGAACACGTAGCCTGCTGTGTTGCGTTCCTGCTGACAAATGTATCCAATTGTTTAGCGACCTTGTTGTGTGAATGGCTGTTGTTTTATGTATATATATAATGCAATCTCAGTCGAACTGTTCAATCTCTGTACATAGTTATGATAATTTACGTAGATTTGCCTCTAAATAGATTGTGAGCACTTAATGAATGCATCGTATTATACGAAGACAAATGTCTACATTCATTAGTCATTTCTGCTATTTTATTGAGCATTGTATGTGGTCGAAGGGATATAAACCTTTGATGAATCCAGTTTTCTCAGAAGATTGATCTTAAAAATGTACATTGTTTTATTCCCAACGATCTTCGTTAACAATTTGCACGTGGGTGGTCTTCTTCCTCTTCTGTCATATGGCTGCTGATGTATATGCAGAGCAAAAACTACAATTTCACATTCAGGCGGTCAAAAGCCAGCGGAGTGTATCGCTGTGATGTCTCCTTCATATTTGTAGATCGGGCATTGTGTCATTATACGTTGTATGGTCTTGTTCTGGATGACCACAGTCACACACTGGAAAGTTTTAAATTTCCCATTTGTGCATCAGGTATCCGCATCTGTTGCCATGGTTTGTGCAGTGGATGCGGCTTATGGTGAACCATGAGCTTCGTGGAAGATCAAACCCAGGGATATTCTGTGTTGGGTTTTCACAGGATGTTTATTTGTGAATTATTTTTAAGTTAATTCAGCTCTCCAAGCTTCATTGGGGTTAAACTCGCATTGATAAAGGTTAAGCGCATAGGTCCAAAAGGGCTTGGCATGACTTCAAGCTATGTCGAGGGAGGTTATTGTGGTCCTGATGAATGGCAATAGAGTGATTGATCTGTAATTTATTTTTATTTCTTGAAGTTTCATCACCTTTTTTGAAATAAGAATGGGACATTTGGCAATCCAGGTCCTTATTTACGTGACATTTATATAAATAGTTTTACTACTTTTGTTGCAACAAATGGTCCCGGATCTTTGATAATGTTCAGTTATACCATCTGGTCCAGAAGTTTTTTTGCCAGAGCTGACTTCTTCAGAGTCTGACATTTGGAACCCACATCTTCACCTTGAACATGCTTTTATTCCCTGGTTGAAATATGTTTTTTTTTTTCGTGACAGAGACCTGTGTACATGTGAATGTTCTACCCTGTCATGTACTCTGGTCCACCTTTCTCTGCAGCGGCTGTCTTTCGTGAGTTGGCAATCATCATTTGTGGCATCTTTAACAATATTCGAGGTCTCCAATTTCTGTTCTTTGTATTTTCCTCATCCATTTTTCTTAGTTTTGAGTATTCAATCATTTGGTTCGCATTGCCATCTCTATGTATGCCTCTTCTCTTTCTCAGCATGTCTCACGTAATTTATTTTCTGTTTACTTTCTTACCCCCCCCTCACTTGTATTGTTTTTTTTATGAATCTTAACGGAACTACCATTACTTCGATAATCACCACGAACATGATCGCACAACCACCATCAAGTAGTGCGAGCACAAATAAACACAACGAAAGGTGACTCACCCGCTCTCCGAGAGGCCCGGGTGGGCCATCATTTCCGGACGATCCCTGGACACAAACATCACATGTCAAGTTTTCTTAGATTAGTTAGGCCACCGTTTATATACAGTAGTCCCTCGGTTAACGTTTTTAATCAGTTCCACAAAAACTACTGTAAACCAAAATAACTGTTAATCTAATATAGGAAATACACCGAGTCTGCAAGTAAGCTGTTTCCACTGCCAAAACAGAAAACATAATGTGAACAAAGCCAGTCGAGGTCTAAATGCTCATAAACGGGCGTCGCTGGGTGTCTCAGCTCCACCTACGAGTGTTCGGATTGGCCGAAATTGACGCCACCACGTCCATAACGTAAACGTGCTGTTAATCAACTTTTTAACGTTTGTCAAAACCATGGGGGTTCCATGGGAGGCGAAATATTAACCAAAAAAACATTAACCAATGTCACTGTTAACCGAGGGACTAGTGTACTGCAAATGCTTAGTTTATTTTGTTCTACCAGCTGAGAACTCAAGGGTGACCTGGGTCACCAAAATGACAAAAGCATTAACATAAAAACGAAGCACAACAAATGAACGGATTAGAAATCAAAGCAAACAAAACAAAACAAAATCAGGGCACAAGCAACCAAATGTAAATTACAGTAAAAAACGACTCCTGCCTTACGAACAAAAACTCATGAAAAAATGCACAAACATAAATCAACTTTACGTAAAATAATGCAATATGGCTTTGTCATATTACTTAAAAAAATATTCATCGTGAAAGTTACATAACCATTAAAATGTATTGAGGGTTATAATTGCATGAGAGTGTGATAGGACCCTTCTTTAGCTGGCTGGGCTTATAACCCTTAGTAATATGACAGCGATCTGATGAATTTAACATTTATTTTAAATTTGTCCACAATTTTAGTAAAAGTAGTTGACTTGAATGTAAAGAGTTGAATGTATAAACGACGTTACCTTGGCTCCTGGCTTGCCTGTGGGTCCTCTTTGTCCCCTCTCCCCACGTGGACCCTGTTGCACACGCGTGGATTTCAATGCGCGCTATAACACTTGAACCCGCACGCATCATGGGAAACATCGTGTATAGTAGTATCTGGTTCTCACGTTCCCATTTCAAACATTTAGCTGTATCCTTTATCTCATTGTGGCGGCGACATGGCTCAGTGGTAGCGTATTCACTGCTCATTGCGGTGGTTCGAATCCGGCAGGGCGCTCCGATTAATACTGCGGGTGTGTTAGCTATAAAAACAGGTGCCATCTGCTTTACCTAGTCGTTCGAGATGCAGTGACATCACTCAAAGCAGCATAGGCCATTGTGTGTTGGCGTCAAATTTGAAAAATTACTCACAAATTACTTAATTACCTAATTGGATAATGCCCAGCAATCGTCTCCCCATACTCGGACAACTTGCTAGGACCCTTCTTTAAAAAGAGCCTTGAGACTCAGTGAGGCTTTCCTGGCTAAACAATCTTCCTAAATAAAACTAAGTTATTTAGGTCCCGAAATATCTCCATTGAGACAAAGTTACCCTGCACGCATCTTCCATCTCACTCTCCACATATCTCCAACATCTCACACTTCACACATCTCCCACTATCTCTGTCGAGGATCTTTGCTGCCTATAAACATCTTGTAGTTCAGCAACATTGGTTCAAGAAAGCCCGGCTCTGCTGATGAGACACTAAATGTAAAAAACCGGTCTAGAGTTTGATCGTGTTGAACGAATGCTGCTGTTAAGGTGCACTTCCAGAAGGCAGTGTGGATGATCGTATGGGTGATACACTGTTAATTGTTACGTGGAGGGACACATATGTAAGGAGACGAATGATCTGATGATTTACTTTGTTGCTCATTTTCTCCACAATGATGATGATTATTATTATTTTGTGTCAGTCATAACGGTGTGCAAACAATATGAGGCAATTACTACGAGAAAATTATCCACCGCGGAATGAATGTGGACACCGTTAAAAGCAAACGTTGAAGCAAAGCAACAGATCAAGACTGAATCAATGCATTGAACGACATTAAACTCAACAACTCACAGTGGGTCCCCTTTGTCCCCTGGGTCCAGGTTTTCCATGTGAGCCCTGTGAGGTGAAGGGGGTTGTGGGTAGAGGAGGGGTAACATTTCATTTAATAACAATATTCATTTAAATATAATAACTGTAAAGTAAGGATGCTACTTTTTCCACTGTAGCATAGGTCTATCAAAACTATGCAGTCGCCTATGATGAAGTTCAGCGCAAAACCAGCAGATGTCTGTGCAAATTAATTCCTGTCACTTGAACACAGATACCAATTACTGGGCTGTCTGGCTCAAATGTAAAGAAAATTCACCAAGTAATTCATATCTCTGATAATTATTTTTTAAAATATATATATGCATAATTAAATAAGCAGTGTTACCTGGGCAGCTGCGATTTTAGTACAATTATAAACTGTCATAAGAGAAAAGTTATAAAAATTCAAAAGGGAATATGCAAATCCAAGTGAAATCGCAATGATATGGGTGTGGCAGTGGTTGCTAGGGATGACATCATCCCTCCCTCCGCCCCAATCAGTTTCCAGGAAGCCAACCCCCTTGTAGTATGGCCAGCATGATGTTACCCATGTAACATGATTACCATGGCGTTATCGCTATGTGCACTTCAGCCGGTCTGTGGCTGAGGGAAGAATGTTTATATGATGAATGTTGGTTACATTACTTATTATTGTATGAATGTATTCATTAAACAATGTAAATGATATTTTTTTTTACATTATGTTATTCATGATTATAATTGAATTGATTTACTTTGACAATCGACTTTCGAGTGGTCCTGACTACCCCTAACACGAGTATGCCACATTGCCTTTAACTCCGTTATTAACCTGGGCCTATGACAAATCATTAATCAAGCTTATGCCATTTCTAGGCTGCATGAAGTCATTCCGCGCTCAGGCCTCTGGTTCCTAGAAGGATTGGTCAGAGTCCTGTTCACAAAAGGGTGTCTAGGTTCAAGACATCTCTATTATATAAAAAAAACATGTCCCATTACTGCATCACTAAAAGCAAATGTGCAGTAGTGTGTGTGCGGGGAGGCGGTGTTTTGCGAAGGCACTCACTCGCGCACCCTTCTCGCCATTTGTTCCGGGAAAACCTGGGAAACCCGTGGAGCCCTGCAATAAATAAAAGTGTTTTAAAACAACCAAGGTAAACATTGCTGATGTGGAAAAAAAACACAAGGTGGCAATGACAACAATTGTAAGGGGAGTGATGGCATAATGTTACGAGGTCATTTTAAGTGAAAAGTACACGGACAAATCACAATATTAAAATAATGGCAAAGAAGCATGCATAGAAGCACGTAATTACGCCCAAAAGAGGGGCACGTGGATGAGAGAACACACCCAGGTGAACGGTTCATGGCATCAACCAAACTGTTAATAAAGGTAAGTGGGCTTGGGCTGGGTACTTCGTGGCCAGAAGGGGTGATTGCTAATGCTCAAGAATAATAACGGAGCAGTGGCCAAGGAAGGGAACGGGTCCGAGAGGACGTTTACTGAGGAGATGGAGCGATTAAATAATTTAGCGTGCAGGTGGTGAATGGACCGTCACGTTGCAGGATCGTGAGAGGTGTCAGCGACTTGGGGAGGTCTTCATTCATCAGCAGATTGACCATGGCTGACAATGATGATGGATTTAAATTAATGGACCATATAGCATATAGCAGAGCATTGTTATTATATGCTTGTGCACCACTGTCAACGAAGTAGCAGCATAAAATAAATAACACACACATGAGCAAGTCGCGTTTCGGAAACCACATTTCTACCATTGAACACATGCACACAATCAACCAGATCATCGGAAGAGATAGATCAACGTCGAATACCATTGTTCCTGGTATGAATGGACTGAGAAGCCATTTGATTCTGTGGAAATTAATGCACTCATTTGATTCAAAACCCGCTGCTGTTTATGCTCGTTATTTTTAACAGTATTACCACGTAATCTCTTGTATTGACATAGAAGTAACATCAATTACATTACATTTATTGATGAAACCTATAGAAAAATAACGAGAGTGGCTTGTGTTGTGATGGGATGATGGTTATGATTTAATATTAATTGTGGAATGCTTTGATGTCTGCCAGCCGAGTCGGCATTGCAAATATTTTTGTAGCTCAATGGGCTATACTAATAAAATAAACTTCCCATTATAATTATCAGTCATGATAACATCGTACAGTATTAATCGTGGTGGGTGTAACAATGGTAAATTCACCTTGGGTCCTTGACGCCCTGGATACCCAGGTAGTCCTGGGACTCCCAGCTTGCCCTGGAAGCAAAATAGATTTCCATAGTGACATCGCATTTGAGGTGGCCAGTCCATAATTAGCATGATCCATCCATGGTCCCCCGATAGCGCATTCACCGCTTGTTGCAGAGGTTTGCGGTTATAATCTAGTAGGCTGTCCTGGTTAGTAATGCGGGTGCATAACCATAAAATACACGGCATCTACTGCACGGTAGACGTTAAAGATCACGTGACATCATTTGAAGAAGAGTAAATCGTTGTGTAGCGGGGATATGTGGCAAATTTGAAAAGTTACTCGCCAATTACTTAATTGGGAAACAGCAAACATCACCCTCTACTGCGGAAACCCAACAGAACCACTGTCTAAAGACGTTCCTGGGAAAACAAGTGTAAAAAATTATAATAAACCACTAATATAGTTAGCAAGCCTCTATTCAACCACAGCAAATTAATTACTTGCAAATTACATACTTGATTGGGAAACATGGCGATAACAGGTTCACTCAACTGGAGGTTTGTTTTATCGTCGCAGACAAAACTGATCTGGAGTTTGCTTATTTTGAATCAATGCTGCTGATAGGAGAGGAATACCTTAATGTTTTTTGCCGACTCGCCTCCTTCAGAAAATACCAGTGTTTATGGTCCCATAGTGGTGACACTCGCGCCTCACAGCAAGAAGCACCTGGGATAAATTCCTGACTTAGGCACTTTTCTGCGTAGAGTTTTGATGTTCTCTTCCTGTTTAGGGTTCTCCGGTGTCATCCCATAAGCACACGATGTAACTGGTATTGGTCAAACATGTGGAAGGTTTTCTGGGTGAACAAAACTTTCTTTCACTCACAATAACCCAGTAAGCCACTGACGCAGCCAAACATTGGGTGAGTGAGTCTGGGGACGTGATTACCCGGTACAAGTTAAACACATCATCGTACCTTTTCTCCTGCCACGCCAGCTGGACCCTGGTCACCAGGAGGGCCTGCGCGCCCCTTGGGCCCCTCTGGTCCATCCTCTCCCCTTACTCCTGCAGGGCCGCCCTCGCCCTGTACATTCACAAACAAGGACAAAGATCCCCCATAGAGCATTAACACACTGTAAGGTCGAATTATGTTAGCGAGCACCTGCAAAGGCCGGCACGGGACACGCAGGGTTGGGTGGCCAACAGCGCACGTAGCCGCCTTTGTCTCCCCAGTGGCGATGTTAACACACTGCACCTGGTAATCATTTAAGGCTGAGTCTACGTAGGGGAAGCCAAGCACAAGTTCAGATATTCGTCAGTGATTATTGGTTGTTTGTCAGGAATCGAACTTCTTTCCACCAGGTTCATAATGCAATCCGCGAACTGTCACACTGTCGCTCCCCACATCACACCTGAAACACAGGTACACACATTCACATCTGAAACACAGGCACACACATTCACACCTGAAACACAGGCATACACATTCACACCTGGAACACAAGCACACACATTCACACCTGAAATGCAGGCATACACATTCACACCTGAAACACAGGCACACACATTCACACCTGAAACGCAGGCACACACATTCACACCTGAAACACAGACACACATTAACACGCATTCAAGCCAAGGTAACGTCCTGCTCAGCCCTGAGCCAGTGTGAATATTCCACATTCCTTTGGTGTGGGCATGGCTATCCATTGGACAACCACTGTTGTACAAAGTTGCATTTACTTTATCGACCATGGAAGATGATTCGCTGAGTGGCATCAGAGAGACATTATTACCTCTACCTGATCAGATCAAGTCACGGAAACATTTTACATTGAAATTTAACAATGAAATTTACAAATAATCGAACGTATACTACTGAAATCATACAAATACACGCATATTTCAAATTGTAACTTTTGACGCAATATAGCCCAATAGGATGCATGACACTGCATGACATATATATGTATGTAATTTATGTATGTTGAACTACTTTCAAAACATGCTAATCGGAGGCGCGAGGAAAGGACAACAAACTAAACACCTTCGATTTAAAGCTTTGGTGACTGCAGGGATTCATCTTCTGGGTTCTTTTGATAAAGTCACGTAGAATGGCGATAAAATAATAAAAATATTAACATAATAAAATTCTCACGACGTTTCGGCCACAACACAAGTAGCCTTCCTCAGGTGAAGAAACAGGACTGTCCGGAAGACAGCGCTTGAGTGAACCCTGACAAGCTTGGCAGCATCTTTTAAGCTGTGTGGGAGGAACAGAGTGCCTTGACAAAGGAGTTTACATATAAATTAGCATGTAACTGGGGGATTAGCATGATGTTGGTGTGAGGGATTAGCACCACGGAGAGCGACGAGCTTTGTTCAGACGGACGAGTCCATCTATGTACGGAACGGAGGAGGGGGGAGAGGAGTTTACATATCAACAGTAAATTAGCATGTAACTGGGGGATTAGCATGATGTTAGTATGAGGGATAAACACCACGGAGAGCGACGAGCTTTTTCAGACGGACGAGTCCATCTATGTTCGGAACGGAGGAGGGGGTGGGAAGAGGAGGAAACGGCCACAGTGCGCTGCTCTGTCCTGTGTTGCATTATAACTATGCTATAAACTAGACTGCTATACATTACAATATTATACCTTCTCATCTAAACTACATTGTATAATATCGTATCCATAGACAAACCCCACCCTTGAATTATACAATGCGTTACTATACACTACCCTATACTTTAGACTATAAAATATTAGACTTGTAGTATTACACTATGTATTCTACTAACCCTGCTGTATACCACATTGCTGTATATTCACTATACAATTACGGTACTATATATTGCCTTATGAATTATGTTAAACATAACACTGTTATACTATTTATTATTATACAAAATGCTATAAACTATACTATTGACCGTCGTGTGAAAGGTACTAAGAGGCAGTGACAGCAAATGGACTGCAGTCTGAAAGTCACCGTAAAATACAATCAATCAAGAACCAAAATGGTTTATAACGTTTTTCCAATGGTTACTAAGCCGGAATCCATCTTCTTGGTTGAAATTGTCTCTGTGGTTGTATATGTGGATAGCGTCATGAATGAATCTCTCATGGTAGCCGGATGGCTTGCAGAGAACCTCCGTCTTGGAGAAGTCAATGTCATGTGAGCCCACTAAATTATAACAGTGATCTGCCACGGCTGAGGTATTCGTCCTACCTTGTTTCAGGTCTGCTTTATGTTCACGGATGCGGTCCGAGATATGTCGTTTGGTTTCTCCAATGTAGCTGCTACCACTGAGGCAACTTAGTTTGTAGATGCCCGGGTACTGTATGTCTGGAACCACATATCTTACAGACGCCACCAGATCACGGATTTTATGTACTGTGTTGAATCGGACCTGGATCTTGTGTTTATTCAAGATTTTGGAGATATTTTTTGTGACTCCCGCAATGTAGGGTAAGGTGATGGTTTTGAATGGCTCCTCAAGAGGATCCTTCTTCATGGTTGGAGTGATGGCTTTGCGGATTGTGTAGTCGGAGTAACCATTAGCCTTGAGAGCTTGGTGTACGTGCTTGAGTTCACTAGCAATGTGTTCCTGGTCGGAAATGCATTGGGCTCTATGGTATAGAGTCTCGACTATCAACTCCCCCACCTACAAACTGGCTCGTTTTCTGTCTGATATCCTGCGGCCTTTTACTGGAAAAAAAACACCTCTGCGGTACTAAACTCTACTCACCTGGTTTTGACAATCAAGGGTATTTCCCTGTCCCCAGACGACCTGCTTGTCAGTTTTGATGTGGTTTCCCTATTCACCAAAGTTCCTGTACCTGACACCATCGCAATCATTGAAGACTTGGTTAATCAAGGACTGCATACTGATGTACCCCCCCTGGTGAGACACTGCTTAACCAACACATACTTCACCTGGAATGGAACTTTCTACAAACAAACTTAGGGCACCCCAATGGGCTCCCCCCTACCGCCGGTTGTAGCCAACGTTTTCATGGAAAAATTTGAGACTGACGCCATCCAGACTGCCACTCTACGCCCGACCTTATGGAAGAGGTACGTGGATGACACTTTTGTCATCTGGCCACATGGCCGGCCTGCTCTAGACCAATTCCTCGACCACATCAATTCCATACACCCAGCCATCAGATTTACCATTGAAGTCGAAAAAGATGGCAAGCTACCCTTTTTGGATGTCCTAATTAAAAGGAGACCTGATGGTTCAAACAGCCACTCTGTCTACAGGAAAGCTACCTATTCGGATGCTTACCTAAAACCGGATTCCCACCACCATCCATCCCAGAAGATTTCCCTCATCAAGACTCTATACCATAGAGCCCAATGCATTTCCGACCAGGAACCCATTGCTAGTGAACTCAAGCACGTACACCAAGCTCTCAAGGCTAATGGTTACTCCGACTACACAATCCGCAAAGCCATCACTCCAACCATGAAGAAGGATCCTCTTGAGGAGCCATTCAAAACCATCACCTTACCCTAAATTACAGGGTTCACAAAAAATATCTCCAAAATCCTGAATAAACACAAGATCCAGGTCCGATTCAACACAGTACATAAAATCCGTGATCTGAAAGATGTGGTTCCAGACATACAGTACCCGGGTTTCTACAAACTAAGTTGCCTCTGTGGTAGCAGCTACATTGGAGAAACCAAACGACATATCTCAGACCGCATCCGTGAACATAAAGCAGACTTGAAACATGGTAGGACGAACACCTCAGCCATGGCAGATCACTGATATAATTCAGTGGGCTCACATGATATTGATGTCTCCAAGACGGAGGTTCTCTGCAAGCCATCCGGCTACCATTAGAGATCCGTTCATGAGACTATCCACATATACAAACACAGAGACAATTTCAACCGAGAAAATGGATTCCGGCTTAGTAACCATTGGAAAGACGTTATAAACCATTTCGGTTCCTGATTGATTGTATTTTACGGTGACTTTCAGACCGCAATCCATTCGCTGGAACTGCATCTTAGTACCTTTCACACGACGGTCAATAGTATAGTTTATAGCATTTTGTATAATAATAAATAGAATAAAAGTGTAATGTTTAACATAATTCATAAGGCAATATATAGTACCGTAATTGTATAGTGAATATACAGCAGTGTGGTATACAGTAGGGTTAGTAGAATAATACATAGTGTAATACTACAAGTCTAATATTTTATAGTCTAAAGCATAGGGTAGTGTATAGTAACGCATTGTATAATTTAAGGGTGGGGTTTGTCTATGGATACGATATTATACAATGTAGTTTAGATTGGAAGGTATCATATTGTAATGTATAGTAGTCTAGTTTATAGCATAGTTATAATGCAACACAGGACAGAGCGGCGCACCGTGGCCGTTTCCTCCCCTTCCCCCCCCCCTCCTCCGCTCCGAACATAGATGGACTCGTCCGTCTGAACAAAGCTCATCGCTCTCCGTGGTGTTAATCCCTCATACTAACATCATGCTAATCCCCCAGTTACATGCTAATTTACTGTTGATATGTAAACTCCTCTCCCCCCTCCTCCGTTCCATACATAGATGGACTCGTCCGTCTGAACAAAGCTCGTCGCTTTCTGTGGTGCTAATCCCTCACTCCAACATCATGCTAATCCCCCAGTTACATGCTGATTTATATGCAAACTCCTCTCCCTCCTCCTCCGGTCCGAGCTCGTCGCTCTCTGTGGTGCTAATCCCTCACTCCAACATCATGCTAATCCCCCAGTTACATGCTAATTTATACGTAAACTCCTTTGTCAAGGCGCTTTGTTCCTCCCACACAGCTTAAAAGACGCTGTCAAGCTTGGCAGGGTTCACTCAAGCGCTGTCTTCCGGACAGTCCTGTTTCTTCACCTGAGGAAGGCTACTTGTGTTGTGGCCAAAACGTCGTAAGAATTTTATTCTGTTATTATTATTTTTTATTATTTTATTTCCATTCTACGTGACTTTGCCGAAAGAACCCAGAAAATGAAACTAAACACCAATAAAAATGTGAGTAGTAACAACAATGATTGTGCGTTTGATATCGCCACCCTCCACAACACCGAGTGTTTCACACGCGATGAGTGACCTGCGTCGTTCAACGAGGCTTCCTGGGTAAACAAGCATATAATGAATAATCTTTACATTGTCCCTAAATTAGTTTTTTTTTAACCTGACAGTCTCACTCCAGAAGCTCACAAGGTTACGGGAAGCAGCGCTGCTGCTGCTGCTGCGTTGCCGTTTGCTTTCTCGCCATGCCGGGCGCAGTCACCGTTTATCACTGCACTCACTGCACACTTTATTTCATCTCCAAGTTTTGTGGGTAACCCTTTGATGAATGTGCCCGGCTTTCTGCGACTTAGGGCGAATCTTGACGCAATTGTCTGGCTCGACCACCTCAATGTACAATTACGGATGTCTGGTCTACGTCGACATCAGCCACATGAAGCAACACAACCTTGCACTCGCGTTTCATTCATGTTGGGTCATCTGTGCGAGTGTTAACGTGACCCCACGTTACAGAGGCGAAGTTTGTGTTTGACTCAGCATATCATGCCTCTGGGGTCGATAAAACGAGTACTGCTTTGTGGGAAGTCGACAGTGATTGTCCTACATATCTATTCGCTCACACCATGGAAATTTGGAATTTGTGCATTATGTAAATAGGTATATACATGCTGAATGCACTTAATTTACAAAACTAAAGATATAATACAACAAATTATCATAGAAATAACGCAATGCCAAGACAGTGTATCTATCAATAGACATGTGTTTGCGGGCGCCACATATTTGTAAACGTGTTTATGTAAACACGTGCACTTGTTAGGAAGTAAATGTATGTTCATGTCGTGCTTTAAAAATGGAAATGCACTTACCCGGTCACCTTTCACTCCCATATCACCTTTGAATCCTGGGAAGCCATCTTCACCCTGCACGTAAAAAAAAACCACGGAATTAATGAGCACGAGCAGAAAATAAAGTTGTGTCACGGCAAGATGACCGCCCTAACTATGCCTCCTCCCCATATATCACACTGCATGTCGAAACCGGTCCAGAGTTTTTGGTTGCGTTGAACTGGTACTGCTGAACTCACGCAGTTCACGAGGCCGTGTGGCCGATGGGATGGGTAAAGAAAATAATTGCATTGTTTATCCGAAGGGCCAGTCACGGGAAGCAGTAATGTTGTAGGCTTATTTATTTTGCTACTTGCATTCTCGATAAGGACGCCTAACGATTGTTTTGTATTGCGCAACAAAAGCTGCAAGGCCTGTTAAGGCCGCTTGCAAAGTGAAAATAACAAAGCCACTGATGTATTGGCAACCTCGCAATGTGCCCAGTCAGGGCTGTTAAACAACAATCTTCGACCGGGTTATGGTTCTAGCATTCACAGCGACCTGACGAGCTGCTAGTTGCGTGTAGACAATGTATCTTAAACAACTGCATTAGAAAACAAAGAGTTTGTTACACTCGGATTAACTGGAACGTATAATTGCTGTACTTATTGGTACGATGAATGTTAAATAAAATCATTTGACAGGTGGCTTGCAGATGATGTTTGTTGGAAAATTACTTGGTGATGCTGTGTTGGCAGTGATGCACACTCCACTTCACCGGCCTCTCTATGCGCTGTGAAGCAGGGTCGTTGCCTAAAACGTCTGCTATTATTTTCTTATAATTTTTTTAAGGCCATGGTGTTATTGATGTACGTGCCGAGTTCGTGTGCTGTTTAATTATAGGTTCTGATACCTATACCCGGCAGTATGCACATTGCTACAAATTGTCACGGCGAGTGGTGATTACTGCATACCTATACCCGGCAGTATGCACATTGCTACAAATTGTCACGGCGAGTGGTGATTACTGCATAAGTAAATGACTCACCTTTTCACCTTTATTCCCCTTAAGACCACGAACCCCTTCTGTTCCCTACAAAAGAAGATAAAAAAACATCCACATATGCACAATGTTCACTGTAGTCCAAACAGCATAGGTAACATATGCAAAAGATGAAATAGCACCAGGTGAAGCGTTCACCCGTCCCCTCGCCCGGACACGCATCGCGCGTGAGTTCACATTGCAGCTCTCATCATTGCTGATCGAGCAACGAGATGGCGTCAACCAACACGTGGCCTTCAAACGGAGGGCTCAGCAAACACAGCTCATCAGCGAGCCCACCACCACCACCACACTGCCTGGCTTTCACCTTCCTCTTCGCACAGCTCATCAGTGAGACCACCACCACATCGCACGGCTTCCACCTTCCTCTATGCACAGCTCATCAGTGGGCCACCCTCTTCCATGGATACAACAGCAGCCGCACTTTACCAGATCGGCACACACCACAGAAGATGCAGATACCAGATGCACGGGTGGAGAATCGTAGAATCCATCTCCTGTGTGCGACTGCAGCTACGACTGCTAAACCTTTAAGCACGTGACTTCGCAATGCCCCAAACAAACACGTCAAGGCAGTGGTCGGTGCATCAGCAAGTCACACACTTGTAGCCAAAGCGATGGACTGGCTAAGCCACTTGCAACTGAATTTGTCATGGTTGCTTCCCGTAGGCCATAGAGAAGAAAAAGGCACTATTTGAGTGCAAGGTGCCTGCCGAGGGGAGGGGAGGGCAGGGACGGAGGCCCTGACCCCACTCCCGCTGTGCTCGTGACTGCTCTCTTGTTGTGCTGTAATCTCACATCGCAGTCATTCATCAAATTGCTGGTAGGAGATGGGGGGGGGGGGGGTGAATCAGTCTTTATTTCTGTGTAAACGCCTTTCACGAAAATATAAAGTTTTAAGTTTCAAGTTGATTTTGTTAAAGCAGGTGAGAACTCAAGAGACCAGGAACGCACGGTTCAACAGATCTTCGGCTACGAGGATTCACGATCATGTACAGACTGGTGCCAGAATCCTTCAGCCCCTCGTATTTATTGAGGTGGGAGCGACTCTCAGGACAGTAATTGTGAGACAAACATAATGTGCCAACTTTCGGTTGAAGGATAATGGAACTAAATCAATTATCAACTCATCGGTTAATATTCTACTGGTATAATTATCCATTGAGATATCGATGTAATTATCCATACATTACCTTGACGCCACGTGGTCCTGGGTAGCCCACGGGACCCTGAGCACCTGCAGGTCCCTGAAATGAACAATATAAGTTGCGGCCAATGTGAATATTAATTTGACTAAACACTCATGATTACAGCACCACAGTGGAGGAAAACCATAATCAGAATTGAGAAGTCTCACACATGGTACAACGTAATTACGGATATTCCCTAAAATACAAAATCAGTACTGCTGCCTAGCATGACACGTTTCAGCTGTAAAGTGTAACACACAACTGATGCAGCCTTCTCAGGGATTGCTAGGATTCTGTCATGACAATGTAATTGCATTGGTGCCTGGCCAGGTGGTTCAGCGGGAGAGCGAACACTTCGCAATCAAAAGGTCGCGAGTTGGGAGGATTGAGTCAGTTCATCATCCCTCTGGCGTTCGATTCAAAGAGGAAACCACTTTGTGGGAATGGCAACAGTGGTGGCCTATGAATACTCTCCCTGACATAGGAATGTGAAATTTAGACCACAGGCTCAGGGCTGTAAATACGAACTGTGTAGAGTTGTACATATGAGAACTCGTACACAAACAATTTACATCTATAACTTATACAGTTTAGCATTTATATAATGCACATCACACTCAGTCAAACACATACACATACATGAAATCCCAGCTTCCTGAGCCACAGGAAAATAATCTCGATTCATAAAAAGGAGACTGTACTGAAAAAACCGATTGCTTTAGGACCACGGGAAAGGTGAGTGTTGTTCTTAGTTTAAATGTGGATGAAAATGTGTCCTGTACCGTTTTGCCAGGTTTTTTTTGGGAAGGAATGGAAATAATGCGGATGCCACTGCACCTTGCCCATCACTTTCTATCCTGACAGCTGTTGTAGTTTTCTGAGTAAACTGACACTGCCGATCATATAAAATGTACACCGATGGCCAGGGGTAACTGAACCATATCCACCTGCTTAATTTGGTAAGTGGTCATTGATGAAACAACAACAGAATCTGCACATTCACACAATAACAGCAGACCCCATTTACTACTAAGTGGCAGTGATGTCACCACTGCACCCGTACCAGTATATGTGCATTTTGAGGCTGTGACGTGAAGTGTGGAAGGCTCACTGTTGGCAGGAGTTGATGGGACAGACCCAGGTGTCATGGGTTAGCCGAGTGAGATGACTGGCAGATGCTGCTCGCTGTGCCACCCCACTAAGTTTTGGCCCCGAGACGTTGGCACGTTGGTAGGACCTCCATATAAATTAAAAACAAAGGTTCCCCGTATAGCCTGCACAGACTGTTGGGGCAAGTTATGTTACCGAGTACCTATGAAGGCTGGCACGGCACACGAAGGGGATGGGTGGTCAACACCACACCCGACCGCCTTTGTCACCCCAGTGCCAATGTTTAGACACCGAACCAGGTATTCATTTGAGGCTGAGTCAACCCTCGGGGAGGTGCATGAACAGTTTAGATAATGGTCACTAATGTTGGCCTTGAGCAGGAATTGATCTTGGGTTGCCAGGTTCGTAAAACAGCACTTTAACCACGACACTCCTGCTCCCCACATATATATACACACATGCATACACATACACACAAACCATCCCACAAATACACAGGAGTGTAGCACCCACGTGGATATCGACTCGCATTCGACGTACCTGTGCCCCTTTCTCCCCTGGTGGGCCTTCTTTCCCAGGATGTCCCTGCAAATAATCACAAACACATTCAGTTTAATCACAATACAGGCAAGTGGAACATCAAAGGGATACCACCAGCTATAACTTATATCAGTAATGATTAACACAACCGTGTTTTAGTAGCAGAGGTAAAAATACAGCCCTGCAATTGCCAATGCTGGTGGATGAGCCTCCATTCGCGGGACCTCTAGAGAGCCACCCTCTCTATGATAGTTGGTCTACTCTTCCACATTGACCAGAAAAGGTTTAAAAAAAACAACGCAACTGGTACTGGCCAAACATCCCGATGAAAAGCAAGCCTTGCAATTACTGAATTAGGATCACAAGCGGCAGCAATATCGCCCCCCTACTGTGAAAACTTGGCAGGACCGTCCTAAAAAAAGTCCTGAGGCTCAGTGAGGCTTTCCTGGGTAAACAATAAGGGTAGTAATAACAATAAAAACAATCATGTTGGCGGAGGTGGGCATGTCCACATTATAACCTGGCGAGCGCCTGACGATCATCAGGTTAAAAACACGTGAGCTGGAATAATTATTCTGGAAAGAGCAGTGGTTGTCACCGACACACTCGGCGGCATGGAGAATCACAGATGTGGGCACAGCAGGAATGTGCTTACTAGTAGTTTCACTGTGTCACTGCCCCCGGATACCGTACGTGACACTGTCAGATAATGTGGTATTCTGTCGACTTGTTCAATATCCGTTCACAAATATGGGCAACAAACAACATTCTCACGTGGTGTTACGATATCGCTGTGTGAATGTGTATTTATAGAATGTGAACATTAGGGGCGAAGCACCGTCAGGCGTGCATTCATTTACATAGCAAGACGTTACATGCGCAATGCCACAGCTGGCCAGCAGAGTAGCATGCTTCTTAGTTCACTACCACTCTTCCTTTTTAACACTTTGACAATGTTAACAACAATATTAGTCCTGAGCATGGTCATCATCTAGTTGTGGGCGATGTGCTGTGTTCTTGTTGTTTTTGTTGCTGTGGTTGGTAAGAGGCTCTATGAATGGTGGTGACAACGGAGAGGAGTGTGTGTACATACCAGGGGTCCGTCAGATCCAGAAAGGCCCTGAATGCCAACCTTTCCTGCTGGACCCTGCAATTATTCATCATTCAGTTATAATATCACCACACACGCAGGCCTTTCACGTCACATTCGCCTTGCCACTATCACTGCCACTCACACAGCATAGCAAACCTGCCCGAGAAGAGCATTCAATCTCTGACACACGCATTGCACCACACGCTGTGGTACGTCACAGGACCAATGTGTTGTTTCCCAGGAATCAATTCCCCCAGTAATTATAGCTTTACCAACATGGCCCAAGATTAGCGCGTTCTCTTGTTGCAGAGGTTTGCGATTTTACTTGGCCAGGCCGCCCTGGTTGCTATTTGTGGGTGTATTCACTAAAAGAACACACTGTCTGCTGCACGGTGAATGTAACATCCCATGGCGTAAATGAAAAAAAGTAGGTAGGCCATTGTGTGCCAGCGACATGGTCAAAATGCCCCAAGTTTGAAAATAGTACCCGCAAATGACTCAACTGGTCAATACACAGTGACGTCGCCCCGACTGAGAAACTACTGCCGACTCAGTGAAATACAACACATCCATTCATAATAGCTTGCATATTAGAATGGCGCTAACACCAAATGTACCAATTATTTGGTTAGATTTGAAAATGAATTCATCAACATCATCAACTTTACAATCAACAGCATTCACCTCCGTAACATTACCATAATTCAGGCACATTAACACACTTCTGCAATACATGTAAACTGCAATGAGAAACAATCAGATTAACATCACACATGATCTCTTATCACCACCATCTCCACCATCATTACTGCCTGTGAAATACACGTTTCCTTGTGGAATAAAGCACTTGTTCAGCATATAAATATCATCAGTTAAACTTCAACCATCATATCCTCATCATATCATTGTCCTTACCTTTTCACCAGGTGGACCTATGGGCCCTTGAGGCCCAGGTAAACCCTGCACGTAAAAACATTGGACACAAATGAATTGAGTCATACATTTGCAATCATAATTTACAAAACTGTTAAATAGTTGCTAGAGGAAGGCCTCCCCATACTGTGCAGTTTGTTAAAGTGGCGGCCCAGGAGTGGTTCAGATATCACCTGTCACTGATGTTAGCCGTGGCTGAGAACCAAATTGAGGTTGCCAGGTTCAATGTGCAGTGCACGAGCCAATGCACCAACACTACGCCGCTTGTGTTGATATGACATATGCTTCAATGGCAGTCTTATTCGTATGGTCTGCACAATACAGCCGATTGCATGAAGCAAGGATAGGAGAGGATAACATCAGATTAAAAGAACAAACACAAAAGGGAGAGCAAGACTGAGGATAAGGGCTGATTATTGGCAAAAGCGCAGAGAGGAAAAGGAGATCTAAACAAATAGAGAAATGATTCGAGATCGTTCTTGCTGAGGTGTTCATTGGCACTACCGCACACCTGTAATCCAGTTATTTGGGAGGCAAGGGTTGTTGGTTCACCAAAAGACAGGGGGATGGTGGTTTGGGTGCTGGTGGATCATCATAAGTTGCAGCAGTTGCATTAATATTATCATCCTTGCCATCGTCGCAACATTATTATCAGCTTTATCATCATTGATATCATCTGTATCTTCATCATCATCATTGTTTTAGGCCATGCTAAGCTAAGGATTGGGAACCTTTGCTGAGAGCAGAGGAGCATGTGAGCGTGTGAGCACGTGTGCGCATGTGAGACGAAGGGCCAGGAACTTGCGCGTGAACTTGGCAAATCACGTTTGCAGAATTTCCACCGGTCGGCGAAATTTCACTGATAGGTGGGAATTTCCGCAAAAGCACGAAATATAGTTGTGCATATGAATTGGGCCCTTGTAGCGTACGGATGATGTACGTTTGTTAACGAGGATCTCGACTGGGGAATTGCAGTGTTTAGCAGCAATAATGGCTGATCCTCGACACTGAAGTCTTTGTAATTATTACACATGCCCCACTGAGTCTCAAAACTCTTTTTTAGGAGGGTAATGCCAAGTTTTCACAATATGGGGCAATTTTTTCTGTGTGTGATCCCAAGTGAGCAGGTAATCGTTCAACATTGGAATTTGTGACCGATGCCAGTTAAATTGCGTCTTCTTTTTACCTATGGGAAGAAACTGGAGAACCCAGAGGAAACTCATGTAGAACAGAGGACAAACTCCACGCGGCAAGGCGTCCGACTTGGGAATCGTACCCAGGCCCTTCTTTCTGTGAGGCGCGAGTGTCACCACCATGCCACCACCCTGCTACCCTTAATGTGAGGATTCCAAAAATGAAGTATTGCGGCAGTGGTTAGAGATGGGTCCCAACCACCGTTGTTGGTTAGAATGTGGACATCTAAGGAAGGGGGCTTATTAAGGCTGAAACGAACAACGCAACTACAAAAGACACATCTATTGTTTGCATATAGCTGTCACTGCAGAGACTAGGAGTTTTATGGAAGCACTGTGAATGTTATCCGAAAAAGGAGGTTGTCATGGATGGGACATGTGCAGGCAGGTAATCGATACAGATACTCAAAGGTTAACAAACAATGGGAAGACCTAAAGCCAGACGGTATGGATACTGCCATAGTAGACTTTGAGGGTCTGCATGTCAACATTATGGCTAGGGGATCTCTTGGTGAGGTTTCGTGGCATCATTGCCATTGTTCATGGTGGCCACTTGTCCCTGACGTTCACCCTAAAACCATAAACGAAAACACCATGATCAGGCCAGCGCATTGCCTCAATTCAATAAAAAAATATACCATGATGCCAATTTGAAATTGGAATTTAAATACAGGCTCATTTACGCCACGTGCAAAAAGTTCGCGACTGAAAAACACAATAGAGAAAGTCTGAACCTGGAACCGCTTTTGAAGGGGAAAACTGAATAAAAGTGATGAGAAAGTTAAGGGCAGGAGTTGGAGTGCTCTTGAAAAGCTGAACTTGAAGTTGCAAAATAGCAGAGCAATGTGCTAAAGAAGAACGCTCACTCCCAGCTATGACACCTGAATTAGAAACGCAGTCATTGTCCAAGCAGAACTAAACTGAGAAGTGCGCACAGTAGCACGGACAGATGCAAGCTTGGAATTACATAGGAGACAGACAAATTAACACATGGATCAGAGAACACACTCAGGTTAAGTACATAATTGAAACTTAAAAAAAAAAGTAGATGGACTTGGGCAGGATGCGTCAAGGCCAGAAGGGATAATGATGGAGTGACAGCCGAGGAATAGAAAACATCCAGGAAGACGTCCACCGAGAAGACGGAGAAATGGAATATGCACGTGTGCAGGTGCTGCGTGGATTGGTGAATTGCAGTTTTGTGAAAGACGGAGGCGGTTTTGGAAGGCCTTCATTCAGCAGTGGATTGACCAAGGCAGAAGATGATGACTAGTGGTGGAAGACCTAGAAGTCAAATTTCCAAGGCAGAAATAACCGATACCAGGCCATCATCCAGCAGTGGACTGGTCAGTGCTGATGATGGACACATACCTGGGAACCAGGATTGCCTTGCTGGCCTGAAGGACCGGACTCTCCTTGTGGGCCCTGCAAAGCAAACGTGCTCAGTAGCAGAAAGAACATGCCAATGCAAGGACCACCATTCACTCAGCGTGTGGTTTGTTGACTAAGGTGCTGCTGTGCCAGGCTCTACGTACCACGTTGTCACAGCAGGCCCTTGGGCATTACGGACCAAAACCTTCCATAAGAAGTTGCTTAAGCAGGGAAACTCTGGTTGGTTTTGACTTCGTCAACAGATGGACTTCCTGTCTGTTCACTAATTATTCATTACCCAGAACCCTCCACCACAGTACATACTGACTTTTACAAATGTGTCTAGCAATACCATCTGTAAACACAGCGATATATATATTTAACGGGCCTGACTCTGCTTATGACACTGTTGAAAGCTAGTCCAGAGTTTGCATGAGTAACAATCCTGCAGGGGAATAATAGCTCAGAAGGCCGTAGGCCGATAGGCATCCTGTTGATTCATTATTTATTGTTGACTTAAAGCTTTCGTGACTGCACGAATTCATACCCTGGGTTTTTCGGTAAAGTAACTTAGATAGAAAAATATTTTTTTTTAAATCAAGACGTTTCGATTGCAACACAAGCTGTTTTTTTCCACCTGAGGACGATTGCTTGTGTTGCGATCGAAATGTGATTTTTTATTCTTTTTTTTCTATCTACGTGACTTTACCGAAAGACCCAAATAGTATCATTATTTATTCAGTCAGGAAAAGTCTTAAGCAACCAGTGAGGAGCTTTTTTGTTGACAATTTGATGCCTACATTGGCACATATGAAATTATATTTTTTGTAAATGTGACAATCTCGTCAGGTAGCGGAGGGTTATAGATGCAAAAAATGATATTCATTACGATCTATATCACACTGGTCAGGTCACGTAACATAACATTATTGGCAAGAGTTCTGTGATAAAGTGATTCCATTGCTGCTGCTGTTTCAACAGCTCCTTACCATGTTGCCCTTAGGTCCAGATGGTCCATCTAAACCCCTGGCACCCTGTTCCCAAGACACACACATACACCGCAAACAATATGTTAACTCAAATCTCCAATGATGAGGAAATCCATCACATTTGCCTTTTGGGCAAGCAAATGGTTCCCATTGGGTAAAGGCACAAGCCCTCTCCACATGGGAGGCTCCCAAGGCATGTGGCAGCAGAGAACACCGATGACTGTGGTATACTGATGAGTCCTAAGCAGAATAAAACCAATGTACTGGCGAGCTACACTTTCTCAACTCTTTTGAGTTTGTGGTCTAAAATTACAAAATGACTACAAGTGCAGTTCTATTGATCTGGTCGTCTGGATAAGTCTGAGAGGTTTGTGTTGTTGTGTGTGTTGTTAGATAAATGTTACATCGTTATATGTATGTGAAACGTCAACCAGTTGTGGAAATAAAATGTACAGACGTTCATACACGATCATGTCTAACTTAAAAAAATATATATCAATTCACAGTTAAATACGTGTTAACTTGACTTACAATAATATATGTGTTGGTTCAAATTCCGGTTGGGTTCTTGAATGAGCCAATCATCCCGCCAGGGTTCATATCATTTGTAACGCTCTCTGGTAAACCAACAGCAGTTGTCTTTTGGAGACAATGGTCTCTGACACAGGAATTTGAAAATCACAAAAGCTGTACTAGAGTTGCCACAGAAGCTGCCTCCTCGAGCCTTCTTCTGAAGTCATCTGCTCCTCAGTGACAGCTCAAACTCCTTCCATCCGTTCTCATCGTGAGCTTTTTTCCTCACATCTCTTAAATCCTTCTTTATTCATTCCTTCCTTCCATCAAGTAATCAAGTAGATTTTTCTCTCTGCCTCTTGGCCTTTTCACCACATCCTTCTCTCCAGAACTTTCTCACCTCTGCAAACTCGCCCAATATTTTTTGCTTTTGTGAGATCGTTCCAATCATACTCTATGCCAGGGATTCTGCAATGTAAAAGTAACCATGCCCGACAGAAAACACTGATCCAAAGACAGTTTCTCTAATCGGAAAATGTACACCTTCTGACTCTCCAAATTGACCTTAGAACAATCAGGCTCAACCACCTAAAAAGCCTGGAATATGCGTTGCCCAATTACATTTAATCTGTTCTCCTAAATGGGTTTAAAACATCAGGATGAAGAGAAAATGTGTTCATTACGTTTTGTGAAAGGATTTGTTATTGATTTTTGGATTGATCCAAGCAATACAAAAGTCAGAGCTTGATACGAAATTTCACATTATAGTTGTGGCTCCATCTGCGGGCACGATGCCACGAGGAACTACGTCGCTGACATTACTCGGCTTTGTGCTTTTCCCGCAGACTTGTCATGTGACATAAAGGGAAGTAGCTTTTGTTTGTGCAAAGTGATGTTCAATCTTTTTTCTTTATCTGCTCTCTAAATTGTTTCATTAAGTTATATTCAGAAGAAAAAAAGCAAGATTGAACCGCCTCTAAGGGGAAGGTTTCCACATAACTGTTAGATCTCTTAACAGACTGCGAGACAACAAGGTTCACTTGATCGAGTCTCTCACCATTCTGAAGAGATGCCGCGACACCAAGGTAATACTGATCGCCTTTACACTGACATCTTGAGCTGTCACTTCCCCTAACGCAAAACGGATCTTGTTCAGGGCTAGCCTAGCTTTAATCTCAGAGAGAATAAGACTGCTCCGATTTGAACTTGATAACTTAGACAATACTCTCTTACAATCACAATTAGCATTAACAGATAAAATGTCCACATCTGATTGAGACCATGCAGATAACATGACTGTTTCTTTAGCCGCTACAATGCCAGCCAAATTTAAAGTTAACCTGATTGCTAAATTCAACATCTTGTGAAAAGGCGGCAGATCCACACGTTAAAAAGTAGATGTTAACAAGACTGTTATCAATCAGAGTAAGAGCCCAATTTCCGACAGCCTAAAATCGGTACTAGCTAAAGGGTTGAATTTCGCAGTCACCCCTAAACACATCCCAGTGGATGATATCATTGCCCAAGTCGACGTAGCCCTCAAAGGTTTGGGACACATCCAGGCAGACGTGGCAATATCTGAAATCGCTGATATCCGCAAAAACGCTAAGAAACCCATTAGTAACATCAGCAAGGATGAGCGTTTTGAACTCGCTCAATTGAAAAAGAGAAATTATATTGTCACTTTCAGCAGACAAGGGGAATGCCACTGTCATCATGGATAAAACCACATACAATAACAAAATTCAGGACCTTCTTAATGATGACAGTTATACCAAAATCAACAGAGACCCTACCAACTGCCTGGAAACGAAAACCAACAATATCATCACTAATTCCACTTCTCTAATCGAACCGACCAAGCAGCTCTCTCTAAAGCCTTCGGCTGCTAGACCACCCAGATTTTATGGCCTTCCAAAAATCCATAAAGAAGGTACTCCACTACGTCCTATAGTATCCACCATTAACTCACCCACCTACAAACTGGCCCGATTTCTGTCTGAGACCCTGCAATACCCTGGTGTCTACAAACTAAGTTGTGTCTGAGGCAACAGTTACATTGGGGAAACGAAACGACATGTCTCGGACTGTGTTCGTGAACACAAGGCAGATTTGAAACACGGCAGAACCAACACCTCTGCCGTAGCTGATCACTGTTTTAATGCGGTGGGCTCACATGATATTGTTTTTTCCGAGACCAAGGTACTCTGCAAACCTTCGGGCTACCATCAAAGATTTGTCCATGAAGCCATACAGATACATAAACACAGACACAATTTCAACCGAGAAGATGAGTACAAACTGAGCAATCATTGGAAGGACGTTATGAACCAGTTTAGGTCATAACTGGCTGTGATGTTCCCTTCCTGGTGTGGACCAATCAGTTTCAAAGACAATGCATATATTTTGATTTAAAGCTTTCGTGACTGCAGGGATTCATATTCTTGGTTCTTTCGGTAAAGTCACGTAGAAGGGAAACAATAAAATAATACAAATATCAAACAATACAATTATCATGACGATTCGACTGCAACACAAGCAATCATCATCAGGTGTGAAAACCACAACAAGAAAATTTGAAAAATGTGAAAAAAAATTATAGTGGTTTTCACACCTGATGATGATTGCTTATGTTGCAGTCGGAACGTCGTGAGAATTTTATTTTTTATATTTGTATTATTTTATTGTTTCCCTTCTACATGACTTTACCGAAAAAACCAAGAATATGAATGCATATATTTTCAGAGTATGTTTTTTTTCGCATTCTGACCACAGGCATTGTGGTTAATACAGACATGATTCCTTGTAAAAGGTTTCAGTTTGGTGTTTAAACATCTCAACACTTGTTTTGTTGCCTGAAAAAAGGGGAAAACCTATTTACATATTTTGGTACTGGCAAACGAGGGCCCATGAAGTTGACTGATGTTTTATGAAATGTAATTTGTCCGAGTCAACCTTTGTGACTGGAAATGTAGTGATTTAATTTGGAGCTATGTTTGTGCATTGTTTTTTATTTATTTTGTCATGCAGTAGTGTTTGCTCTGATTACTATTTTATTAATTGTTGTACTGAGTGTTTATGTTATTCCCTTTGTCATTTGAATGACCTTGGTCTCTTACAAATGAAACTATTGTGGTCTATTGAGTTCTCACCTGGTTAAACAAAAGACACTTGAAATTTGAATGTGCCGATCTCACAGTTTGAGGTATATGAGCATATTAAACTATTTTGAAACTATATTTTATTTACCAGGTAAGGCCCACTGAGCTTTTTCAGAAGTGACCTTGCCACAAATGACAGCTTAACGTAGTGGCTTAGCATGTGGAAACGTATGGCATCCAAATACTCTAAGTGTGGAGGGAGAAACTGGAGGGACCCAGAGAAATATCCACCACCAAGGGGAGAACATGAAAACTCTAAATATATAGGCATCAGAGTCAGGATCAAACCCACAACCTCCTCCATACCAGACGAGGTATTTAACATCTCGCCACCGTGGCGCCCCTTGCAATGCTTGTCTCAGTCATCTGCCCTCTCCCACACAGTGTGCATGTCCCACCTTTCACAACCTCCTCTCTCTAATTTACATCTGCAAAATGTTCCTGTTACGTGCCGCTGTTTTGCTGAATGTTTTTTTACAGAAATTCACATCAACCTACGCATGCGCCACAACCAAAAGGCCACAAGAATGGTGTTTGGCGTTCGTTCAAGCTCAGTATTTGTTTTTACTTCCGTAGTAACTAAGACGCAACTCTTGTCTCAAACACCTGTCTCAACAATGACCATCTGCTGTTCCAAAGTGATTTACATAGTCCATCAAAGAGCCACGCTTTCAACACATTTCGGTTCTGCTCAACATCTTTCCCCGACAGTCATATCCAAGCGCCAGCTCACAGCACACACATTATCCACATGCACCATTTCTCTGAGATGTAACTGATGCATTCGGATTCTTGACTATGACTGTCAATGGGTGTTTTCTCAACACATTGATGGTTGAAGATGACTTTGAATGAAACTCTGATAAACACCTTGTCATTGGATCCTCAACACGAAATGTACACCTATGGATGTGTCCCACCTGTTTGCAGCCTTGCTTTGTTTAAAGTTTATTTCTTAAACCAGGCGAGAATTCACTGACACAGCGGTATGTAGGAACAGCCTTTTCTTGGTGTCTTGCTGACCTGTCTCCGACTGCATCCAGCTGTGACTATCTTGTGCAGTTCCTTTACCATCTGTCAGCCCCCCAACGTTTAACACCTTGGCTGTAACGCCACAATAGCATTCCTGCAGTCCTGGGTCCAGATTTAAAGTTGTTTTACTGCTTCAGCCGCTTACAAGGTCGCTTATACCCCCAAGTCTTCAATAAAAAAAATACACTCGGGGCATTCCTCAATTACATTTGGTCTTAAAAGGAAACAAAAATATATACAATAAGCGATGTTTATCATAAATTCTGTTGAGAAGGCCCAATGCCTAAAATGTCACCTACCCATCGATGTGTTTCATTATAAGGTCACAGAGTTATTGACGAACCTGCTGAGTTGTCGTTGTATATGATGGATTTTGATTACTTTTGTATTCAGTCAAATATTCCAATTGCTGCTGCCATTAGGCAAGCTTATCTGGCCCCATAGATATAAGTGAGGTCTTTACATATATATGTACGAGGTTCCCCGAGGCAGACTTGGCAGCAGTGAGCATTAGTGACTGTACTGTACTGATGAGTCCGAATAAGAATGAAACTGGTCTACAGTTGTATTTTTGTCTGACAGCTGGCTGTTGGTCACACTTGTTCAAGCGACTGGAGGTGCCTTAAGACCACATAACCAATGCAATTCTTCAGGAACTGGTGGTTTTGCAGAGTTCATACGCCTTTTTGTACACAGTGCACGTGTTTGCTTGCTGTTGAAAAACGTGTGCTTGTGCATCACTGTCAAAGCCATGTCCCCGAGCAACTCTTCCATTCTCTGGTTTCTGATAATAGATGCCACCGCAACTGCTCTGCGAAACGCATGGTATTGGTGTGACAGGTGACGAGGGAGCGTTTTGGCAACTTTACCGGTGCTCCTGGTAGCCCAGGAGGTCCCCGAGGGCCCAGCAACCCACGCTCACCCTGTCAGCACAACAGACACCGCACACAGTATTATTATCGCATCTTATCATTATTGTTATTGTTAATCTTGTTTACACGGGAGAGCCTCACTGAGTCTCAAGACTCTTTTTTTCAGGATGGTCCTGCCAAGTGTTTGCAGTAGAGGGCGACGTTGCTAGGTGTTATCCAAAATATGTAATTTGAAAAGTATCAGTGCGTCAGAAATGGAATATTTTTGTAAGCTATGGGAGTAACCAGAGAGCGCAGAGGAATGCTGTGCAGAGAGGAGGAATAACGGAGACACAGAAAGGCGACGGAGTCAGGAATCGAACCCAGGAACTTCTTGCTGTGAAGCAGGGGCGTTAGCACTGCGCTGCTGCCACCACCCAGCCGCCCAGCAAGGGCTTACAACAGCTCCCGGCAAACCAATGCACGCACATGTAATTCGAGTGCAGCTGTCTTTAACGATCCCTCTGCAGATCCCACGTTGCATTTTCCCACTCGGCACGAGTCACCTTTCGAAATGTGCTCTTGGGTTAAGTAATATCTTCTTCGCTTTTCTTTTGCAGTCATGGATAACTTCATTTACTCACACTAACGTGCCGAACACGTGACGCACAAGTACTAAAACTGTTGTCCTGGCATACTAAATGGTTATCAAAAAAATAAATTGTGAATAACAGTTGTCAAATAAATGTATTGGCTGCAGTCGTTCACTTTCAAGAAAAAGTTCCATGATTACAATTATATTTAATGTGTACATAACATAATCAACTGTGCAAATTAATGACCCATAACCTGTGTTATATATAATGGCAATTGCCTCTCGCCCTGGGGCAATTACCATGATTATAACTGTCGTCATCATGCGATCGGTGAGTGGACCCCATGTCAACTCCACCCCCGTGCCTGATACTGATACTTCATGCAGATTTGTCCGTATTACCTCATGACCACAACCTGTGTATCCCTTTGCAACGAAGCCCTTTGATTTCTACATGAGCCGTGTCAAAGTTGGCGGCTCAAATTAATTGCCGGAGGATCCCAGTGACATGCAATGCGGTGGGGACAATGGGGAGAAGGAACACTGAGGTTTAGACGGTGCAAAGCGTTGTAAAGAGGGAGAGAGCATCGGTTGTTACCGGATCTCCTGCCAGTCCTCGGGGACCAATCTCGCCATCTTTCCCCTGAAAAGCAAATCAGGAGCTTTGGCAACAATACAGGCAACACATTGTAACAACGTGAAAAGCTAATAGTTACAGGATATATTACTAATCAAAGCACAGTAATCATATTACCATTAAAAATATATTAGGGATGATATGCATTCATTGTACATATATAGGCTCAGAAAACGTTATTTTACAGTAGTATAATATATATTGTTTAAACGGCAATATATTAAATGAGTAACCACTTTTTTTTTTAATATTTCTAAGGAAGAATGCTTTCATGGATTATGTCTGTCTGTCTCTCCGTCCGTAATGCGGTCATAACACCTGTCATAACGATGAGCCGATGTGAACTCAACCTTACGGTGCAGTTGCATCGCTGTTAGGGACTCATCCTCGAAAAAAAAAATCGGCTAAATGGATCAAAGGCTGCCACTAGCTCTATCATCCCTCATCCACCCTCGCCACAGGATGAACTACGACGGAGGAATGTGTGACAGGTGCCACTGGGCACTGGTAGTGGTTGGCTTCCAGCAGAACAAAACGGAGTGAGCGAGTGGTGTGCCCACGATGAACCTGCTGTGTGGGTTACGCCACGACTGGCATCGAGAAAGTTGGCACGCAGCGTAACGTGATTTGCACAATACTGTATTTTCAGAGATGTAATTTATTCTTATTTTTTCATACAGAGCATGTTTGTTTGCATGTTTTGACACAAGTATGTGTGGTTAATACAGACTTGATGACTTGCAAAATGTATCTATGTGGCGTTTGAACATCTTATTTTTCATGATCTTTGATACTGTAAAAAATGTCCCGTATATATAACGGCTCAACTCAAACTATACGTCTTCTGATACTTGCATTGTCTTTGTATTGTTCGCCTTTTGGTGTTCTCTAGTCTAACACTGGTGAGACAAGGCAATGAAGAAGACTGTCTCTGGGTTAGGACAATCAGTTTAAAGACAATGCTTATATTATCACAGAATGTTGGTTTGCATGTTTTTGCCACAAGTATGCGTGGTTAACACAGACTTGATGCCTCCTTGCAAAGTTATCTATGTGGTGGTTGAACATCTTAACACCTCCTGCTTTATTGCCAGAAAAGGTAAAAATCTATTTTTATTTTTCATCACATCTGATCTGTTCACTTCTAAAATCAGGGTCTGCACAGTAACCTCCTTTTAGAAGATATTCAAGATCTACCAGAGGGCATAAGTGCCCACTTATTCCTGGCAAGCACACGGTGGTGAAATCACCACAAAGCGAAGAATGGCAGCTGTTGTCGTGTGCGTGTACTTGTGTATACACGGTGCCAAGATCTGGTTCTGTAGAGGAGGCTAGCGAAAGACTCTACTGGGCAGTTGGAGAGGGCCGCCCTCCCACAACAATGGAGAGCGGACGAGCGATGCACACAGCGAATTGAGCGATCCAGTGACTAAAACGCAGCAATTTCGCAGTGTCAGGCACATCTGCCAGTCATCTCAGTTAATTAACCCATAACACCACAGAGTATGTCCAATATTATTCTGTCGTATGGAATATTAACATTTTCGAGGGTAGATCGAGTTTTGATTTCCAGTTAAAAACATCATCAGATGTGGAATAAAATTAATACAAAGAGCGACTGTTCACGATACATTCTGTTGCTTGAAGCTCGTCACAGGTGTATCGCCACTCGCGCATCAGGTACGATTCACAACGGTCATGTGCATTCCTGGAGTAGTTCACGAGTGCCCACTGGCACAGGGCTAGCGTGAAGCCAGGAGGTTCATTCGTGGCATCTTCAATCGGGCTCCGATTCATGACGTCTGCGCTGCCCCCTCATTTGTGCCGGCACATTTCCTCTGGAGCGACGCTCCATTCCAGAATGGCCTCTGCTGTTTGTCCAGAACGTTCAGCGTGATTTTAGCCTCAGTGGTGGCGAGCGGTCGACATCATCGGGAGTGGGCAAGCGTCGCATTCACGAGGAGACTCGTCGTTTCATATTCTCGCAATGCAGTGTTCGTTCTCATGCCAGGTTTCTGGTGGCGGCCACGGGTCTCATCCCGTCACTTGTGCTGAGCCTTCCACGCATCATGCGCCATGGTGACCTCATGGCCACTTAGTTGCCTACGAGAGTGTATGCAAGTGTTCATCACTGACCCTCTCGCCGGTCTCCCCGGCAGCTCCGGCAGGGCCCTGGGGTCCTGGATCACCCTAAGAAAGAAAGGGAGATAGCATAAAGAGCAGTCGTGATACTGTATCTTTGTTTTTCGCTTTTTTGTGGAATTGTCGACTTCAATTACCAAAAAATACTACGTTATTTCAGGCTTGGACAATATAGTAAAATGATCCCCATTTGTGGTCGAGTGATGATCTTAGTTTAGTGCAGTTAAAAATCATACATGGAACTATGAACGTTACACTTTACCACAATCTAGCAGAGTTCAAATAAAATAATCATTTTTAACAAACATGACCTTCCCTATAACATGTCACACGTTTATGATGGAGCTATTTACGATGTTAGCTTTTTAGCGCTTAACGTAACAAATTACACCAATCTGGATCTGGATGCAGATCTGAGCCTCAAGTCATTAAATTTATTGTAATGCCACTGTAGTTAGTGGCACAGAAAATATTTATCTCTTTCCTATTTTCAACAGAAATTGAGCAAAAATATAGTTTCAGATATCTTGGCAGGCATCTTGTCAGCTTCTGTGCATTAGCTGTGCATACCCCATCACTTCAAAGTGTGATTCTTGGAGTGGTCGAAACTTGTGTATGCATGTACCTCTCTTTGTCTCTCATTATCCGTAAAGACGACTTTATGTAGTGTTACATTGCATTACACCTTGTGTTCTCGTACCGTACTTCCAAATGCCACTGAGTGTGTTACTTACTCGGTTTCCTTTCTCACCCGACAGACCCGGCAATCCGTCAAACCCTCGGTCCCCCTAGCGGAAACAACAAGAGCATCATCACTCACCATCACTTTCACTTCCGTGTGAGCAGTGAGAGGTTGGAATTGCTCGAGATGTGGATATGGAGAAGGATGCAGAGAGTTAGCTGGGCAGGGATCACGACCGATGGCTAAATCATGAGTGGCATCAACCAAAGAAAGAATGATAACGGAAGTCACCAGAAGAAGAGGAGAGAAATGGACCAGGTGCATTCTCCAAGAGCACGGGTTGACGAATACAGACATCATGGGAGGAAGGATGGAAGAGAAAAGGACGAGAGGAATGTCGTAGGAGCTGGAGGAAGATTGGGCGTTTGTGGAAATGAAGATGGCAGTGGAGAAGTGAAGGAGGGTAGAAGATGGCAGTCAGGAGCTGCCATCTAGGCCGAGCGCTGATGCTGACGATACTCACTCACAACGAGCGCATTGCGGTGGGTACAGAAGACCTTAATACTTGGAATCTCGTGAGAAACACCAACGTCAAAATACTCAACCGGAGCAGAAAGTGGTTCAACTTTAAGTGCAATAGTGGTTATCAAATCTTACTATTATCGCTGTGTTTTCTAAGTAATCTTTCTTTTTCAAATTTTATCACCATTACTCTTCTTCTCTATTTAACATAATATATCTAAAATGGTCCTTTAGAGCAGAACTCGTACAAATTATTGTACAGAACACACGCTGAACGTATTGGTTATTTTTTTTGCTTTCCAAATAAAGTTTAAAGCGCTAACGACTGAGTTCTGTCCATTAATCTGTGCATTACAATGGGACATGATACATCTTGTAAAAACTGATCCAATATGAATCAAACTTTAGTGTTGAGGTGTGGTCATATAAAGGATCGACCCTGTTTAAAACCAGCAGACTTGATCAAAAAGTTGTTTACAAATTGGAAACTCAACCAGTGCCAAAGTACCTGCCACAGAATCACAATCCAGCAATGGCCATATTTCTGTATTATGCTTATCAGTTATATTCCTAATAGTCTTATAGCAGGAATGAAAGTACAATACCACTGCATTCAGCATACCGCGTGGGTGACATTTCATCAAATATACCGTGAGCACCACTGCTAATGAATACACAGTTTACTTGCAGAACTGGACCATAGCCAGAACAAATTGAAATATATTGATATTGTAGCATCATAAAATTCATTTATTTTTTACAAGTTAATCTCATTTCACCTTGGAGCCAAGTTCTCCTGGCAATCCTCTACCTCCATCAGCACCTGGCCGGCCCTGAAAAGACAAATGAGCTTGTAAATCCCAGGACATCAAAAGTCAGGACACACCAGAACAGGAGAACAAAATTGATGACATGGCAGCAGAGAGCAAAAGTCATAACACAGCAGAACAAGACATCAAAAATTACGACCCGGCAGAATAAGTCAACAAAAGTCACGATGCAGCAGAGCAAGAGAGCAGGATGAGTCTCATTTCCGAGAGTAACGTGAGTCACCAAATTCACAAAATCAATGGCATCAAAACTAAGTGCAACAATGAAACAAATATAAATAATGGATAAAAAAACAACCATATGTAATAAAAAAATATATCACTGTCAGTTTAATACGAGTGCAATAATCACCCTAGATCGATTGTGACGTTTCCATAACTTAATTATACTACAAATTATTTATAAAGTAATTAGTTGAATTAATGCCAAAGGAAATTGTATTGATTTAATACTGATTTATGTTGCGCACTCTTTTCAATGTCTTCAATAATGCAATTTATATTTGCTGTATTGTTGTTGTTAGATTTATCATGGTTGGCTATGCCCTCTCACAAACTCAATCTCCACGTAGATGGATCAGGTGGAGAATAATTAACTTGGTGTCCTGCCATCTTCTGGAAATCCAGGGTATGGCCCCTTCACGCCCATGGGAAGGGAATTTCACGACATCTTTGTGGTTATCCACCAAGCCTCACTGCCTCCACAGTGCTGGATTACAGGCCACGTGCAGCAGAGCCACCACTGCCCGGTCAGACAATTTTACTCTTCTTTCAAACAACTTAGCTCTCGCATCTCCGATTAGCATGGTTGGCTACGTACGGTGCTGAATATGTTCAACATACATACATGAACCACGACAAAAACGGCGGAATGTACATACATAATGAAAATAATGAAGATTATGTATGTTAATTGACTGTGAATAACCACACCAATAATAGGTATCCATTGTAATTTATATAACTACATTAACCCCTCTGATTGGTTCACAGTGATGACATCACATTTACCCCCCTATTTAAGACCAAAACAGCAGGATTTCTCCACAATTCTGGATGTCGCATAATGAGGCTAGTTGTTGTAATTACTGGCGAAACGTCGTACTCGAATTGTAAATGTTGTGGGTTTACTCTCCAAAGCACATGTCTCCTGAACTAGTAAGTAATTAGCACATTTTGTTAACGTGACAACCCTTCCTAATTGGCTGTGTCGGGTGGTGGCATGTTTAACGACATTTATATTATGCAATAGAACCACAAAAACCTCGTATAGATCTACTCTACTTAACATTCTATAAATTAAACGCAGCTCTAGTTCTCCCAGACCTACACAAATCTTACCGACCTAATATTAACAGGCATTTTACATGTATCCTCGTCTGTTTATAAGTTCGTACTACAGCCACTTTTAACATGTTTAATGTTAATGTTTCTGTATATTTGTTTTGTAATTTGTTCTGGGTTCAACCTGGAAGTCATCTTCCTGACGTAATTTTCACAGCAAGGAATTATTTTTGCAATATTTTTATTTCATGAGTATTTTTGTTTTCGTGCAGACATTAATTTGTTTTGATCTTGTAATTTTTGTGGCCCATGTTACTCGCAAAATGAGACTATCCTTGTCTTGTCTCTTGAGTTCTGGTTAAGCAAAATAAACTTCATCACATGGCAGTCTGGGAAGATGTCCTATTGTGAGCTCAGCCCTCTTGGCTCCCCAGAAAGTTACCATGGGAACATGGCCTGAACTGGCAAGCCCGGGTTAAGAACCAAGCCATCATGCTTACCAGTGGTTGTGGAACATCAACATCAATCTTTATTCACCCATGCAGGCACCGAGTACAGGTCTCGGCGTCCTTTATCGGATCCCACCACAAAGCCACCAGGTTCCCAAAAAACAACTATGCTCAATAAAATTTGCGCGACCCCACGATGGTGGATCCGGTCACCAGCTTCACAAGTGTAAAATGAAAGGAAGCCTGGAATGCTACCGCAGAGACTCTGAACAACCCCTGAGAGTGCAGTGTAACCAGAGAAAGTCTAGCACTGCCAAATTAACAAATTCAATAGAAAGCAGCAGCAGCAGCAGCGGCAGTTTTATTGAGCGCCACCTGGAGTCGTCGCGATGATCTCACACTTGGACATCGATCGTAAAAGTGCCACGCGAAGTCTCGCACAAGGAGAAGAGTCATTTGAGTGTTAGTATGAGGGGCTGATTGTGCGAGAGTTACAATGGACTGCACAAGCTCGCATGCAGACATAACACTAATTGGCAAGGCTGTATGCATTTCAGCATATTTATACAACTTACCCGCTTTCCTGACTTTCCTGGAGGACCCATTGGTCCCTGAATGCCCCTTGGACCCTATGTATGTGAGAGGGGGAGAGACAAAGCCACAGAGATAATTATTAAAACAAATCATTTGCATGCAATATCATACGGTGCCATCAAATAAATTATCTGCGACTGATGTGAGGCAGTTAACTTGCATTGGTGTGTGTATATTCATTATGGTGTACAGTACTGTGTTATTTTACGAAGTCATATATTACAGAACGTGGTGCATTGTTATATTATACGAACACGATCTGTATAAGTAATTGATTTATAAATGTGTGTACACCTGTCAATGGGTGTTTGCTTTGTGTGCATCAGCTGACACCCTGAAAACCCTTGTATTGGGGTGTCTCCTGGCCCAGTTGCCCTTGAACAAGAGCTGTATCACTCAACGGGCTAGACTCAGGAGCTTCTGAAGATGTTCCACCTCAAGGGACTTCCCGGGTGAAATGTGAACATGTGTTTTCCACTCGTGCAAAATCTCGTCAGATATTACCTGAGGCCCCATATCTCCTCCGTCTCCTTTCATCCCAGAATTGCCAGGTAATCCCTAAGAAAGGGAAGACACACAAACGCACATACGCACACTTCAGCATATGTACGTTATTTTGTGCTGCTGTGTTTGCAGTGGTACGCATGCACAATTAAAATAAAAAATATGTATAAGTGGAGACGTTTTGGGAAAATGCCCTTCTTCATAGCACATACATCCAAACCATTGCTGTGTTATGGAGGAAGAGACATCTCCCAAAATGTTACCGATTATATATTTATTTTAAATCAACAGTGTTGTTGATGAATGTGTTGAGTTTTTTTTTATTTGTAGAGGTCTGCACACTTTCATATCTATATTTCACGCCTATGCACATATTTACAAAAACAAAAAGAAAGATCCCCCGTGTAGCCTTAACATACTGTTGGAGCAAGTGCTGTTTAGGAGCACCTATGAAGGCTGGGCATGGCACACGAGGGGGTGGATGGCCAGCACCACGTCCGACCACCTTTGTTTCCCTAGTGGCGATGTTTACACACCGCACTAGGTACTCATTTTTTTAGGCTGAGTCGACCTAGGGGATGCCCAAGCCCAGTTCAGATAATCGTCACTGGTGTTGGCCGTGAGTGGGAATTGAACCCAGGTGGCTGGGTTCGTAGCGCAGCGTACTAACCACTACACCACCGCCCCCCACATATTTACACAAAGGCAACCACACACACAAACACATAAAGAGACACAAATGCAATATCAATGTTAGTACAATGGTGAAGTTATTCTTGTATTCCTGCTAACGCTACTACACTGTAAAGACGCTCGCAGCTCTACCTTTCATATGCTCTCACATCCCCGATTTAATCATTTTTTTAATTGTCCTCAAATGAGTAGATCGCTCAGAAGCTTACAGAGCAGCTCGACAATCTATTTCCGAGCTGTACTGCGTGTTATTTGGAATGATGTCGGACGTTTCACTCCACGTACTGAACTGACTTCTACAGAATTCTACATAATTCAGTTCGTTACAAAACGATGGCTTTCCACCGTCAAGCGAGTCATGGAAATGTGCATGGCTGATGAGGCCTTCCCTTCACCCAGCATGCACCCCATGTTCACTGTGTAATGAAGACACGGTGTATATATTGGGCCAGTGGTCCCCAATCTTTCTGGGCCCATGGGCCACTGTCAGAGTGCTTTAACAGCTGCCTTGTGTATACTACCAGTTCAGAACAACTGCACACGTGGCCATATTGTTGTTTACACCGTCAACTCAAAGAGTTGAGAAAATGTGGCCATCACAACAGGTTGCGGTGAAACAGACAACCGTAGACTAATTTTGTCCTCATTAGGACTCATCAGTACAACACAGTCATCAATGTTTGCTGCTGCAATATGCCTCTGGGCGCCCTGTTGATGGAGAGGTGCTGCACTCAAGTCTCTTTCGTAATGGGTTTTCTCATTGTTTACGGGCAAATTCAACCCTAAAAAAATACTATAATCTGCAGCAGTTCCACGGACCGATTCCCAAACGGCCCTGCAGTCACTCATGCCCATCCTAGATCGTACACACTTCTTCATATAGCGATTGCAGCATCAAACTGAGATCATGACTATCACTAGCTAGCAGGTACTGCCTCAGAAAGTCACATCGCTTACAATGTTTTATAATATTCAGGCCAAAATGCGAACTTGGCAACAACTAAATGTCATCTTTTAAAACACTCTTTAGATGGTGTCAAGCAATGACTTTGTGTGAAGGCTTACCACAGGACCAGGCCGTCCCGTTAATCCCAGAGGACCCGGCGGGCCCCTCATAGCGAGCTGAAACAAAAGCATCGGTCATCGCACATTCGATGCACAATGACTCACTCTGTTGGAAAGTGTATTGCCAAACGAAACAGTCTTCTCATTCTACACGGGATGTAACATTTCGAGCTGGCAGCTAACACTGCGTTGGTCTGCTCGCTCAATGAGGCTCGATGAAACCCCTTGTAAATGTTTGGATAAGACCACGTTCGTTTAAATGTTTTCTGATTATGAAGACAATTTACTACACGAATGAGCCAAGAATGTCTGTGTGTCCCGGGCGTGACGTCACTCCATGTCGGCCAGCCCCCCTCATTAATACTCATGAACAGGTGACGTCCTCAAAATAGACCCCCCCCCCTCATTAATAATCATGAGCAGGTGATGTCACTCCACATCGAACAGCCCCCCACATTAATAATCATGAAGAGGTGACGTCTTCCAAATGGATCCCCACCCATTAATATTTATTAGCGGGTGATGTCACTCCACATGGGGGGACGAGGGGCCTCCTCCCCCCCCTCGGCATCAACTTACAACCCTCATGTCACGCGATATTCGTAATGCTATTGAGACGTCATGATGAACACGGGATTATAACCTTTAAATGAAATAAGCCTGTGTCATGGCGGCCTTACAAATTGCAAACGAATTGATGCAATGAATATCACGTCGCGGTCTGCTTTTCACTTTCCTCCATTACCTATACTTGCCGAATCCAAAGTTTATATCTTATTTCTTGTACTGTATATTTAAAAATGTTCAGAGTGAAATTCACCCTCCTAATTTTTTACACAGTATAAATGTGACCGTTTATAAAATAATGCGTAATTTTATAGTTTGTTTATGTAACCCAGGTCACCCTTGCTGAAGAGCTTATGCTGTATAATGTGTCTCAATGTGATTACTTCATCTTCTGGTTTAACTTACAGGACACAATTACTCTAAACGGGCCTTACATTTTGTTGCAAGCAATTTAGATTATCAATGATCATTATTAGAATTATAATGTGGATCCTCTACTCAGGACTAATCGTGGGACTGCTTCATCTTCTTAGCATATCTGAGCATTGCAGTGATATTCCTGCAGCTTGCCAGAAGCAGCCCCACTCATTCCCACTCATTCTCCAGCCAAATTGACAAAGTACAATCAGGGTCGGATTAAGGTTTTGAGGGGCCTAAGGCTAATGGGAGGGAAGGATCTAAGTCTGTTTTTCATATTGCAAAAAAACAAACTAAGCCATGTATTTACCTATGTAAAATTAACGATTTATTTGACTGAAGGTAAATTCATCAAATATAAATAACTCAATACACTAATTTGCTGTGGCAGAGTCATGAATGCTGCCATCATAATTCAAAGACAAAAAAATGTCCAATGGCCGTGCTACCATCTCTCAGCTCTTACTTCAACATGGAATGGAAGGCCTAAAGGAAGGCCATCAACAATTAAGGGCCTAAAGGCGTTATTAGCCTATGCATTAATTTGGCCCTGAATGTTATACTAGCAGGACTGGGGCCTGGCCTGATTCGACAACAAAGGAAAGTCTGTCAGACACAGGGTCACATACTCTGGCCTGCTGCAAGATGGCTTGGGCTTGAGTCTCTTGTGGTGATGAGACAGGTCCCTTCTCCTGGTCTCCTCCAAATCGGAACTACAAAACAAAACGCACCAATGTTTATATAATACAATGAACATTCTGGCAATATACAGATATGCATCGTTTTTCATATAAAATATAGTTAATTACTGAGCCTACATGGAGAACGCTTTAGCAGTTCGCCAGCATTGGTGTAAGCAAGCCTGACTGCTGATGAGACAACGCATGTTGAAACTGGTCCAGATTGTTGCTTGTATTAAATAAATCGCTCCCAGTAGGCCAGGTGGCCGATGGGAAGTACTTTTATTTGTTACATGCAGAAACAGATATGGGAAGGATGTGTTTGGTCTGCTTATTTACTTTGGAAGAACGGGTCTGTGGATTTGTGAAACTGCCAAAACACCTGGTCTACAAAGTAACTAGGAGGTGACATTACAGAAATTGGTGATATGAACCCATTTACGTGGGTAGGCTCGTTCCCTCTGATTCACAAAACACATTCAAGCAAAATTGACCAAAACATCCCAATGCAGGATCCTTTTGAAACATAGTTTTGAGAATCGCTAAAGCGTTATTTATAAATAAATTAAATTTATTAATATAATGTAATTGTACCACTAAATTGCCCAGAGAGTGATGACATCCATCTAACAGCAAGTGGCAAGAGAAAAAAAAGGAAACGCCACAAGTGCGAAAGGGCCATTGCCCGAAACGTCATCGATGCGTTCCCTTTTAAGGCTACGGTGTTATTAACGTTCGTGTTGAATCGTTTCCGAGGATCAAATCGAAATACTGTAGCAGGTGCATCAAAATGAAAACATTTGTTGCAACACGATGTCGTAGCCATTATGAAACCGTGTCCGAATGCAAAGCGTTATTTCATTATCAAAAAAACTTTTAATGATTAAAAACATTAATATGATAAAATGTTTCGTTAATTTGTACTCGTGCCTTTACTAGACTATCTTTATGACAAGGATGTACAAACTTAATTTCCCTATCACTTGCCAATAGACACGCTAGATTTATAAATGGTGCTGGTAATTTCAGTATATTTGTTATGAATGCCTTGATCTGTGAGAGAAGCGGTTGTTTTAGGCCTGCCCCCCCCCCCACCTCCTTCCCAAACTGTGAAGATTTTGTTTTCGTGAAATTGCTTTTTGCCTGATTTCCGGTTTTCGCTGGATTCAGCAATAGGCGTAAATAACGTGTTCACAAATATTATCGCGATCCGGAATCGTTACAATTAATTAATTCGCAATTCAAGTATCAGACTCATGAATAGAGTTGGCCAAACATCCAAATATAGGACCACAAAGCTCGAGCAATCGTTGGCACCGGTTCTGTCTGCCTCCCTCCATACCTCTGAATCTATGGAAACAGTGCCAATTACTCTTTGTAACTTTAAGAATGATGCACGTGCTCAAGTATTTGACGTGAGAATAAGTCCATGTGAAGCAGCAGGGGTCAGGGTAGGGTGTGGGTGTGTGCCCTCGGAAGGGGAGTTGAGTTAAATCTCTAGGGAGCCAGACTAGTTGGAGAAGGGGCTTTTCTGGTTATTGGGACATCACCATCATCAGCCATGGTCTATCCACTGCTGGATGAAAGACTTGAAAAGTCACCACCACCCCTCACCAGGACATTTATGCGGGGACATTTATGTTAAGATATAAATGAGGAGACATGAGAGCCAATATGTTTGAAGAGAGCCGAGTTGTTCTGGAGCCGGCGGGGGTTGGTGTATCACACACGTGCTCCGAAACTCTCTTCCCATGGGCGCCAAGGTGATCACTAATGGAGTTCACCAAACTTTCCAAATTATGGCTAGAGAGAGCGTGACCAATTGTTAATGCCGGCTGCATGTGGTTTCCCGCGTGCCCTGTGCAAAAAACTGCGTGCATTAGAACCCCTGTGGCGTTTTGAGATTAAATTTGCTTGAATGATGCTGCTGTATAGTAACACACTTATCTTCTTATTTCTTAAAATTAAATTGCTTGGGAGGTGAATCACTACAGGCCTCCTGTGAACTGCGATGAAATGAATCTTGCACGTAGCACGCATCTCTGCAGCATTACTCCAGTTAGAAGGACAGGGTGTAGCAGGAAGTGCCTTGGCCATGAGTGATGTCCTACCGGCAACATGAGCATGGTTCCAGGCGGCCCAGGCAGGCCGTCAGCACCAGGGAGGCCCGGACGCCCTGAGGGGCCCTGGAAAAGAGAGAATATTTATACATAACACAAATGAATAATTCGTGTCGTTGTGCACAATATCGTTGATAATATAAATAAAGCAGACAATTAGCCTCCTTCACATATCTGTCTTCATATAAACTATAAAAACATTTTTTTCACACATCCCATCACCAACACGGTTTTGTGATATAAGTAAACTCACATCTAATAGAGAGGGTTCCTTGCCTACGAACATCTGGCAGTTCACCGGCATTGGTTCACCCAAGCCTGACTGCTGATGAGACGCTGAATGTCAAAACCTGTCCAGAGTTTGTAGTATTAAGCCAATTTTTGCTGCAAATAAATAGCATCCAAAAGGCCATGTGGCTGATTGGATGTGTAAATATACTTGTTTTTTTAGAGAGAGACATACACGGGAATTCTGGAAAATGCCTCATGATGTTGGTTGTAACTACGAGCGGAACGGCAGAATACCTAATTGTTGAATGTTGTGGATTTTCCTTCAACACGACCAGTTGTGGTGCTGAAGCAGTAATACATTGGCACGTATGTTCACGTGACAACTTTATTAATCAGCTGTGTCAGGTGGAGAAGGGTTTAGAACACACATTTGACTCACGTGATCTGACCGAAAATATATATTATTGTGTACAGCCTATAACATTATGCAAAAACCACCAGCCACTGAATAACTGCATTGTGGACATCTTGTCTTATGTCACCATCAATAAAAAAATATACGGTCACTGCATCGTGCACTTTCAGATGCGCTTCTCCAGTCGTTTTTAATGCTCTCCCTTCCGATATTAGGGAGCCGCTTGAGCTATTCACTTTCAAATCAAGCTTGAAAACTAATTTCTTAAAAACTGCTTTTGTGTTTAGTTTGTTGTCCTTCCCCGGCACCTCCGATTAGCACAAGTGGCTACGAATGGTGTGAAAGAAGATCTACGTACATACATACATACAATCAATTGAGAAAATGTGCCAACTCACAGTTAAAAAATAAAACGGCGACAGAATAGAATGAGATGGCAGGAATTTGCAAGGATAGATGAATGTGTAACAGCGATATAGGGCCGCTTACGGATCACAAAAGGGTAGGGGAGGTACGGGAAGGTGTGGAAGGGAAGTTGATTCCAGAGGAGAGGTGCAAGGAGGGAGAAGGACTGAAAACGAGATTGGGCACAGGGAGAAGGCGGGAGAGAGAGAGGCAGAGAGGAGATTGGGAATGAAGAGGACGAGAGGGGACATAAAAGGAGATAAGAGAGGCCATGGAGAGATTTAAAGGCAAGAGTGACAAATGTTAACGGACACTGATAGTAGACAGGGAGCAAATGTACGGTAGGTGGGGAAGGAGAGTATACGTGTGGGGAGTGTGGGGGAGGTTAAAAATTATCCCAGCTGAGGCATGTTGCATCTGTTGGAGAGGAGTGAAGGTATAGGCAGACACTGAATGTGAAAGCCGGTCGAGAGGTTTGCTTACATATAAATTTTAAAACGCAGTGGACATAAAGAGGAAGCCAGTGGCATTGAAGGAGGACAGGTGAAGTGTGATCATTAAATGGGAGAATGAAAATAACACATATGGAAGCATTTTTAATTTGCTTAAGTTAAGTGAGAGCAGAGGCCGGGAGACCAAGAAGAAGACAATTAGAGTTGTGAAGATGGATAAAGATCAGACCATGAACAAGGGGTTTGGTAGCAGAGATTTAAATGAGGGTAGATTTCCTGATGTTAGAGGATAGCTGCAGATGTGCAAAGAAGTGCCGATGTGTGCGGAACACGTGTGGGAAGAGTCAAAGGGCACACACCAAGGTTGAGGGCAGAGGAAACTGGAGTGAGACAGAAAGGAGGGAAGGAGATGGTGGGAACACGAGCAAGAGAGCAAGATGCCGAAATAAAAATGATTGGCGTTTTGGAAGGATTGAGAGAAAGTGAAACGCCATCCAGGATTGAATGGCAGGAGGAGATATGAGAGGAACACTGAGGGGTAAATGAGGGTAAGGGGAAGAACATTTTTGTGTCGTTAGCAAAGAGTACAGTTGTAATGTCCCACATTGAGAAATTGTCGGTTAGAGCATGCGCCAGCTCACCGGTAGAATGTACCATGCGAACTACCACCAATAGGGGCAGTACTGAGAATGCGAGGATGACCCGAGTCTCATCTCGATCAGCAGCTGATCTCAGTCCACCCGTTTCGTTTGATGTTTTGCCAAGCCATGGTGCTCAACTCTGATTGTCTATTAATTAACGATTTGAACGCGTTCCAGAGCGGCGGCTCAGTCAGTATGACGTCTTAGTGGTGACAGTAGCTTAGTAGTAACAATATCTTAGTAGTGACAATAGCTCTATGTTGAGGGAGAGCCCAGCTCAGCTGGAGAGTAAAATCCAGGTTACATAACCAGGGTGGAAACCCGTGTACTTGGTGGTGTTGTTTGTTAGAGGTTGTGCTGGATTTGGAATCGGCAGAGATTGTGTTAAAGTTAGCGACGTCAGTGTTTGTGTGGCTGGACAATTTCTCCTTTCAACAAGCTTTGGATTGCCTACTTAATTGTTGTTCTCATTAAATACACCCCTAATTAAACCAGTACAAACATGTAAAGCTACGTCTATTTTAATACTCTATTTAAGATTAAACAGTGGAGAGAGATCTCACCCGATCACCATTGTCTCCTGAAGGTCCTGCAGGCCCAACAGGTCCAGGAGGGCCTGGATATCCCTGAGGACACACAAATCACCGCCTCGTCAGCACGTGGACACATCATACAGGAATATTTTTATACTTCTCTAGACCGCTTGTTTGCCCACTGAGTCTCAATACTTTATCAGAAGGGTCCCACAAAGTTATCCCAGTAGGGGGCGATGCTGCTGTTGTGGGCAATCCCAATTGCGTAATTTTCAAGTAAGTGTTTAGCATTGGGTTGTTTGCCAAAAAACAGTTGCATTGTATGCGTGTGTGTTTTTTAGCTGTGGGAGAAAACCAGAGAACACAGTGGAAACTGATGCAGGGGGAGAACATAAAACTTCACGCAAAAAGGCACCAAAGTTAGGAATCGAACCGTTCTTGCTGTGAGGTTAATGTGTTACCATTGATGTGCAATTACGAACGAACACCACAATTTCTGCTTATTACCGCCACTCCCAAGACACACACGTGCATATTCATCTGTAAACACAACGTATAAACATGTCTCTGTGGGAAGCAGTGGCATAGCGGTTCGTGCACTAGGCTACGCAATCGGCCATTGGAGTTCAATTCCCGCTCGTGGCTAGAAAACGGTGAGGAATATTTGAACCGATCCGGTGCCTCCGCTTGATTGACTAAGCCTTAAATGAGTACCTGGCACGGTGTGTAAACATCAGCACTGGGGAGAAAAGAGCGGCCGGGCGTGGTGCTGACCATCCACCCCCTCCCTCGTAGTGATAACTGTCCACCCCCTCGTGTAAAGTGAATCAATGATATGTAAAATTCGAATTAATCACTTACTGGGGGGCCATCAAACCCTGGTGGTCCTTCAATGAGCATCCCCTGAGGAAAGAAAAAAATGACAAAAGTACAATTGTGAAAAGCCAGGCAAATTTACATGAAATAAAAACCAAAACCATGCATTAAGTCATCATCGTCATCATCAGCCATGAGTTATCTAATGTTGGATGAATGCCTCCCCAACCCATCCTGCACCTACACACAAGATGATCTCATCGCTCCATCTCCTAGGCGTACGGGTTCTCCAATGCGAGCCTTTCCTTGACTGCCATAGTCCCTTCTGGCCTTGCCGTACGTCTGTATGCTAAACTTCTTTCGCACTGTACGTAGCCAACCGTGGTCCTGCCTAAGCCCCCTTTTATCAACAGTTTGTATGTCATAAACTGGCGTGTGCTCTCTAATCCATGTGCTCCTCTTACTCTCTCAACGTCATTCCAAGCATGCGTCTGTCCATGCAATTTTTGCGAACGTTTTAGTTTTTCTATACTTTTAATGAAAGATGTTGAATTTATAGTATTTTACTCGTTGGTTCTTTCGGTAAAGCAACGTAAGAAGAAAATAAATCAAATAATAGAATACGACGTTTCGATTGCAACACAAGCAACCGTCATCAGGTAGAACTCAATTTGAGACTTCATCGAAACAACCAAAGAGTAATTGCTGCAGTCACGAAAGCTTCAAATCAAGTTAAAGTATTTTAGTTTTGCTCAACACTTCAAGTAGTTAGATTAGCATGGTTGGCTACGTACAGTGTGCAATAAGTTCAACATACATTTACATTAGTAATAGTTAAATTACTATTGTTATGCTTGTTGACCCAGAAAATCTTCCACGAGTCTCGTCATTTTTTTTTAGGAGGGTCCTGACACTTTTCACAGTCGATGATTGCCATGTGTCATCCCAACAGTCATTTGTGGTGTAACTTTACAAACATAGGATGCTGACGCCAGCACACAACGGCGTACTCACGTGAATGACCCCTGCTAAGCAGATGGGTGAATAGTATTATTACGATGGTTAAAACAAACCCCAGCATTAATCAGGGCGGCCGCTGTATTTAAGCTGTGAACCTCCGTGACAAGTGGCGAATGTGCTACCACTGGGCCATGCCAGCCAGCACTCACGGTTGAGTGTGGGTGCGACTGACAGAACAAAAACTCCCTGCCAGTCTGCCTTTGAAGACAATGAGGCGCTTTGATTTTTACATTCCGCACAGTGTCATGCATCGTAAGAGTTTTTTAATTGAACCAGGACCCTGAATCCTACAGAGTCCTTTTGACTTATACGCATATTGCTGTTCAGCAGCAATGGTTTAAGCAAGCCTGGCTGCCGATGGGACACTGCATATTGAAACTGGTTTAGAGTTTGCTGCTATTGAACAAAATCTGCTGAAAAAAATCACTCCCAGAAGGCCGTGTGGCCGTTTGGATGTGTAAAACAGTGCTTTTACGTCAATACAATAATATAGCAAGTGAATTGTCTGCTTATGTATTGTCCTTAAAGTGATCGGGAACTAATGGTTTACCATTCTCTCCTATTGCTGTGCCTGCATCACTACCTAGTGGTCTTGGACTGCATGTGCAGTGTATGAAAATATTAACTGGGAGATTCCATAATAAGCGCCTTCGCCATTCATCACTTGGTGGAAACTTGAGAATCGTCTCTTTGGTGATGCAACTTTAATTTGTCAAAACGACGCTCGTTTCACGTTTAAATCTGAGTTGAGTCAAGGCACGCCCAGATTCGTACAGCGCAAGGGTGGTGGAAATATGAAGGCACGGAGCTGAGGCATCTCTCAGTAGCGCGAGTTTCGGCGTGTCGTGCACAATACACATCATTAAGCAACAGTCTCCCCGAAGGGAAACTGAGGTCAACATATAAATACAGGGTACGATTTTTATTAGATGTCGTTTACCCAGTTAACGCCTTACAAAGTCTCATGATTCTACTGGGATACTAGATTAGACGAGAGTTAAGTTAAATTGGACCTTTTTTTTTATTTAAGCAGGCAAACTCTGGATGGGTTTTGACCTGAACCTCATCAGCAGAGTCTGGGCCTGCTAAACAAACGATGCTGAGTTGCCTGATGTAATGTACAGGCTAGGGCAATGAATAAACACTATGGCCACCATTCAGCATAGCGCAAAACTTGCCGTGTCCCAACGTGGGAAACATCAAATATCCGCTTTCCATGCCCTATGGGACCTGTCTAGTTCAGTGTTTCCTAGAAGCATTCTTTGAAGCTGCTAAAGTCTGCTTCAATTAATGTCACGACCTTCGTGACAACATCACCCCCCTGGGCTACACCAACAATGTCACGATCTTTATGACAACATCACCCCGTCACCACGTGTCACACTTACGGGCTCCACGACTGCCGGCTCTCCCTTCTGTCCCTTCTCTCCGAAATCTCCCGATACCTGCACACTCGAAAATGTACATACATAGGCACATACACTTAAACACAGAGACATATAGATTACGCTTAAACACGGGCACTTGTATGTTATATACAGGCACGCGCACACACGTAGGCAAACTCATCGTACGCTGCACATGTGAAATATCCTATGCATCGGTGCATCGCATGCACACACACACATACGAAGGAAACACATTTCATAGACACATTGGATACCATGCTCTTTGTTTTTTTTGGTAAAGTCACGTAGGTAGAAAAAATAATAGATCACGACGTTTCGATCGCAACACAAGCAGCCCTCATCAGGTGTGAAACAAACACAGCACGAGGACTGCTGACGTAGGAGAAAGGTTGCAGCAGCTCTTTCTCCTACGTCATCAGTCCTGCTGTTTGTTTCACACCTGATGACGGTTGCTTGTGTTGCGATCGAAACGTCGTGATCTATTATTTTTTTCTACCCACGTGACTTTACTGAAAGAACCAAAAAGTATGGACTCCTGCAGTCACGAAAGCTTCAAATCAATATTGGATACCCACTAACATGCAAACGCAACGAAAAATGCACACAAGATCCAATGCAACATCCATGCACACGACCGCAGCTCCCATTACATAACTCACATAGCACTGGGGATATTTATCCACATGGGGAAGGAGCTTAGAGATGGCTGAATGAAAGCGTTTGGGGGGCAGGCGTGCTTTAATGATGTGGCAGTGGGGAAGGTGGCGCGAGGTGATAGAGTCCTCGGCCACAGCAATTGCACTGGCAACAAACGAACTAAGTGGACAATTCACCTGCTTCCATTGCCTGTCTCTCCGCATAAAATATTAACGTTGTTTTTCTCACATCCCATCAGCCACACGGCACCTCCTCCTCCTGGAAGTGAATAATTTCAGCGCTATTGGTTCAACGCCAGCAAACCCTGGACTGATTTGCACATTCCGTGTCTGCCCATGCCTTCACTCCTCCCCAACAGACACAACATGCCTCAGCCCAGATAATGTTTTACTTCCCCCATACTCCCCACACTTCCACTCTCCTTTCCCAACCACACCGTACTCCCTGCCTACCCTCGATGTCTGTGGACATCTGTCACTCTTCTGGTTTATAAATCCCTCCAAGGCCTTGCCCCACCTTATCTTGCTTCTCGAATATCTTACTACTCTGTCCCATCCTGCCCTCTATGCTCCCAGTCTCTACTGTTCCTCTGTGCCTCCCTTGCCCTGTGAGCTCTTGCTCTCTTGTTCCCTTATTGCTTCCCCATCGCTGGAACAAACTCCCACTGCACATAAAACAATCACCTTCACTATAACCGGCGTTCGGTCCTCCCTTAAAACACCCGCCATCTCTTCTCCCCTAGCCTGTTCTGCCACTGCTACTCCATGGACCCGCCCGCCATCTAGGAGCAGGCATACCCCAACCACAATAACGACTCCTGTAACTAATCGTATCCTCATCACTACCCCTGTTACTACCCCAACCCCTACCACTGCCCCATTACTCCCCCTACACCAACCCCTCCTTAACCTCTTCCACGTGTTCTCTGGTCACCATGACTCCACCCCCACTTCGAATAACTCCACTCGTCACCTCAAACACTGCCATCTTATGTAAACGTTTATAATTGCTGTAAAGTACATTGGAATAATGCGATAAATAAATCGGTATAAGATCGGCAGTCAGGCTTGCTTCAAGCAATGCTCTTATCTTATACATCACGCAGTAAAGCACGGTCACCCTCATGCCACAATGTACACAGGGTTGTGACTGTACGCGTTTAAGATACAGCAGACATCTGTGCCTGTGACCTGTATATGCCCTAATGTGGGCTTCCCATAATGTCATGCATTATACATTTGTGTTCATATTTTTCCTCATCCTACACACACGTCTAGTGTATGGGGGGTCCAAATCATCTGGGGGGAATTTTTGGCCTGGCTACCATATACTGTAATGGTATAGTTCACAGGCCACCATTCCCTATGACATAACCATGTGTTCTAGGACACAATAATAATAATAATAAAATGCTTTAATTTTATATACCAATATTCACGCTAATGTGAAACCCATATGCTAGCCTCCCTATGGAGACTCATAACAAACCTCAAGCCACTCGTATTATTCCGCTTCTTTATCCAGGAAAGCCTCACTGAGTCGAACGACTCGTTTTCAGAAGAGCCCCGCCAAGTTAGGATGCACTGTCATGTGCAATCCCTATTGAGTAGTGCGCAGGTAATTCCGCAGCATTGGGACGTTTGGCTGACACCCGCAGCAATGTGTGGTTTCATTTTTTAGCTACAGGAGGAATCCGGAGAACCCAGAACAAACCCCGTGCAGGACTGGGGGAGTACATCGAAACTTCACACAGAAAGCTACCGGAGTCGGTAATCTACCCCAGGACCTTCCTACTGCGAGGCTCCACTGTTGCCACTGCACCGCCATCCCCAAGAGGCCGTCGATAAATGACGTCACGCGATTTTTGACCCTCTCCCCCTCGTCACATGGCGTCACAAAAAGTCAGACCCCCCCTCAAATATGACGTCACAAAGCTCTGCCCCCCTCCAAACCATATTTCCATTTTGGAAATAAAACATGCTTCAAATCGCTTTAAACTAGTGTCATTGTAGTGCGCATTTAATGTGGCGCTGCACTCTGATATTGTAGGAGAAAACATTATTAAAAAGTCTATTTAATTAAATAAAACGTGTTGTCTATATTTATTTAAAGTTGCGCATTTTGATGTGACGTCACATTTCTCAAACACCCCCCCTCTCGTCATACATCGTCACAAATGTCTGACCCCCCCCTCCCCCCCAAGGTGCGTGACGTCATTTATGGACGGCCCCTAAGGTGTAAATTGTTCATGAATTGAGGAAGCCACCCACATTGCTGCGCAATACCTCGAGCACATGGTGTGACTGCTCTGCGGATATAATCTGTTAGAGTGTTTAGGTTTCCACGTAGACACGGCATTAAATGTGATGTTAATAATGCAATTAATATCACCGCTATGAATGAGAGCCAAACAGGCATCGCAACCTTAGAATTGACAATCTATTAATGTATTATTTCGAAACATTCATATTTATCAAAATACATTTAGAGATAAAGCAGAGCCGTCACAGCATCTGGCAAAGGTGTCGCACAACATTCCAGATGACTTGCTCAACTCTCAGTGGAGTTAGATGTACACTATTGCCTGTGCAATGACCATTACACATCTACCTTCCAGGCAAAAGAATACACAGATTGACACACACACACAAGCACTCACAGACTATCAACATGACATCTCCACGCAAGCAAATCACTACAAACTGCAAGGACAAAGATACCCCTATAGACTTAACAGACTGTTGGGGAAAGTCCTGTTAACGAACACGGCACACGAGAGGGTGGGTGGCCAGCACCACGCCCGACCGCCTTTGTCTCCCCAGTGGCGATGTTTACACACCGCACAAGGTACTCATTTGATGCCGAGTTGACCGAGGGCAGGCCCAGGACTGGTTCAGATAATCGTCACTGTTGTTGGCCGTGAGCGTGAATTCAACTCAGGTCGCCAGGTTCGAAGCACAGCGCGCTAACGGCTACACCACCGCTCCCCACAGACCACACACTCCACACACACAACGTATCACGGGCATCCCCACGACACATGCGGGCTGAACAGCGCAGAGAATAACAGAGAGCCCTCCTGCACTCACACGCGCCGCTGCCTCCCAGCTGTTAGCGGCCTGCGGACCTTCACTGGGGATGGCCTCGCCGAGGCCATAGTCATAGTCATATTCCTGGTTTGAAGGCGACGTCTTGTGCTTCCCATAATCGGTGCCATCGAGATCATCGTCGCCGTGATCAGCCCTGCCGTTCTTCCCCGTGCCATAGTCGGCATCTCGATCGTCTTCGAGCGTCTTCTCCCAATCGGTGCCGGTGTACTCTTCGGAAAATGAGTCCTCCTCCTCAGGCTAGTCCGCGGTGAGCGTGGGGATGGAGGCACGGGGAGGCAGTATCGAAGCATGTTAGTCTCTTACGTTTATATGATCCAATGTTTTTTTTTGCATCGTGGCAAAAAAAACAATCAACGGATAATATGAAACGGCAAAGCTTTAGTATGTACGCAAGCTCCTTCATGAGATAATATACATATCAATATATCTATGCAACTTTATTCATGAAGGCTTCGGTAAATCTTGTGATTATACAATTAATTTCACAAAATTAGTCGCATAAACCGACAGTGTACCCAGCGGGTACCAAAAAGCAACTTGTACTGAAGCACTGCATGGTTATGATCCACTTACACAATCAGAGTGGTAAATGTGTTTGTTGGTTCTTACAGATACTACTTGTTGAGACATTCGGTTCACATTTACAAACATAATGCACATTTTCACCATTACACATTATATTCTAGTTTAAAATTGTATATTGATTCACTTGGTGACAACTCCAGACCAGGATGATCTCATTTGCACGAGCGACCTGGATCATGAGTGGGGAAGTCAAATAGTGGTTGTCCCATGGATAGACTCATCGCCCACCATAGGAATGTGGAATATCCACAATTGGCCTAGGGCTATGACAGACGATGAGCAGGACATCACTTTGACTTTTACTAGTACTGTAAAGTACACGGCGCTGCTTGGAACACTGCATCAAAGTGATAAAATATATCAATGACGAGAGAAGCCCATCCACGTAACAGGAAAAGTAGTGCATTCCGGAAAACCATACCTTCCAAACAACACGGAACAACGTGTGCACAGCACTCAGCCTTTGTGCATAATGCAAGACCCATGATCAGTCCCTGAAGTGCATTGGTGACCTAAGGTAAGAGAACCACAGCGCACTTCTTCAGGAGCTGCCGATGGTGTGAGCATAGTGCACAAAGGCTGAGTGCTTTCACGCGTTATTTGAAACGTATCCATCACAGTGTCGAACCATACGAGGGTATGGCCGTGAGGTTAAACAACTGCACCCAGCAGTGGCTACGGCGCTTAGCATGTACAGCTCGTGTATCTGGTTCACACTGTTACACATTATGATGTGCACCGCAGATTTTATATCGGTGAACTCGTGTTAATGCAAATTTTAAGGATTAAGAAACAATATTTATATGAAAGCAATTATGTTGTAATTGATATTGGCAAGTTCATTCGCCTACATTTCCTGATCTTTGTCAATGTTTTGTTACAAAATTAGTTTTCGTAGGTTTTTTCTGTAGCTATTGTTATTTGTAAAAAGCAGCAGTGGTAGTATGGTTGGTAGTAGGAGGGATGGGGCCCTGAGTGAGGGTCACATCAAGCGGGAGACAGATACAGGTAGAGACACAAACACAAAACCCTGTACTGAAGCACAAGTGGAAACATATGCAGAGGAATGTAGACACACATAAATATAATATTTAAAAGGCAACATGGGAATATACAATGATGTGCAGATATTCAGTGGCATAATTGCCAAGACACAAAAAGATACAGTGATGTGGAGGGGGAGATAGACATTGAGCTTCAAACAGCACGAAAATGTGTCAAAGCACACAGCCTCTGCGCATGTGCAAACACCACGTCCTGAAGAAGTGCATTGTGGCCAGAGTTGTCGATCGCTGCATCACTGCTGCTGCTCCTGCTGCTCCCGGCACTCGGTTACATTTGCTCACATTTATTGTGATGGTGACCTTAGACAAAATAATAATTCACTTCTTGGGGAAATGCTGACAGGAATTTTGCACATGCATGGAGGCGTGTACGCATTTTTGTGTCTTGTTTGACACTCATGATGGGTTTTTCTCATCATTTACAGATTTGATTAGAGACTGACTTGGAAACACAAAGATGCAAAGGAACATGGGAGCAGAGGGAGATGGAGAAATGCGAAGATACGCAATTACAGATAAAGACTGAGAAATACGCATGAATGTACAACGAAACAGAGGCGTGAATAGAGAGATAGATACAAAGATAGACTACATCTATCTAACAGAGATAAACAAACTGAGAAGCAGAGACAAACACCGAGTTAGAGATCGCCACAAACACAGAGAATTGAGACACAGACGGTGACGTGGATGGTGTGCCGGTCGTCTTGCTGGGGTGTCTTCTCTCCTTTGGCTGCCTGTGCTCCGGCGGCAGTCTCCGTCCATCGGCCACCATTCATTGTAGCCACATTTGTTTCCAGCCCATGCACTATTTTTTAAGTCAACGTTGTTATGTCTCCAACCTGCCTTTGCTTACTCTCCCAGCGTAGTCGCCACCACGCATCTCTCCACAATTATTTTCGCACACTTTCAAATTGTAGATCCATTTTCTCCTTTGGTGTCCGTGTTTCCAACCCGCAATGAAATAGCCAGTAGTAATAACGTGCACCGATTGGAAGCATTCTTCGGTAGACACACAGGAACGTTGCTTTCATTACAAAATTGCGTTTCCCGAAAACACCCCAACTCAGCCCTCGCTTGCCTCTTGACTTCCTCGTTTTGAGGAACGGTCCATTTCGATCTCAGCAGCGTCCCTTCAACAACTACTTGAACGTTTCGCAAACATTTTGAACAAAACTCTTGTTTAGCCTGTTTATCTTGAGCCCAACTTGCACTTTTCCGTTTCATATTGCTTCAGTAATTGCATGCAGTTCATTGTCACTGGCCGTCAGAATGACATCTTATATCTAAGTATGTGAATCATGTTTTTATTTAGTTTTACACCTATTATTTCTCCAATCCAGTTTTCAGGAACAACTCCAGTGAGAGCACGGCTCATTGCCTCTCATGGCTAAGGCAGTGCAGCATTTCAAATACAGTAAGTCTCTAAGAAGGCCAGACTATGTGGGAGTGTTGATCTATCACACATTCGTTCCCTATATTATATGTTGAATGCTGTTAGGGTTGCTTCAGAAAGATAATCGATCGCCATGTAATTTGTACCCGAAGTTTCACAGGAAGCATTACGTAATCTCTTGTTATTGTTATCACCGTAGCTTAATATGATTACTTGTTTACCTTCTACAACTTGGTATGCTGTCCTGGCCCGAGAAACAACAACCCCACTATGTAACAGCACGCGTCTCTACACAAAATCGAAACATATTTGAGTCCATCAGCCTGTCGGCTTTCCAGACCAATTCCATCCAGCAGCATTTGTTTAATCAAGCAAGCTCCGGACCGGCTTACACTTTCTGGGTTTCATCAGCAGAGGCAGGCTTGTTAAACAATTACTGCTGGGTTGCCAGATATTGCTGACAAGAGCACTCCAGATAAAATACAAAGCCATGTTCAACGCAAAAAGCAATACCGTACACACACTCATTCCGCATGGCCACGGAGTATTATGGGTAAAGAGAAGATGCTGTATTTAAATATAAAACCCCGTTCTGTCTCCACATGCAATACATGTATTTACATGTTTTCTTTACCCACAATGCTTCACGGCAATGCGTAATGATGTGGCTCAGCCTAGTCCCACTGACTCACCCTGGCGTCGTCTGAGTGTGTGATGTCATTGCTCTGTGGAGAGAGAAGCAGCATCGGCAGGAGAGCAAGGGAACATGCGACCAATAACAAGGGGGGTCGGAGAGGGAGCGGAGTGGGGCAAGGACGTTCAGGATTCAGCCACACAGAGAATATCAGATTCAATCGAAATGGAGGAAAAAAAGACCAACAAAACATGACATGCATTGATAGAAACAACACGTAATACACAGCTTGAAATAAATGAATATATAATCATTGCATAGCTAAGAGAATTCAAAACACAATTGAAGTAAATGATAATATATTTTTAAGTTATGAATATGTGTGCAAAAGTTGAAACAAGGTTTGCCTTGGCAGGCTGAGTTGTTGCATGGTTGTGAGTAGACGCTAAATTGAGGTGTGCATTTCGCATCGCTTTATTATGAATAGGTAAGCACCCAGTTCCTATCTCACTGCACTGGATAGAATATAATTCAATGTAGAGCAGTCCTTTTCAACGTTCTATCACTACTACCATGGTCACTATTCTCATGAAGCTACTTGTTGATGCCTCAACCAATGTTGATGGCTCGGTCTACCCGACTGACTGCTTCGTCTCATCCACACGGAGTTCAACAACTGCCGCACTGGAGGTCACCTCACTTCTCCTTTCTCTTCTATCCTCACACTGCTCCACTTCGGAATTCCCTCCCATCATCTAGTTTCCCCAAGCCCTGATAATAATAATAATAACCTTGCTCAATTCAAGAACAATGTTCCACTCTTATCTGTTACAACTTTGAGAAGTACTATTTGTGCTAGCTGCTTAGGCCGTTGTGCTCAGGAAGTGTGTTTAAAACAATTATCCCATTATGTGAACTTTGGTTGGAATAGGCAGAGCCTGGAATTTAACCTGAACAAACACGACTAGAAAGATATGGGCTTTTACATTGCATAAACAGTGTCTACACTATATTCTTAGTTTTTTCGGTAAAGTCACGTTGAAGGGAAACAACAAAATAATAAAATATATATTATAATATCTTATTTTGTTGTTTCCCTTCAACGTGACTTTACCGAAAAAACAAAGAATATGAATGACTGCAGTCACGAAAGCTTTAAATCAAAATTTAGTGTCTACACTGTCCTCGTTTAAATAGAAGGTGAATGCTAGCACAATTCCACGAGTGATAACTTCACTTGAAGTTGCATCTGATGTGTAAGAGACAGCGAGCGTGGTGCTTACCACCAAAGGGCCAGACGAGGACTTAGTGACGCTGGAGACGCGAGGCAACTCAGGGGACCGGGCTGAGAGCCCTGACTGGTCACTCCAATAAGCACTCCAGGAAACTCAGGGGATGAGTTAACAGCCTGGGAATTGGCCAGGGAATTCGAAATAATAAGAGCGGGAACTAATAGTAAAATGGAGGCGATTAGAGGTGGAGAGAAAGAGGATTTGTAAAAGAGGGAACTTGGGCAGAGGCTATGAGAGAGTCTAGAAGGTTTGGGGCGAGGCGAGAGGGCGTGTGATGTGAGCACGACGCTCTTGCGGGGACAATCATGGGGAGAGGTGCGGTGGAACGGAGTGTGGGAGAGTCTACGCGTGGGGTCAACACTGCTGTGCACCTCATTTGCGCCTGTTTACTCAATAATGCAATACTCACTACAAGTCCATATTGATGTTTCTCTAACTTACTTTTCCTGTGAACAGTTTTTTTATTTTTTGTCCGAGTCAACTTTCGTGGCAGGAAAATTATATAATATTATATTGGTTTGTGTATATTGTACTATTTTCGATTTCTCCTGTAATGCTGTTCAATTCAACACCTGAAGATGCCAGCAGCAGTCGCATTACGTGGTGTTGTGCGCATATGCAGGCTTGATACTCTTATGCGGTGACGGAAGCTCATTCATGCTTATCTCCCTCCCTAATCCCTCTCTCCCTAATCTCCCCCATTTACACAACTGACGTGCTTGCGTCCGTGGATGGAATTCCTTTCCAGCTCAGACCCTGCTTGCTTGCCCATCGCCACATCTATAACCTCTTGTTGTGACAGCTCCCTCGCTGGTTCAGCAGTTCCACTGCTGGATTATATTTTTTTCCACCTGAGGACGACCGCTTGTGTTGCGATCGAAACGTCGTGATTTATTTTATTTTATACCTACGTGACTTTACCGAAAGAACCAAAGAGTAAGGATTCCTGCAGTCACGAAAGCTTCAAGTCAAGAGGAAACACAGGTCCATTTGTCATCGGAGGTCAAAAAAACCTCTTCATACAACCTCACCAGCTTCCACCTCGTGTATGAAACCCTTGATCCTGGCAAAGGGATACCGCGATTCTTTCATCACTAAACTGACAATGGAAACCAGCCCATTATCAAACCCCTGTTCCCTCAATCCCTTACTCAGCTCAATATCACCATTTCCACGTCAAACATTCAGAAGTTGAGATCATTTTTTCCCTTAAATCATCCCGACGAACCCCTTCTCTATCTCTTTTCAAGGCATGCTCTCTAAGAACATTAGAATTGATTTGCCACCTCGCCAATTCACCTTTGAATTGTGGTCAATTCCCTGTAGCTCATAAAGAAGCCGATCCCTGACACTCTGGTTTTGAATAACTACCAACCTATTACAAATATCTCCCTATCTAACATCCTTGAAAGGGTTGCTTTGGTTGGGTTAACAATTAATATTCTCCATTCTCCCAACTTATTCTCTGCAGTTTGCTTATCAACCTGCACCCTTGACTAAAACTGCCTCATTCAAAGTAATCAACAATATCCTGGCCATCATTCATTGCTGCCATGATCGCCAGTCTTGACATTTCGGCAACCATTCCGGATCTTATTCACTGGCCTCTCTAACATTGGATCTGTAAAGAAAAAACGTATTCCTGTTGAATGCATAACAATCTGAGGCCATGATCATAAACAACCAACGGATAATTTCCCATATGCCCTTTACCACTGACCTGGTAATCGTTTATTTATTTTCCCGCACCTCTGAAATGTGTGCGCACTACAGATCGTATGAATGAATCACTCAATGTGTAGCTCAACCCAGAAAACCGCACTTGGACTACAAGCAGCCGTGGGAATTCATTTCTTAAATTTCTTATTGGCAACAGTAAAACTTCCCGATAAAGAACCTCTTGGAAAAAGATTATTGAGGCTCCGTGATATTTGCTTGATTCATCAATTGCATTACTGCAATGTTAGAAAGATACTTACATCAAGTGACTGGTTGTGTGATGGCTTGGCGATGACTCTGGTAACATCAACATCATCTTCTCCGTCAACTGAGTACGGTGCCTGGAATTGCACACACGCATTTATACTCATGTATACAAGTATTCACACAATTACAGCAGCCACTGTTCACCACGAAGTAGTGATGTCACCATGCCCCCTGTGTCAAGCATAAATGCATGTAAACATATCTAGGTTCACATGCACATATTTAAAATGCACATCTACCACATGTACACTGAACCTATGAGTTATATTAAACATGATCAAACTTATACACACGTGCGTTCATGCATTATTTCTGTTTGAACACAATCCTCTACAACTATGTCCTATCGTGTAGAAGACGCCATCTGCGACTATGTGGGAGGTGGCTATTACAGGAAATGAAACAAGCAAATAAAACAGTTCCTTCATGGGATATTAATATATTAATTTCAACGCATTAATCCTCTCAACCTAAATTGGAGAGCTTTATCCAGATGCAATAATATAGAACAAGGACATTTATCCAATCGTCACATCCCTATAAAATGCGTAACAACTATAAACCAAATGCCAGCGAACTCAGAGTGCTCATGTCACCGCCACTGTTCTCTGCGAGGGACGACTCCCCCTCTGCTGTCCCTGACATCTGGAATGTCATCCCACTGGAAGTTCGCTCCACACACCGCCTGTTTCTGCTGCTGCTACTCAAGCAGAACTCCCATTCTGTCCCCCATCTCCTCTGGTCTTTCCGATGGGGCGGGGTGATGTGGCCCAGTGGCAGCGCATTGGCTGCTTGTCGCAGAGCTTCGTGGCAGGAATCCAGCAGCCACCCTGGTTAGAATTTATTGTGAAATAATACACGCCGTCTGATTCATAGTGGATGTTAAAGATATCGTGACATCATTTGGAAATAGTTGGTCAACGCGAGTCAGAGTCATTATCAGTTGCCAAATTTGAAAATTACCCACAAATTACTGAATTGGGACTACACATAGCAACATCGCCTACTACTGGCAAACTCAACTCAACTATTTATCAACTATTTTTTTTATTTTACCAGGTAAGGCCCACTGAGCTATATAGCTTTGTTTTCAGAAGCCACCTGGCTTTCACAAATGATAGCTCAACGAAGTGGCTTATCATGTGGACATTAATAGCGGCCAAATACTCTAAACGCATGATGGTGATTATAAATGTAAGTGGGGGGTACCGAAGGACCCGAAGAAAAATCACGCGACCATGGGGAGAGAGACATGCACACTCCAAATACACAGGGGCCAGGGTCGGGATGGAACTCACAACCTCCTGTATTCCAGGCAATGAAGCTAATATCTCCTAGCCAAAGCGGCGCCCCTAACTGACTGAGGAGTACCCTCTTGCAGCACAACGACAGCTCACACTGGGGGTCCCTTCCCAATGATCGGGGTTGAGTTCTGACATAAGGCACTTTGATTTGCCTGGCAAGCACCTTAATATTATAGGGTTATTATATGACGTATGCATAGAGGAATATGAGTTGAACAGTTTAGTGCTCGCATATCTTTGAGCACTACATTTGCACTGCCTCACTTGCGGCATACCAATACCCGCCATTCGCCACGAAGTGATGGTGATGTCACCACAGGCGCCTGTGCCAGGCCAAGTGCACGTTGAGGCCACGCGAAGTGTCGAAGGCTCGCTGACAGGAGGTCACGGGACACACTCCGGTGCCATCGGTTGACTGACTGAGATGACTGGCATATGCACCAGCTGTACCCCCTACTGTGCCAATTTGCGGCATGAGCACACACACACACACACGTGTCCACACGTTACCTCGGGCTCCCCATCCATCTTCCCTGCCGTGTTTGTGTTGCTTGTCGAAGCTGCATCCACCTGGTTTGAAGCATCCACCTCGTCTTCTGTACCAAGTCCCCCTTCGCCGTACTGGCTCTCGGTGTCTAGATCTATCTGGTCGGCGCTGTCGGTTTGAGCTGTTGGCCCTGCTGCGTCTGTAGGGGTGTCAGTCTCGGGGTTGTAGTCATAGTCTTCATAAGCGAATTCCTCTGCAGAGTACTGAAGGCATAGTGAGAGATGGGTAGTGGGGGTTAGTAAGGGGAAGAAGCATTTTTGGAAAGGAATATGGGTGAATAAATAAATAACTTAGAGAGAGGGGTTTGCATGGAAGCAGGAGGCGGTGTTTAGTGTGTATAATGCAGAAAGGTATTTGCCTACGATCAGGGAGACTAGGTAAGAATATATTTGGTCCGAGGATGTATTTACAGGATGTGTTTGTGGTTGTGGTGTATGGTGTGGGAGCATATGCTGCATTTGCTTTAGCGAGACACTTTTAATGAGGTCTGTTCCTTTCGCTTTAAACCAATGCTGAAATAATACCAGATGTTTGTAAGCAAGGACCCTCTCTACTGGATAACGATACGCGTTATTGTGGGGAATATAAGAAGACTCAATTAATACGTAGACAAGCCAGACACTGAACGTCAAACCCGGCCCAGAATTTGCTTGTGTTGAACTAACACTGCTGAAATGTCACTCTGAGAATATATATAAAATATCTGTGGAGGAACACATTTGGGAAGGAGGTAAAATTTTATGCAGTTTTGTTTCGATATCAGACTTGAGCTGATATCAGCTTCCAATGCAGTGGCTATATCTCAGCGTGCAGTTGCTCAGACTCGGCGGCCGAGTGTAGGTGTGGAACTACCTCCTCATGACCTCATTGTGCCGAGGCAGTGGAAGGGGGGTTTGGTTCAGTGGAGAGCGTTCATGTTGACACGAATGAATGTGCTCGTTTTGACAGAGAGCTCAGTCAAGGACAGAGGCCTCGTGCCTTTGTGGGAAGATATTTGAGAATTATTCGCTATTTATTTGGAAATGCAGTCCTTTTGTTTACACAGGGGGGACTGAAACGTGTTTGTGGGTAACGAATGATGTAGGTGAGGGGAAAAAACCGTTCGCAATTGCAGGAAGTTGCACTTCTTTTTTAAAAGGCCCTCTGTGCAGGATGAACGAGTGAACGTGCGTCCAAACGAAGCTGCGATCGCGTCCCTGTGGACGGATGGGGTCTGGGGATGTGAAGCGTTCAGCTTTACCCACCTTTAATTCAGCACTGCCTCAAAACGGAGTCGGCCAGAGCTGCCCTCTAAATTCCGCCGCTACCAGTATGGCCCAAGTTGTCCTTCCACAATGCCCATTGCCTCGGTCGAAACAGCTGCACCCCAGTAGCTAGGTGCCTCTAGGTGGATTTGTGGGGTACGGTAGGAAAATATTCTCTTGAGAAATTATGAGGTGAGATGGCGAGTCAACAAGGTAGCAGCATCGATAGAGGAGAAGTGTGAACAGACTGAGATGATTCACACATTTGGCCAGGTCATAATATGACATGTTCGAAATAACGTTCAGAGAAGGATAGTTGAGGGAATGAGGAGGGGGAGAGCGAGGGGATGCGGTGATATGCTTTGAACGATGACATGAGGGCACATGACCTGACTGTGGAGATGGCGAAGGATCATAGACTTTGGAGAGAGAAAGAGAGGACTCAGAGAGCAGACTCCATTGAGTGGGACAAGCGATGGGAAGAATACGATATACAGGAGTAACTGGGTTGGAACAGTGTTGCAGTGGTTAGGGCACTGCACTATAAACCTGGTAAACTCGAGTTTGATTGCCCACCATCACTAAAATCAGTAACGAGTGACATCTGCGTTGGTAGTGGGTTGCCCTTCAGCAACCCGCATGGCCCAGCGCTCAAATAAGTTGCATGACCATACTTAAGACGCTCGGAAGTGTGGACCCAAAATACCCATGACGGATATTTATTTACCAGGCAAGGCCCCCAACTGAGCTGTGCAGTTGTTTTTTAGAAGCGACCTGGCCACAAATGATAGCTCAACAAAGTGGCTTATCATGTGAAAAGTTATATCAGCCACATACTCTAGAAATGGCATGGGGAAGTCTTCAGCTGATGCATTAACAAAGAAATGCAGACAGTGAAAGTTAACTCACATTCGCCCAGCCTAATCCTCAACACTGACCTTTAACTAGTGAGCAAAGAGAGTGAAAAAGTGGAGCATGGAGAGTCAATAGAGGGAGCATAGAGAGTGAGGCATGGAAGCGTGGAGATTGAGATGTGGGAGAATGAAAAGTGAGGAGAGGAAGTGTAGAGAATGAGAAGTTTAAAAATAATGAGATGGAGCATGACGAGTGAGGAGTACAGCACAGCGCGTAAGGAGCAGGAGCATTGAGCGTGAGAAGAGGCAGAATGAAGAATAGAGAAAGGAAACGTAGAGAGTGAGGAGAGGCAGCATTTAGAGTCAAAAGTGGGAGTGAAACGAGGTACTGTGGAGAGTGCGGAGTGCGAGCATGGAGAGTGAGAAGAGGGAGCTTAGAGAGTGAGGATTGGGAGCATGGAGAGTGAGGAGAGGGAGCATGGAGAGTGAAGAGAGGGAGCCTGGAGAGTGACGAGAGGGAGCATTGAAATGAGGATAGGGGACATGGAGAGTGAGGAGAGGGAGGGATATTTGCCTTCTGGGAGGGTAAAATTTAGCACAAACAAACTCTAGACCGGTTTATATATTCAGCATCACATCCACAGAGTCGGGCTTGCTTCATCCAATGCTGATGATCTGCCAGAGATGTTTATAGACCGCAAGAGCCCTCTCCAATTAGCATGTTGTTTCACCTGACCTTGCGGTTTCATACCGAGTGTCTTTCATTACAGCGGTGATGAGAGGCTTTACACTGTTAATAGAAGGGCACGGACTAATTCGTAGGAGGGGAAAGCTGTGTGCAGTGCTTGGGCAATGAAAAGTCTACGGTGCATTGCAGTGCGCTGTTGTGTTGTGGTGGGGGCGGGGGTGGGTCGTGAACGCAGCAGTGAGGAGCAGAGGCTGGGGGTAGGACATTGTGCGTGGCACACGAGCAAGTCACATCCAATTGCACGATCGGTAAACATCCACCTCACATGGAGATTGTGCCAATGACAGAGCACGTTGGGACGGTGACACGGCAGCAGCAGCAGCAGCAATCTCACATGTCAAGATATTCACATCATGGAATTAGAGCACTAGGCATGAAGCTCACACGCACGCGCGCACGCACAAAGCTGTTGGCTTGTCGGAGTGGTTTCAGCGAGCACCGATGACACGGATGTTATCATTGACATAAAACTGCGCATGTCATTGCATCGATGACATTGATGTCACAATGATATCATCGACATGTGCATCACAAGGTTGTAACATCAGAGGGGTATTCTCTGGAGCATTAGTAAATGACCCGGATGTATATCACCGTCATCTCTGAGGTCGTGTCCCTTGCACCTTCTTACAACGTCCGTCGTGCCACGTGTCCGAATATCGGACCCTTTTCATTTAAATAAACTGTCTACCTCCCTCAACAGAATGACATGTTATCTTGTCCTGAAATTATATTTGTGCGACGTCATGTCTGTTTTAACTGAACCGTGTGATAATTTAAGTCTTCACATCTTCTCTTTCTTTCGTATGTCAGGAAGAAAAATAAACAGTTTTTGAAACGTGTCATAACTTGAATCATAAGTGTTATTTCAACCAAGCCATGGGGGGCAGTGCATACGATATATATTGCAGGTCCACCGCCAGAAAGTTGCATGGATCGCACATTCGTTTGTAATGTGTTTGATGGATTGAACTTCACCATCGTTACAGTTAGGCGATGTTTTTGATCTTCCATTTGCGGAAAGGTTTACGTACATCTCCCATGTTGGAATCGAGCATGGTTTAGAGAGGTCCATGATTGTCGGAAGAGAGAGAATCCCAGTACTTCCACAGTCGGGCCCTCAATGAGGCTTTTGTTTTCAATGTCTAAAGCTGCCCACTGCTCCATCCAGCGAGTGCTTATATGTTCATTTCCTTATTTATTTATTTTCATCTGCTGAAATGGAGGCGCGTATCCAGAAAGGTTTCCTGGATGTCAGCCTATGGAGTGTGTTTTTTTTAGGTCTTTTTGGAGCAGAAGAACAATGTTATCCATAACCTTATGGTACTCCCAGGTCGTTGTGGCATCGCGTTGCATGTTGGCTGAGGTGATATTCGCCAGCACGGTAAGCCACTAGAGTAGAGTGGACTTCAGCGCACTGCTGCTGACATCAACTGCGGATGTTGATTTCGGTATTGTGTGAGAGGTGGCACTCTACACTGGGGCATAGTAGTCTGCAGTGGAGTATGAGGGCTTGAATCAATGTCGCCAACGTGCGAGAATCGCTTCCTCACGTTGTTCCTGCAAGTTTTTGAAAAATGTTCCGTCGTTTTTTGTTGTTGCTTTCCTTTTGGCTTGTTCGAGGAGGTATGTGAGCATTCGTTCGAGAGTAACTCCTGGGTACCAGAGGCCTGGTTGTTGTTCAGGTGGACGACGATGCTCTCTTCGGTGTTTTACTTCAGACGCCAATTCTCGAAGGATGCTTCCAGGGTCTTTAGACCCTTTAGACGACGTTTAGTGTCCTCTATTGTGCAGGCTTGGGTTGTTAGTGCGCTGTTCTTGTAATTGGACTTGCGGGAGGATTTCACCAGATGGTTACTGGTAAAGGGATAGAACAGCACTGGGGCAAGAACAGATCCCTGTGGGAGTCTGTTGTTGTTAATTCTTTGCTGGGATGCTGGCAGCTTCACCAAGACGGATGATGAATCAGCAGTTGCTCAGAATGTATGAGATGAGTCTGATTGTCAAACAGCAAGACACAGCTACTATAAGCTTTAGCACCATACTGTATGATATTTTGAGGAGAGGTCGATGAACACTTGTTGTGGTTTTTGAGCTCACGTTCGATGACCATCTCAATGTTTAAGCAAGTACTTGATCGCAGTAATTTCGGCCCGCTTCTGAACTCGGCTAGTTCCTTTGGGACTATATCTTCAAGCATAGGCTTCAGCCATTGAATCAGCAGTCACTCCAATAGCCTGTAGCAAATGCTAAGGGGAATCGGGCAGTAGTCTTCAGCATCCGATGCGTTCTTGGCGGGTTCAAGAATGGCTATAATCTTCGACTCATTTGGTACCACACCTAAGACATGGATGTCAGTGAGGAAAGTGCCTGGCCATTTTCTTACTCATGCTGCCAAGTTGTTGACGAATTCCAGATAAATCCTATCGAAGCCTGCAGCTTTCCCGGATCTCATCTGGGCAATATGAGCATCTACTTCCTTAATTAAGAAAGGACCAGATAATACAGAAGTTTGTTGGCAACGATTGAGAGTGCAGTATAGTTTTTTTTGTAAGCTTGCCATCTTGTAGTTTTGTTGATCGGCCCTCGTGAATTGCCGATTAGCTGTCTGGAAATGTTGTCAGGGCCGACTTGGGGAGATTTGTAGGCCAGTGTCACTGCTGCTCCTAAAAGTCTTAGGAGGTGCCAGGATATTTTGGCTGTTTTTTTTTAGTAAAGTACCTCTACTCTTTCACCTCACCTTTGTCTTCTTTTAAGTTTGTTTCAGTGACTCGAGCAATGCTTTTGTGGTCTCCTGCTTGTGATCGACATAAGTCTCCCGATATTTTCTGGAGACCAACGAGGAGTTGAAGGCTTTTAAAACGTTGACCTTCGCAGCTGCCTTGATGAGGCCAGCAGAGCGGTGGTGGTTGGCCGTGCACATGGGGGAATCATTCTAACAGGTTGCTCTGTGGCCGTGGCATACTTCGGCCATACAGCCAGGGTCAGGTTCCAACGCAGTTTTTGGTGCAATGCGAATCAGCAGAATATCAATGCCAATATTGGGCACTGCAGGCCCTTGTTAGATATTTGGAATATAGTAAAGAATGGTTCTTCTTGATGAAATAGGATTACCGCTCTTGTCTCGTGATCCAAAATAAAAATCGGGCGTGAAACATGTTACAATGTGCTGACTTGAAAATTCCGTGATCTTTCGATGGCATTCATTTTCTGCCGCTGCCCATGATGGCAGCTGGCATTGTAGCCCCACATGGTGTGGCAGCCATTGAAGTTGCGAACATGAATGGTCGGGTGGCTTGGCGTTGGTAGCACTAGACACGGCCATTTTATACATTAGAGACTTGTAGATGTTGACCGTTATGCATCCATATGCAAAGCACTCCATGTGTTAACAGCGTACCTCGTCTCGCTCTTCATGCACTCGCCTGTCATTGTAGGCAATGCCTTACATTTAAAATACCAGTCTGACAACGTTCCAGACATAGGCACTGTGATGATTTGCACACATTACTTGCACTTTATTTACATCTCTAATTAAAACTCATTCGCAAAACATCGGCAACTGTTACAGCTACAGCACATTCTACATGAACTGGTGGTGTGCACAAGTTAATTATTTGTCTTGATTCTTCCATTTGACTGTGCGTGATATGCACTGTATAAGCACGTACTATATGAGTTATAGATGTATAGGCGTATGCACGTGTCACCACGTGGTGCTGTGTATCGGTTGATGTCCTGGTCACTCTGGCAAATTAAATGTTTCATTTGGAGGATTTTTCCAGGTGAGATTTGATAACAAACAAAACTATTCTATTGTGAGCTTTCATGACCTGGCAAAGAACCAACCTCTGCCAACCATTGCCTCCTATTTCACACCTTGGTTCTGCCCTCCTTGCATTCCTTGCCTTCTTATTAAAAGATCCCAACTAAACTTTAATAGGACCATAATGCACCATGTACTTTACCCCTCATTCACACTGGGCCATGTGTGATCCTCTCCATAGCCGAAATTAATGGAGCACAGTTTGCATGGCGCAAGGAGGCGATGGTGAGACGTAGATTTCTGGCCATCGTCACGACATCACCGCGTAAAATCAACCTCCATAAGAGGCCTTCGTTAGCTGCAAACAATGGCTACTTATACGCGGATCACAAGTTCAGCAAAAGTTGGAATCCTGTTGACATATCAAGTTCCTATCTCACTGCACTTGATGGAATTCAATGTACAACAGTCTGGCTGCTTTATGATACAGTACTCATTAATTCGATCCAACAACAACTGCCATTCACCACTAAGTGGCGTTCACATCACCACGGCACTTTTTGCCAGGCTATGTGCACTTCAAGGCCACTTGAATTGTTGAACGGTCACGTGACAGATCCAGGTGCTATAGGTTAACTGACAGATGACTGGCAGATGCACCACTGTGCCCCCTACTGCGCCAACTTGCTGTGTTTTAGCCACCCGACGCTCCGCTAATTTTTGTGAGCATCGCTCCTCTGCCCTCCGTTGTTGCTCAAGGGCGACTGCCTCCAACTGCCCAGTAGAGTCCTTCACGAGCATCCTCCACAGAGGCCGATCTTGACACCGCTGGTACCAGTCAGTAGCTCACCAGTGCTCAGTCACCTCCTTATCACTCTTATAGCTCTACTAGCACGCTTTCTTCATTAATTGATCCTTCCTCACATGTTGAGGACTCAGTCTACCAGACGGACTGTGCTGTCTCATCCACAATGTTCAACCACCACAATGTAGGTCACAACAACACACTCACCTCACACACTCACTCATTTCACACTCACCCACCACACTCCAGGTCACATCAGTTATCTTTCTGCTTCGTCCCTTGGCATTGCTTCACTTTGCAAGTCATCTCCCATTCTCTCTTTGCCGAAGCTGCTTCATAATATTGATCTTGCAATCATGAGAAGTGAATGCTTTGTTTTTCTCGAGAATCATTTATCCTAAGTCTGATAGTGCTGTGGTTGTCACAGACTGTCACAGGTGTGCAGAGTCGGGAATTTAAGTCAGGTTCCCAGAATGCCTATGTAGTGCATTAAAGAGTACACCACAACCACGCTCGTGTGCAAACGGGTCACACACTAGCGTTACCACCATTCAGAGTTTGAGCCAGACAGTCCTGGAATTGGCATCTGTGTTTGGGTTGCAGACATTAATGTATGCCGGGATCTTGCGCCAGTCAGGTGTTTAACTATATTACTATATCCTGATTTAGTCTGTGGGAAAGGTGGAAACCCAAGTCACACACACACAAACACTTCCAAACCTGTATTTGCAAATAGCATGTCCACACAGCACATTGTCCTGTACGGTACTTGCAAACGTATCCACACGAACACATTTCAGAAACCGTTTATCCTGCAAAAGAAACCAGGAACGATTAAAACAAATGAGAGCACACGTCGCCAGTGGCACCGTGGCACACACGCACCTCTGGCTCCTGCGCCTGCAGCGAGTGTGGCTTGGAATTGGGTTGCGTCGAGGGGCACAGCGGAGAGAAGTGCGTGCATTGGTCCTTTGCGGCCATTGGGTCTGACACAATCAGCAACTGTTGGATGTCTCCCTGAACATTCAAGGCACACACACAGGCACGTAGTGGAAACGCACACGGCACACACGCACACATTTATATCGTATAGCTCTCGGCAACAAACCAACAGTACAAATCAAATTGGTTGTGGTCAGATGGACCAACACTGCTGGGCCACTAACGACAATAAACATAATAGAGCCATAACATCGCTCTGCACCAAATATCTACATTAAAGAATAGAACAATATTTTAGAGTAAACTCGTGTCATAAACAGCCAGAGTCAAACACAATTGTCACTGGATGCATATTTATGCAATATCTTTTACGTGAACACAGTAATCCATCATCAAGTGCATTCATTAGCCATGACATTTGCTGACGTTATTACATTCACTTCCATTATTGCATTCTTATTAATATATAATAACTCATATAATTAATGTTTGTAAAATTATTTCCATTATATGTGTTTCTCTACAAGAATATTTTTTGGTATTTTTTTATATTCCGGATTGTGTCGCCATGTCACGAGACGAAGAATCCATTGGCAAATCTCGAAGGCCAGTGCAATCCTTCACGTTGTTAGAGAAGGTCCCACGGAAATGGTTATCACAGAGCTACTTCTGAAATTCCATCTTCAAGTGACCTCGGGTCCACACACTATAGCAGTGAGCACCGCTTTCCACTCACTCTGCATGTGAGAGTGATGTTCGTCACATTGCAGTAAAATCGATGTGTTTTTTTTTTATTCCCAGAACTGGAATTTACACAAGTGCAGAACCAAATGTAAGGTGATGATTGTTTTTGATACTCGGGTTGAGACCACCATCAACTCTATACTTGGGGACTCGGTTGCCAGCGTTTGAACTTATGACCTCAGTGGTGCCAGCTCAGCGCTCTGACCACTTGCCTACACAGTAACTCTTACATGTATACTCGGAGTCAGTGCAGCCTCCCTCATCCCAGATGCCCATGCGTGACAACAACCCAGCCCCTGCATGGGCTTACTAAGACCACAGTGCGATTGTGCCAGCACACCCCACCTCACTATATGGGTGCCAAAAGTAATGCTTTCCTTCTGCAAGACCTGTCGCAACTTCCACTGTTCATGTAAACAGTTGCCTATGATGAGGCTTTGCACCTTCCTCTGGGTTACCGACCTGTGGTAGATGTCTTTCCGATGTCTGTCTCAGTAACCTGCCCTCCTCCATCCGTGTGCGCCTGATCCATCACAACTCTTCCGTATGATCGCATCTATAATGCGATCATGCGGAAGTTGTTGTCCTTCCCCCTGCACCTCCGATTAGCATAGTTGGCAACATATAGCGCGAAAGAAGTTCAACATGAATACATACAATTATTGCGTTCTTGCCACATGTTATTCCATACTTACAGATCTTTATCTCTCCCTGTGTTTCCATGAAACACATCAGACTTTCTTTGTAGCTGTGTTCAGAAGCAATGCTTTTTTCCAGTTGATTTACTAAAGTCCAGCTTTGACTAAAAATCGTTATTCTTGCCTTAAATACATGTCTTTCAAAAATAACGTTTCCATTCCAAGGTGTTTTGTGTCGTGCAAAGACATAACATTTCCAATTATCGTTTTTATCCTTGATTGGCCACACATGAATTGCAAAATTCGGCATGGGGCGCTTAGTCGTACGCATGTGGGATGGGTGCATAATGCATTCAAAATAAGTCTTCTACCACTACGAACATAGTTACTGTTCCCGTGAACATCGCGCATTGAGTCCTCCACCTGCGCTCACTGTTTCCTCTCATTCATGCTGCAGGTCCGAACACTCTTTCTGTTTATTCCCTCGCACGGCTCCACTTTAGAATTCCCTCCCATCATCGTCTCTTTCCTAAGGCTCTTTTCATCTTGCTCAATTCCAAAAAGGCGTTATCAATTACAACATTGACAGTGCTGTTTGTTGCTGGCCACTCGATGTGTTTGTCTTTTGGGTCTGTGCCAAACAATTGTGATATTATTTACATGGGTAATATTGTGTGTGTGGGTGTTTGAACACGTGCGCATGCTCTTGCACCTCGTAAACATCATCGTCGAGTATGCGTGTTCCGAACACCATGATACCACGCGTGTCCAGTCGGGGGGAAGAGCCGCGGCCCAATCTCTGGGTTCCCACGAGTTTGCAGTCCACGTAGAGAGACACGCGTTTCCCCTCCACGGAGAATGCCACCCTGTGCCACCTGTATGGCAAACAAGGCGGCGCACCAGCGGGCAGGGTGAACACTTGGAACGGTGTGGTGGGAGCGAACATTCGAACCTGACTGCATTCCCGAAGGAATCGGGCACCAGTGTTGCCAACTTCGCGAGTTTGTCAACGTCACTATATCGATTCATTATGGGGGGGGGGGGCATAATGAATTACTGTGATGCTGATGGGGGACTGCAGTTAGATTCAACCCCATCAGTTAGATTCAACACGTGAGTTGCCACGCGACTTGAAGGTCAGAGCCTCTTGCCGATCGCCGAGGTGGCAAGAAACTTGCATGCGGAGTTGTGAGTCACGAGCAAGCAAAGTTGCGAGTCATGACCCTGTATACTTGCAAGTCATGTCCACTAGGAGTTGCAAGTCACGTGCGATCAGAGTTGTGCGGGCTATATGGGCGCGGATAAGATCGGCCTCTGTGAAGGTGACTCGTGAATGACACTACTGGGCAGTTGGAGGGAGCCACCCTCCAACAACAATAGAGAGCAGAGGAGCGACAGACACTCACAACAATGAACAGAGCGCCGGGTGGATAAGCATGGTGCAAACCATTAACTTGCCTCGTGTGCTGTGCCAGTTTAAAAAGTATGCACCCCAGGAACTCTTTTCTGAGTATCAAGACTATTTTTTTTATTGCTACGCTTAATCCCAATTCAGTAATTTGCGCGTCACTTTTCAAATTTGGTAAGTTTGGACCATGACGCCAGCACATGAAGGCCTAACCTAGCAAATGACACCCAGATGATCTTTAACGTCCACTCTGTGGTAACAAATGACCGCCGCTGGGCCGTGTCACCGCCACCTAGGAGGGAGGCCTCTGTATGTACGTGCGTCTGCGTGTCATGCACGATCTATGAATGAGCACGCGTCCTAAAGTTACGTCCATAGTCACTCTAGAGAGCGCGTTGCACTTTGATGTTGCAATGTTGGTGTGCATTTTCCACAGCGATTTGACAAGGTGCATTGATGATGATAAAAGTCTGAGTGAGCTCGCGTGCGTGCATGTGCGTAACACTGCATATGCAGTAAGCATATGTACCACTGAGTGATTAACAAGGATGATATATGTTCTCAGCGAAGTGTTTACATATGTGGGAGGAAACCACAGGGCCCAGAGAGAAGCCACGCGTGTGAGACGGGGTGGGGGGGGGCAGGGCAACACTATCCCACATAGATGGAACAGATGGATATTAACTCTCACACTTGTTGTACCACATTATCCTGGCAAGCCAGCCAATGCCACTTATTCGACGCCCACGGGGGGAAGTGAATTTCGCGACATTTGTGTGACCCACCAACCCCTCGCTGCCTCCCCAGTGCTGGACTACAGGCGCGCGCCACCACCGCTACTCGTCTTCCATGCAAGTTGGAATGGATGCACCATCATTGGCAGGTCACGTGTGGTGGGGTAAAGTATGGGTACTCCCACCTCTTCCAAAATTGTCTGGCTCGTGTGGAAGAGGAGGCCAAATTCCTTCAAGAGGATCTGTCCATAGTTCCTTTTCGAGGATGCGCCATCCACTACCAGTGGCGTGAGGAAGTTATTGCAGGGCTGCACCTTTTCCAGGATCGTTCCAAGCCGCACACGGAGATGATGTCATTGGGCACATGGTTTCGCGTGAAAAATGTTGTTGCGGTGAATATAAAAACATCATTATTATTGAACTGAATCGCGACCCGAATCGTGAGGAGAGGAAATCGTATGAGGCCTAATCAAATTAGGTAAAAAAATAAAATGTGAAACGCACAAAATTGTGTAACAAGTGCAGAATATTTGCATTTGCACGTAAGCTGAGTGTTTATAACACAATTATGCTTGTTGTTTGACAATAATGGTTTTCCAGGCCTGCACTATTATTCTGCTATGACATTACAATGGAAGGACCTGAAAACACGGCTTCTCTCAATGCAAGGCCCTGTTCGATATCACTTAATTCGGCGGCCCACTGGCTATTCACGTGTTCGCCGCTGCTAAAAATTTATTAACACTGTCATAGTTCTCAGAACTGTCAAACAACAACTCCCCATTTGGGTGCTTCATCTGTCTGGGAATTGGCATCTTTGATCGGGTGGCAGGAATTGATTGGATCCGAGATCTGGTAGCGGTATTGTGTTAAACCTTCTTACAGTATACCGCACAGTGTTGATATACCTGATGCTGACTGAGAAATGTGGCCGTTTTTGGTGTACAGTAGAACATGTGGGCAGCTCTCCTATCCACGCCACGTGGGGCATGTGATCATTTGACGATACCGCACGACACCTGTCAGTTTACGTTGGGGAATGGGTCGGGGGTCTGTACTGGTTCAGTTATCAATCACCACCGATGTTAGCCAAGGCCGGGAATTGAATGCAGGTCCACTGGGTTTGTAGCGCAGTGTGCTAACCAAAGTGGCACCATTCCCCCAATTGCCGTGCTTTACACTTAGAGAAATGTACTTGCATTCTATGATAGGAATGTAACAATGAGTTGACGAAAGTACATTCTGACATTTAGCATACAATTGCTGAATAATATGCAATGATTATTTTCGTGTTATGAATTTGATGGTGTTGCGTCGAACTTGGACTCATAACCAACTAAGAGGAGGGTTCTTGCCTCTAAAGATCTGAAAGTTCACCAGCATTGGTTCACGCGAGCCTGATTCACTTGAGATGCTGAATGTCAAAACTGGCCCAGAGTTTGTGTTGAACCAATGCTGCTGGAATGATGCAATCTGTGAAGGCTATGTGGCCGATGGGATAAGTAACCAAAAATACTTTCAATTGTTTTTCACGCGAAGTGATCAATTTGCAAAGGAGGGCGTCTCGTCTGGTTATTTATTCTGTTAAGTAATCATTTATCGTTTAGAACGTGTGCAAATTATACGGAAATGTTCCCACTAGGCTGATGGACCAAATTATAGAGTTGAAATATAAAATTCAACTCAATCGTGACCCCAATCGTCACGATTCCTCAAATGGCAGCAAGCGAGATGTAGTCTCGAAACCCATACTGAGACGTTGAAGATTGTATTCAGGTTCCCATTGGAACTTCTTGAAAGGGGCTGTTATTTACACCTCTCCTCATAGCTTGTGCTGCCTACAATGGGAAGATGGTGTTATTGATGTTACAAAAAGGTGAATGACACACGCAAGTATATGACAAAGAGAGTGAGATTGAGCAGGACACGTCACTAGAAGGGATGATGGACGATGGCTACGAATAACGATGGCAAGCCAGCCAGGTGCTGGGCGGCTCATTGCATCATAGCGTCGTGGGAGGTGGTGGCTGCTTGAGGAGACCTTCATCCAGTAGTGTATTATTCGTGGTTGAGGATGATTATGTCAAGAAATATCAAAGTACAGAATAATTTCATTTGGATTCCCCTCCCGTGGCAAGAATACTCACTTTCCATCATTGATAAGGGGTCCTTCCTGGAAAGTGGGCTGATCTTCAGGAGGAGGCCTCCCAGATTGATCCTCATAGAGGAGGGCAGGAGAGGGCCCCACTTCCAGGCCCAGCTGCTGAACCGAGCTGGAGCTATACATCGCCAGCAGGAAGGCCCGCAGGCTCGGACGCGTGCGCAGCGTTGTCAAAATTGAGAAGTCGCGCGGAAACTTTCCACCTGCAATGCACGGACAACATCACGGCTGGAAGTTTGTATCAGTTTTATTTTACAGTGATTAAAAATGTTCAATTCGTGAAAAGCACTCCATCCATTCTTCCTCCGGGGTCAATTAAATAAGTACCACTTTATAGGAAAGTCTGCAGTTCATTTCCTGTGGGGAGACTCACCCCTGCCATATGAATGTGGAATTTCCATCACTGGCTCAGGGCTGTAAACAGGTGATACTGTAAGCACCAATGTCCCAATGCTCTTTTGTGCAGCAAATAACTTTAACTGCTGGGATTGTTGAACTATAGCTGAATATAATATAATATTAAACTTTCAAACTACACGTTGACAACGATCGTACCTGGGTATAGTTGTGAGGTGGGCACGCTCAGCTGGGCCTCCCTGCTCACGTGGAACGCTGTTGCGTCGCCCGCGGAGCCACCACAAGCTCCCGCAGACTTGGTGACTCCAGACGGGAGGGAGGACATTCCAAGAACTTCAAGGATGTTAACGGTCTCAGCTGCAGCACAAACGACACAGACATCCCATTTTTACCCTCACCGAAGGTTAAAAGAGCAGTGCTTCGTCATCAACATTAGAGCAATCATGAGCTGTGTTAGATAGAGCGCCCATCTCAAAGCCATTTATATTCTAACACATTGAAAAGGCCGCTCCCAGTGGCAGCTGTCCCTTTGGGCACTTAAGTGACTCAGCACCTGGCCTGCAAAGAGGCTTTAGTCTGCCAATATGGAGCGAGGGTTGCTATTTGTAATCCCAATTGAGTTTACTATTGCTTCCCAGCATTGTAGTTATGGCAGTCCACAAATCAAGACAACTTCTTTGACGGGGGAACTCATGAAATATGTCCCCATTTTTTCAGCTGCCACACTAGGAGATGGAATCGAACCGGCGACTTGTAGATTAGAGGTCCAGTGTGCTAACGAGTCCAGCACTGTGGCAGCTCCCTCCGTGTCTCAGTTAAATATGTAACATGTTGAGTGTGTTGCTAGACACGTCGACGTGCGGAGAACTTGCTTTCCTCATTCAGTTATGCAAACAAAATCGATGTTAACAGCCCCAGTTGTGCGAAAATATGAACTATACTATTCGACCCTCAGACACGTAAAACGCAGCACACCACGCAGTTTGCAAGTGCCTTGCTTTTCGAGCCCAGAAAAATACTCAGGGCTACCAAAGGTCCCTGTGGGTTAGTAGAAGTAGTAATAGTTGCTAAGCCAGGTGTCAACATGATCCATCGATGAAAGCCAGGCCTCCTGGGTAGGCGTAGTCCGTATCATCGATACCAATGATCCGTGAGCAGCATCAGGTTAAGCGTGAACATTTTCAGGGGGCCGCACGCCCACTTATGTTCGAGTTCCGAATCTGATTTTGAAACTCGACTGCAGAGCAAGGCAAGCCAAAACGTGCACTAATACACCTAGAGGACTGTGTTGAGGTCCTCTATATTTAGGAGACAAGTGCGGGATGTCACGGTAACCTTTTTGTGACGAAGTCAGACCAGCGCATATGAAAATCCTCCAGGCACTTAATGTCGAATGCGAGCAGTGTGCAGGTCTCTTGAGCAAAATAGCGTAACTGATAGGAAGCAAGTGTTGTATATGCGTGCGTTTATAATGGACATTGCATGCCCACGGTGAAGCTTTTTTAAAATCCAGATTGTATTCCAAATAAACGGCAAAGGGGCGGGACTGTTCGAATAGTGGGCGGGCTGGCAACTGAGTGGGTATGGCGAAGTAAAAGTAGGTGGATCCAAAACTAAAAATATCCCCGAGGCCACCCATGGTGTTGGTGGACATCGTGGCTTAGGGGGTGGGGGCTATGTTAAAGTGGGAAGGGGCCAGTACCTGTATGGGTGGGGCAGTTTAAGAGTAGGCGGGCCAGTGGCTGAAATGGGAGGGGCTGTGCAAGATTGGGCGGAGTTACTGACTGCGTGGGTGGGGCTAGTTGCTCAGTCGGTGGGGTTATACAAGAGAAGGCAGGCCAATGGGTAGAGCTAATGGCTAAGTGGGCGGGATAGTTGAGTGGACAGGGCTAGTGGTTGAATGGGTGAGGCTATGTGAGGTTGGGCATGGCTAGTGAGTGATTGGGCGCGGCTAGTTGTTGGGTGGGTGGGGTCATGTAAGAGTGGGCCGAATGGGCGGCGACTCGTGGCGTAATGGGCGGGGCTATGCAAGGTAGGGCGGGTTAGTTGTTGAGTGGGCGGGGCTATGCAATGCACGTTGGGCGGGGAAACCTTTCGAGTCTCAATTCCACTCCACAATTTCCCTTGCCCACCAGTAGATGGCGCTGCTCCCTTACCATTCACTGCATGTGTAGCAAACCCACCGTAATTATATAACATTTGCGTCAGCGTGGTTGTGGAGAATAGCAGTGACATAATAAATACGTAGACACTTCGCCCCCATCATTTACATTGTACTGTGTCTGTCACTCCGCAGAAACAAATATACTTGAGGTTTTTTTTTTTTTTACACAATGCAGCAATCACACGACCTTTCTTCTGGGGGTGCATCATTTCAGCAGATTTGTTTTCAACACAAGCACACTCTGGGCCGGTTTAGAAACTCAGTGTTTTTTTTTTTATAAGCAGAATCAGGCTTTGCTTGAACCAATGCTGGTGAATTACCAGATTTTTACAGGCAGCAAGGACCCTGTGTTTAGTTTGTTGTCCTTCCCCTGCACCTCCGATTCGCATGGTTGGCTATGCATGGTGCGAAAGAAGTTTAACATGCATACAAAGTTCAACATACAGACACCCTGTCTGTTAGATATCGGTCCAAGCTCGAGGAAAAACTCTAGCTCACAAAAAATACCACTTCATTGAGCAGCCAACCCGGCATGTTACAAACAAAGCACGTACCAAGCGCTGCCAATAACACGAATAAACCAATGGCATTAATCAGAGTCAAAGTAGAACATTTAAACATAAGACTGATGAAATACACCTATGCACATGAACATATTAAACGAATGAACACGTGAGTCTACGATCTGCGCAGCAGTATCACAATGCATTTCGGATTTGTTGCTGGCCACTTGGTGTTTTGAGATGTTGGGCCTGTGCTCAGACACGGTGTTAAGAAAGAAAAAAAAACTGCTTCGTAAGATAAGAGCAATAATTGCAAAACACAGCTCGAGATACAGAGGAAATTAAAAGCACAGAGGCGATGCATGGATGAGAGATAGGATGGCTGATCAATGTTTTCTCTCGTCTACAGAAGTTACATTTTTGGTCATTGCATAGCTTTAGTTGACTGTGCACATAACTGTGCTAGTTGCAGATCCTTTTTTATCAAAATATTTTATCACTTGGAAATCCCTTGAGAAGTATCATCTCATTCGCAAGGGTGTCCAGGGCATCCCGTCAATGTCTTGAGCTTACGTGGAGTGTAATGGTTGGCACACTGAACTCGCAATCCAGAGGGCCATCTCTCGGTGCGGCAGTTGAACCAATACGCTGGCTTGGTGAGGTGGTCTGGGTGACGTCCCCTCTTCCAAGCCATCCGGACAGCGTCCAAGAGTAGGCTGAGCGGTAGAGAGCTCCAGGGGAGGCCCTTACGTCACCAGTGGCGTGAGCCACCAATTACACGGTGTGTACCTTCACCAAGTGGTTAACGCGACGTAAATAGTTCGGATTCAAAGTGATTTCCTGCTCAAATTAACATCGAGGCACTGGTGCTCAGCTCCCGTTTGGAGCCAAAATCCACATTTCTATGGCAGAGTCGAGTCTGTTGCTGAGTAGATTCACTCACACTCACCACACTGCAGATAACCTCACCTCTCTTTCTGCTTCTTCCCTCGGACTGCTCCACTTTGGAATTCCCTCCCATCGCAGCTTCCCGTGAATTTGACTTGTTGATTTTGTCGTCCCATTTTGAGGACTGGGTTTAACAGACTCGCAGTTTTTGTCTCATCTAGACTCTGTACAAACACCAAACTAAAGGTCAAACCAACATTCGCTGACCTACTTACCACACTGCAGATCACGACAACACACTTCCCACCCACTTATCTTCGAACTCCTTCAGGCACTCACCACTCACTCAACCACTCGCTCAACGATCACACTGCAGGTCACCTTAATTTATCTACTTCTGCTCCACTTTTCAATTCCCTCCCATCGCCTCTTATCCCCAAGCTCAATTCAAGAGAAGCGTTAACTCTTCTTATCGATTACAACCTTGACAGTGCTCGCTTTTGCTGACCGCTTGACGATTTGGAGCTTTGGGCCTGAGCTCAGAAACTATTTTTAAAATAAAACCTTCCTTTTGGCTCTTTCACTGTCACAGCTGTCGTCAACGTGGAACCCTCAGACGCGAGCGGTTGGCACTGACGAGCCACAGTTCTGCGGGTGTGGAAGAGGCATATCTATGCTGGCTTCCGCTGTATCATTCGCACAGCCGAGCACTTCAACATGGCCCACATTTGGTAAATGCGAAACATTACTTGCAAATTACTCCATTGGGATATGCCCCCTTACTGGCAGAATTATGACCGTTTGCAGGCCAGGTGATGAGTCGCCTAGTGCAGCACAGGGGCAGTTGCTCCTGGGGGAGCCCTTTCAAATTTTTGAAATGTGATTCAAGTCGTGCATCGCAATGTACAGCACTCCGAGACGCCCAAAGGAGGGCGCGCCATCAGAAACAAATTATTGCCGTTGTTACCGTGTGTGCAGGTCTTGGAGGCTCGGGCAAAATTCCATCTGGGGCCACCTTACTCCACCATCCCCGGGCCGGGTGTGGCACCCTCTCTCTTGTGTGAGACCCCGGAGGAAAGTTTCCCCCTTTTGCTCCCCCATTTGGACGACAATGCTTATTTTTTATATACCGTCCCTGAGCGGCCAGCAACAAAGTTGTTATAGGTATATAAAAGTTAAGGATTTTTTCTTGAAAAGAGCAAGATTATATTGAAAGCTTCTGCAAAGAGACGACGGGAGGGAATTCCCAAGTGGAGCAGTGTGAGGGTAGGAGAAGAAAGGGACGTGTTTTGACCTGCAGTGTGGGCGAGTGGGTGAGTGTGTGGGTGAATGGGTGGGTGGGTGCGTGAGTTGGTGAGGCAACGAGTGGGTAAGTGTGTGAGTGGTTGAACACAGCTGGTGGATGAGACGAAACAGTTGGTGTCTTGTAGACTGATTCCTCGACACGGGTGGAGGAATCAACGGCTGAAGTTCACGGGAGCATTAACCGTGGCCGCAGTGATAGAACAGTGATAAGGAGGCGACTGCCCATTGGTGATAAAGCGACTCGAGTGAATCGGTGACTTCTGGATAATTAATCAAAGCGACTTCTTTAAATTGAATTACGTGTATAATTTGTCTCTGGTTACTTTATTCTGTCATAGCCATGTGTGGATAATTGCTGACTAAAACCGCATTGAATCACTATGTAAACTATATCATATCGAGTAACGTGCTATGAAACTTAACTAGTCTAAACTTTTTCCCTTCCCTTAATCTCAACGTTCTTCACCAAACCAAACTGCACGTCAACAACTTGAAAT